CATTGGAAAAGATTTTGAAGCGGTTTGCCAAGAATTCAATATAAAACATTTCAAAACTCATCCGTACTCTCCAGAGGAAAATGGAAAAATTGAAAGGAGTTGGGAGACTCTTTTCAAGACAAACCCTGGAGTGAACGTCTTTGAGTTCATCCCCAATGTTGTTTCCCAGTATAATAGGGTATGGAAACACTCCGCATTATTCAAACTCTTTGGGGAGAAATTGACTCCATTTGAGGCCTGGGAAAGAGGCCCCAAATGGACAAAAGATCTCTGCGCTGAACCAGGCTTCGAAAAAAATCTTAGAGATTAACAAATAATTTCAAAAACAAGAAAATTCAAAAAATCACAAAAAGGAAGTTAAGGAATAAACACTTACATTTATTACATTTGGATTTTTTTTAAATTCAGTATTATTTTTAGAAATAAGATAATATAGTTCTAAATAAAACAAAGAATGTTAAGAATGAAGAAGGAATTAGCGGATGCAGCCGAAGCACGCTCACAAATTACTCACAATATCCACTCAAATCATACAAAGTTTTGTCGAATAGTTTGATATAAAGACAAAAAATTTACAATTTTTAATTAAATCCGAACAATCTTACATATGCGGCTGAAGCACACTCACAAATTACTCTCAATATCCACTCAAATCATATAAAGTTTTATATTTTCATTTTATTGTTTCTTAATAAAGAATTTACTTTAATATTCTTAATTGTTTTCTTTTTTATATTTAATTTTTGATATCTATTTTAAAAAACTTATACAAATTCGAGTCAGCTAATAATTTAATTGAAAAAATAAAAAGAAAACATATAATTTTTAATCCGTCTAATTGAATAAGCAATATTATAAATATTATGTTAAACGGTTAATTTTTTCTCAAAAAAAATTATTTCGAATTTCCGAAATTTTTGACATTTTGGCTGAGAACTATGGTCTGCGAGGTACATAGATAGAATCAGTACCTCGCAGACTATAGTTCTCTATATGGCGCCGAAAATTTTTGGTGAAATGTCGTCGCATTTCACCAAAAATTTTTCGGCGCCATAGGAAGAATTGGAGGGTGTGAGATACTATTACATGCTATAGTACTCACACCCTCCAACTCCCAATCAAAATCGCATAAAATTTGCTACTTATCTTCAGATTACCTCCCATTATATAGGGTGTCCAAAGGTGCGTTTAGCACAGCGCTCTATATGAGACTATTAAAGGAGATATATGCTGATTATAAATATATAATAAAAAATATGAATATATGTATATGATGAGTATGTTGTATTTTGGCGCCATGCCGGGATATAAAATGAATTTTGAGACAAGAGGCGGTTTCGCGGGAAATTTTGGCGGGATTTTTTTCATTTTTTAATGAATCATAAAGAAAACATCCTCGCTCTTGCAAAAAATGCAAAGACTGTAAAAAAATCTACGAGACATTGGTAAAATGCTTCGGTATGGATGCTCTTAGCTATTCCACTGTAACGTATCATGTTAGGATGTATCACTTCATGAACAAAAAGGCGCCCATCATAAAAATTGACAAAAAATCGCCGGATCAAAGAAAAATCAAAGCAATTCTTCAAGCGCTAGATGAAGACCCAAGAGCATCACTCAGAAGGATAGAGGAGATGACAAAGATACCACGTACAACAGTCAGTTATTATCTGCACAATTATTTGAACTACAAACTAGCGTATACACGTTGGGTTCCGCACAACCTTAATTCAGTTCAAAAAAAATCTAGAGTCCAATCTTCGAAAGAGCTCCTCTCTATATTGGGTGCGTATCAATCCAAGAAGTTTCGCTTTTTAGTAACAGGGGACGAGTCTTGGTTTCAATATGCAACAGAAGCCAAAATCATGTGGATCCCGAAGGATGAAAATCCGCAAACATTCCCGAAGAAAAAAATTGACACACCAATGATGATGTTGTCGGTTTTTTGGGGCGTGAATGGCATCATCGCAATTGATATTCTTCAAAAACCTAATACGATGAATGCTCAGTATCTAATTGACAATGTTCTTACTCAAATTATCAATTCTGATGAGTTTGAGAAATCCAAACAACAAAAACAAAAGTTTGCAATTCATTTTGATAATTCAAGAGTTCACAAAAGTCATAAGGTAATGAATTACTTGGTGGAAAACAATGTCAAAGTTGTTCCAAACCCAATTTATTCACCTGATATTGCACCCTCTGACTTTTATTTATTCGGCACGCTAAAAAAGAGAGCTGAAGGACGCGAATTCGCGAGTCCAGATGATCTTGAAAATTTTGTAAGAGAGCAATTTGAGCAATTTTCTCATGATGATTTAAAGCGTGTCTTTCAAGCCTGGATCGATCGCTGCGAACGCGTGATTGAATCCAATGGTGATTATATTTAAATAAACTTTATATATATGTAACTTGTTTATTTCTATTCGCAGTATTCAGGTTTGTGCTAAACACACCTTTGGACACCCTATAAAATATATCATTGCTATCTCATCGTACTATATTTCCACCCTATTGTATTTAAAAATATAAAATTTTTTGATAATATATTTTTATATCTTGAATTTTCAAACAATATATTCACAGATAATATAATGGGAAATCTATCTCAACCTAGCCTTAAAGTACCAAACTCCTGCTTGCATTCTCACTCACAAATATTAAACATCCATCTCCAAAAAACTAAATTCTTCACAATTTTTTTTAAAATTGAGAACATAAAAAACGTATGCATTCAATAATTTAAGATACTAACAAATATTAAAAACTTCAAAATATCAGATATTAACGTTTTTCAATTAAAAAAATATCATTTTGCTTTTCAATTCGAACATAAATCTTAAATATTTTTAATTAATATCTGATTTACAGCATGATTATCCATTTATAAATCTGACAAATAAATGACAAAACCATCAGAAATACTGTCACTTTTTGTCAAAAGTGAAGTCACGCTATTTTTCATGCACAACAAAAATTCATCTGGTTCTCAAAAATTTGAGAACATTATTCAGGTAGGATCACAGTTCAATTGATATTTAATGATATCTGTGATTTATTTTGATTTTCATATTAGTTTTTCCATGAATAATGATAAGAATTATCAAATAACAAAAGCGGATCAAAACAACTGTAAAATTTGAATGTAAACTTATTTTAAAAAAATGTGTGTTTTTATTTAAAATTAACATCTTAATGATGTAAAAATCTTTGGGTGTTAAATTCCAAAGAGAGATCTAGTGCGAATAACTTGTTAAATTGATCACAATAATACTTTTAACAATTATTTTGATACATGATTATTATTATCAAGATACAGATGAAGGTAAGAAACTTTTTGCTGTTGGACTAAATCACGTAGAAGGTTCAACAGCAATAATAGATATTGATGAGGATTGTGAAATCATAGGTAGTAATGTTGTTTTCGATAATTATATGGAATTTAGATATTCTCTAATTGTTAGATTCAAAAATACTTCCAAATTAAAAACTATTTGCGATAAAGCATTTGGGGAATATTATGAGCATGCCAATGAATTTGAATTTGAAAAATGTCCCAACTTAGAAGAAATAGGTTATCAAGCTTTTTATAGATGTGGTATAAAAGTACTAAATTTAGGCAATTGTATACATCTCAAGCAAATCAAAGAATCAGCATTTGAAGAGTCGAGAATAGAAGAATTAATACTTCCGAAATCTTTATCAATAATTGGAGCATCAGCATTCAATGGATGTTATAAATTGAGAGATGTAAAAATCCCACCAGACATAAACGTAACAAAAATTCCAGGGCATTTGTTCAGCTATTCCAAATTAACATCATTTCATATTAACTCGAAAGTAACTGATTTTCGTATGAGTGCTTTCTCAAATTGTATATTTATTGAAGATATAACTTTAGATAATTCTAATAAAAATTTTATTAAAATTGGAAAATGTTTCTATTCAACAGATCAAAAAAAATTATTGGGATATGTCCTAATGAACGAAATGTTACTTTAACTAATGGATTGGAAGAAATATGTGATTCATCCTTTTTTGGATCAAAAGTTAAATCAATAGTAATTCCATCAACTGTTAGGACAATAAAAAGATTTGCATTTTATCAATCTTCAATTGAATCAATTATTTTTCCAGATGATTCAATGCTTGAGATAATTGAAGAATATTCTTTCGCTAAATGTGAGGAATTATTTGAATTAAATCTATCCTTGTTATTACATTTATCAACTATAGAGCCATATTCATTTTATCAAACCTACTTGAAAAATTTTGCATTCCCTGAAAATGAGGTATTTAAAGAGATTCATCCGATATTTAGTGGTTTTACAGTTATTGAAATACCATCTCAAATTAGATTCATTCATGATAATGCATTTTTTATTGATGAATTGACTAATCCTCCAAATATAAATTTTCTTTCATATGTTAAATTTCAAGAAAACAGTCAAATCATTCATATTGGCAAATATTCATTTAGCACTTACTTTATTTCTGATATCGAAATACCTAATAGTATTATAAAAATTGATGATTTTGCATTTTATAAATGTGCTTTGTTATGCAATATTATAATATCTGAAGAATGTAATCTGAAATATATTGGATATCGATCATTTGTTTATTGCAAATTGTTGGTGGTTTTCATTCCTCGATATGTAAGTTATTTGAATGAATCTTCTTTTGATTTCAGAAAAAACATAAAAATTAGAACATCACCGTTAAATAATTTTTATTATTCAGATGATATTTATTTATATTCAAAGCATAATCAATGTGTAATTATTAAATTGTCTCAACGCACTAATTATACAATTCCATCCTATGTAAAAGAAATTGGTAAAGCAGTTTTTAGTAATTCAAATTTTGATCAAATCTTAATCCCAAAAAATGTTACAAAAATTCATGATGAAGCATTTTGCAATTGCCAAGTAAAAGTAGTGGAATTTGAAGAAAATAGTCAACTACAAGAAATAGGATCAAATGCATTTGCTAATACAATGATAACTGATTTCTTCATACCAAAGAGTGTAAATATAATAGGAACAATGGCTTTTAATAGTTATTATTTGAGAACTATTAAATTCGAAGAAGGATCCTGTATATCTGAAATCCCTGAAAATGCTTTCAAAAATTGCAAAATTTCAAATATTTCTATTCCATTGTCAATAAAAATTATAGGTAAAAATGCATTCAGTGAATGTATGGAATTTTCTAATATCATTTTTTGTGAAGTTTGCCAATTAGAAGAAATCAGAGATCACGCATTTGATAATACACAGTTAGTTTCAATTAATATTCCATCTACTGTTAAAATAATAGGTAGGAATGCATTCTGCAACTGTCGGAAATTGGTCAATATAATTTTTTCAGAAAATTGTGAGTTACAAGAAATTGGTGATCATGCCTTCGAAGCTACAAATATTATATCAATCATGATTCTATCTTCGGTTAAAACGATTGGACAATATGCATTTTCCTATTGTTATAAGTTGAGTAATATTGATTTTCTTGGTGATAGTAAATTAGACATTATTAATAGTTATTTATTCATAGGCTCAAGCTTAACTACAATCAAAATTCCATCTGCTATAAAAACTATCGATACTTATGCATTTTCAAACTGTGTTTTTTTAGTGAATGTAACATTTGAAGAAAACAGAAAATTAGAATTTATTGGATCTTACGCATTTCATTCATGTAAAATGACTGCCATAAGTATTCCATCTACTGTAAAATGCATTGGGGAAAATGCTTTTTCTGAATGTCGTTCGTTATCTGATATCATTTTCGTGGACAATAGTCAACTTATAAATATATCTAATCATGCATTCTATTGTACCAATATTTCGTCAATCATAGTTCCTAGACTATTGGTTTCGATTGGAAATAGCTCTTTTGAACTTTCAAATTTAAAGCAAATGGTTTTCCCTAGTGATTGTTATTTGAGTGAAATTGGGAGTTTTGCATTTTCAAAAACCCAATTAAAATCAATAGAAATACCAAATACTGTTAAACAAATTGGTGAATATGCTTTTTATCACTTAAATTTGGATAGCATCTCATTTTCGAATAATTCCCAATATAAAGAAATTGGTACTAAAACTTTTGCAGGAATTTCATATTGTTCATTTACATTTCCAAATGTAACAATCATAAGCAAAGAAGCATTTTCTAAATCAAATATAAAAAGTATATTAATTCCATCTACAGTTACAATTATTGATGATGCTGCATTTATTGAGTCTTCAATTGAAATGATAATTTTTGAATCAAATTCACAATTAATGATGATAGGTGACTATGCATTTAATATGACAAAAATGAATACTATTTCAATACCACCATCTGTTGTATCCATTGGCAACTATGCTTTTTATAAATCTACATTAACAAGTATTATAATTTCAGAAGATTCGAATTTAGAATCCATTGGAGATTATGCATTTGGTAATACAAATTTCAAAAATATTAACATTCCTAATTCGGTAAAAACTGTCGGCAAATATGCATTTTATTATTCAAAGATTGAATCAATTGACATATATCCTAATGTTTCTCTCATTGAAGATTTTACATTCTCATATTCTTTTCTTAAATTTATACATTTTTATTCAAATCTTTCATACATTGGAGCTTATGCTTTTTCTAGCTCACAACTTATATCAATTAATATTCCTTCATCTGTTACATATATAGGTAGTCACGCATTTTATAATTGCCAGATGCTTAATACCATTGATTTCCTCAATATCCAACTTGAAAATATTAGTGATTATTTGTTAAAAAACACTGATATATTGTCGATTGAAATTCCATTATCTGTTACAAGAATTAAAAAATATGCATTTTCTAATTGCAAAAAACTTCGATACATTAATATTTTGAGCAATTCTCGTTTGAGCATAATCGAGGAGAAAGCATTTGAAAACATTCAAATTACAAATTTCACAATACCAAGCTCATTAACTGAAATTGATGATTTTTCTTTTTATCAATGTGTAAATCTTGAAAAAATTGAATTTCAATCAAATGTTCACTTGACTAAATTAAGTCCAAGTGCGTTCATCAAGACAAAAATTTTGGAAATATCCCTTCCATCATCATTATTAATCTTTCAAGATGATTTTAACTATCAGAATTATTATGAAAATATGAATTATTATGAGAAACCTAGTTTTTCTTTTCATGATAGCTCACAGCTTGAAATAATAGGAAATAATTCATTTTATAAGTCAAACATTGTTTCAATTAATATTCCTTCTTCTGTAATAAAAATAGGAAGCTATGCATTTTCATCTGAGATTTTAACTTCTGTTACCTTCGCGGCGAATAGCAAATTAAAAGAAATTGGTGAATTTGCATTTGCAGAATCAAACATATCATCAATTATGATTCCATCTTCATTAAAAACAATCAAAAAGAATGCATTTTTCAAATGTCATTTCTTAAATAATATCTCATTTTCTCCAAATTGTGAGTTAGAAATCATTGAGAAAGATATTATCAAAGGGACTTCAATTCGGAATTTTGTAATTCCGAAAAACATTAAGGCACTTGATTATACATTATTTCAAAATTCAAATGAAATAAGTTTTGATCTTGATCCAGAAAATAAATACTTCACTATGGTTAATTCCGTTATCTATTCCAAAGATTTTTTAGAAGTTTTACATTTTCCTTCATATAAGGCTGAATGTTTTATCAATGATAGTGTTAAAATTATTGGAGATTATTCGTATTATATGTGTAAAATGGTAAGAATTACAATTCCACAAAATGTTTCATTAATCAAATCGTATGCATTTGCAAATTGTACAAATCTAGAAAATGTAGAATTCTCTCCATTATCAAAATTAACAACAATAAATTCAAATGCTTTTAAAGGCACAAATTTAAATGACATTTATCTCCCAGATTTAGTAATAAGTTTTAGTCAGGATGCATTTGATCAAAATACAACAATTCATCTTTCTGATTATAGTCAATATTCTAATCTGAATTTTTACACACCATCTTATTTAATAATTAAAATTCCTATAAAAATCAATGAAATTCCAGAAAGCAGATTTTTGCACTATAGCTTGTTGAAAGAAGTTATTTTTCCAAATAACAGCGAACTTAAAATAATTGGAAGCCATTCTTTTTCTAATACCGGTTTAGAATATGTCTCTATTCCAGCTTCTGTGGAAAAAATATCAGAATATGCTTTTGCTAACTGCTTAAATCTAACGAAATTGTTTTTCGACATAAATTGCCAGTTAAAAATTGTTGAATCATATGCATTTTATAATTCAAATCTTGAAAATCTAACATTTCCGGCACAAAACTATATTATTGCATCATATGCATTTAGTAATATAATATCATTAAAAAATGTCACATTTAATAATGGATATTTAATGCCCTATTTATATACATATTGTTTCTATTCATGCTCTATTCAATGTTTGAACATTCATTCATTCTTTTCTAGAATTGATGAAAATGCATTTTATTGTGATATTAATTATATTTGTACTAATGAGTTTATGAGACTTAATTACGATATCAAGGTTGGAATGTGTGGAAATATGAATTCATATAATTTTACAATACCAAGTAATGTAACAGATATACTATTCCCAACAAATATTTTTAAAAATCATTATGCTTTGACATTAATTTTTGAAGGTTCGAGTGTTAAATTGGAGCCATTAACTCATAATTACAGGTTTAAATTCAATCAAAAATTTAAATTTAAATCGAAGTTTCCTTGGGGTCCATCTGCTTACGGAATAATTCCAAATAATGAAAATGAAAGCCGAGTAATTGTATACAAATTTGTAATGGACAAAAATCGTAGAATCATATATGATTTTATTGGCGATGAGGAATCTGTATTAGTGTTCCCAGTTGAAAGAATTGCTTCACATGCTTTTGAAAATTCTAGCATTAAGTTTATTTTCATTGACGAACATGTCAGAAAAATTGAATATCATGCATTTTATAATTGTTCGGAACTGATTACAGTCGTTTTTGGAAGTTATGAAATAGACTATATCTCAGAAGGCGCATTTGTTTGTTGCCCGAAGTTAAAATGTTTATCTACTTTCATATCGGAAAAATATAAATGCATAAGTAACACAATATATAGAATTGAAGATGATAAAAACTTTGAAACTATTATTGCATATGCTCCAATGTCCCGAGATAAGCATTTTGAAATTAGCAGTCGAATAATCGGTGAGGCTTCATTCATGTGTTCATACAATCTTGAATCTGTATTTATCAACTATGACTCAGTTAGACAGATCAATCGATATGCTTTCTTCAATTGCTCAAATCTCAAAACAATCAACTTCCCAATGAGTGTTTCTTCTGTTTATGAGTTCTCATTTGAGGAATGTCATTCGTTACAAGAATGTCTTCAAATTGATAATCATCTTAGATCATTCTTAATCATGCTAACTAGATCCGGCATTCCTCATCATTGCATCAGATGTATCAATGTTATTGATGATCAATCATTAGTTATTCGTCTTTCTAATCTTAAAAGCAAATTATCTCTTATCTCTCTATTGAATTGTAGAAGATAAAAGTTTATTTTTTATATTCTATAAACTAAATTTGAGCTGAATGATAAATATTAATTGGAACTCTAGTAATTATACTCTTAAATTAGGATTAGACTATTGTACAATCATCGCCATTGTTTTTTGATATTTATGATTCTAAATTAGCTTTAATAACAGATAAATTGATTTTATATATTCTAAAATGTTATATGCATTATTGAAAAATAAAAATCGTTTATAAACAAGAAAAAAACAATGCAATATTATTTAAAAGTCCATGTCCTGAATCATATTTGCTGTTTTCTTTGATAGGGATATTGATCTTGCTGGTCTAACAATTGAGAATTTGTGTTTACTTCCTGAATTAAGAAGTGATGTTCTCTGTTTCTTCGAAGGTCCGTTAGAAATCGAGTTTGGATCCATGTTTTCTGCACCTCTTCTGATGGAAGAAGATCTCTTCTTTCTTGTCTTCGGAGCTGGTGGTCTGTAGTTGGAAACGAGCTTTTCTATGTCTTTCTTGCATTCTTTCAGTGTTTCTATGATACCTTTGTCTTCATAAGATGACAATTCGTTGATAGAATCGATCAATTCTTTGGTGAGTATCAAAGAAAGTGAGTTTTGTCCAAGCTTCAAGAAAACAGAAAGCGTTTTAATAGCTGTGCAAATAACATTTGGTGGCTGATCTGAATTAAAAATCTGAACAATCATTGGATAGATCACATTCTTGATATCGGCTTCTTTGAAGAGATGTATTGACTTCTGAAGCAATTTCAGGAAGAAAAGCTTTGAATATGAGTTTCCATTGAAAATATCTTGATAAAGTATCAAAATTTCTTCGTTATGAGATCTTATTGAGTCAAGAATATCAACAATTGAGTCTATCAATGGGAATGTGTGCTTCTTCAATGCAAGTTTAATTAATTCAATTCCATTCTTTGCAACAATATGAGCGCAAGGGGAATTTGATAATAAACTTAGCATTCCTGCAATTTGCCTCCAACTGCAGATTTGAATTGGAACTTTTGATGGTCTCTGGAAGTTTTCCATTGCATCAATTTCTTTTGGAGGGAGAAGAGGGAAGGAAGCAACATGACCTTCGTTTATTTCGAATCTGCATCTTTCAATTATGCATTCTGTTAATGTTGTTGCATATTCTGAATTAACTTTATTAATTACATGAGCAACAGCATCACACCATTCTTCGAAACGGACAAATGACTCTACATTGCATAAGAGAGGAACAATGATATCACAGCATTGCTGTGTATTGTTGACATCAATAACTAATTTTGATAATTTGATTGAATATGGAGATTTGCTGTCAACAATCTTCTTATAGAATAGTACAGCATCCTTCGGAGTCATTTCCTTAATAAATGTCATATAGAAATTTGAAATGATGTCATAATATTTTGGAGAAAAGATTTTTGCCTTCCAAACGATTTGCAACAAAAGCTTTGGTTTAGCAAATCCTTTGTGAATTATTGTTGTGCAGTTTTTGGCAATTATTGCAGCCAAATCATGAGTATGTGAAGGAGCTTTAAGCGTATCTGTGATTTGGCGCTGTAAAATTGGTGGTATGATTTCAAGATTTATTGCTGCATTAATCAAAACCGAATGAGCTATGGGAGAATGAATAATCTTCTTAAGAATCTGGTCAACGAATGCCTCAGATTGAGTTGATATTAAGGATGTTAAGAATGTCTGGAGGAATTGTTGAAGAACTATTGGTTGCTGAACAAGATTGTTAATAAGATCGGTAGGCATAATTGCCCCAGCTTCACAAAGTCCGGTTGTCATGTAAATAGCGCATGCAATGCCAAATGTTGAATGGTCAAGTAAGAAAATCGGACTGACCTGATCAAAAGCGAGAGATTGTTGAATCGGATCATGAAAATTCTTGCATAGCTCTCGTAGTAATTCATTCCATATAGTGACACCAGTAGATCTGGACATTTTAATCAAAAATGGAAGTAGTACACGAATTCTGTCATTTGAAGTTAATGCTCTTTTCTTGAGTTCGCGAATGATTGCTTGTTGTACAGCATGATGAAAGTTATCATCTTTGGATAAAATGATTGCATTAATATACTCAAAAGCGTCAGCATTTTCTTTTTGTCCTCCAATCATTCTTTGGAGAGGTAATTGATCAATTGCCCAGAGCTGCAATGTTTCGTCATCCGATTTAAGATTGTTCATTACTTCAATTGGTGATACAGCACTCAAAGAGTTCTTTTTTCGCATATGAAATGTGTTCTGGCTAAAATGTACGTTTAAAAAATTTTTATTATCGGCCTTAGAAAAATTATTGCAGTTCTTTTTTAATCATTAGCTAAATAAACTTCTAATATGCAAAGGAACAATTTCCAAAATTAAATACATAATTTTAACTACAAAATAATTCTGTTTCATGGATTGAGCTAGCTTTGAAACACCATATTTTATAAGAGCTCTTGTTTGATACTTTGAAAATATAGATATGCAAAAAATTGTGGTACCATAACTTAAGGATACCCTTACGTGTCAGATTTTTTGCGCATACGAAGAAGTCATGCTAGACATGAGCTATAAACCTGAAATTTTAGCAACATATTTAAAACTTTTTAAACTACAATACACTTTAATATTCAAGAACAAAAATATTCTTTTTAGAAATTACATAATTATTTTATGTGAAATCTATATAAAAACATATTTTGCGAGCGTAACTTTTTTCTTTATAAGCACCTTATATGACTGATAAACTGTGAAGGCACATAATTGTTAATTCATAGAGTTGATATGTTTCCAAAATTGAGAGGAAATTTGAAAATTGAATACCCTTTCAATTCAATTTTCAAAAGATATCAGCTCCTTCAATAATTGAAGGACGATTTTGATCATTTGCTCTTAAAACAAGTATGCCATGGAGAAAAAAGTTACGCTCGCAAATCTGAAATATAACTATCATATAAAAAAATTAAATTTCTAATTTTTTACTCTATAGATATTATTGGCCATTTGTGTAATGCATAAAAGTTTATGTCATATGCATACATTTGGAAGTATGGGAGACGAGGGAAATTACTTCTATGAGGGACTAGGATTTTTAAAAATTTCTCTATCGGACTCACCATTCAATTTCTCGAAAATTAAAAAAAATCAATAATAGCTAAAATGTATTATGCATAACAAATTTTAATGTTACACGGTATTTTTTGAACTTCATGACATGAATTTTCTTTATATTATTTTTTTTTTGGATTTTCTATGATTTATGCGATAGGCTGGAACAACATTGTAAGTGCAATGATATCATTTATAGAGAAATCTAAAACTTCAGCATTCAGAACTCGCAACCACAAAAATATTCATTTGCTAAGTAAGTAAAGTTGATTAAGTTCGACACTTAGCTTTTATACGTAAAACCAAGTGTGTATTGTTATTTCTTGTTAAATTATTGAGAAAAAAATAAATTGTAAGAGAAACGATACTGATTATTGAAATAATATTGAGGGTAGCTGCAGATTTCTTCATTAACATGCCGGAAATTTGTTAATCTTGGTTTTCTATCATAAAATCTGTCGAAGAATCTAAAAACGGAGATATGAAATAGAGATCATGTAAATCTAGAGTATCCTGTCAGAAAAATAGACTAAGCATGTAACCCTTTTTGGTCATAAACACTTTTTACCACTTAGTCATACAGATGATCATTAAATTTAAACGAGCACTTTTTGTCAGAATTTATTCTTTTACAAAGACAGAAGATTTTAGTATTATTTAATATTAGTGCTGTAGCAAAATTCAAAAAAACGGTGAAAATTCAGTGAATTTGTGAATTCACATTTTTTTTCGACATTTTTCTTGATATATCCATGCACATTAAGAACACAGCTTTGATACGCTTAAAAAAGCATATTTCATATGAAATTGTCAAAGAAATAAACAAATTATATAAAAATTGCACTTATGGGCAGTTTAGATATATAATTTATATATAACATATATACAAATCCATAGACAAAGTGCAATAACTACAATGTTGTAGAAAATTACAGCAGAAATACTGACTTTTTGAAGGATAATAAGAATTCTTCTAAATGTTGTATTTTTATAATTTGATTGATTTTTTTACTATTTCATTAATCTTTTATGAATAATAATTATTTTTAATATATGTGCTATTAAAATTTCAAATTTTGACTAATATATCTAAGTTATCTGAACGAAACATTTAGAAAATATCATACTTACATTGAAATAGCAAGTAGAGCATATTAATAGCAAGTTTCTTGGCTTTATATCTATCATCTATTGTTGTTTGATCAAACAAAATTCACTCTATTATATGGTGTCAATTAATTAAAACAATTTTTAATAGTTATTTATTTAGTGCGAATAAGTGCAAACTCATAAATGAATAACTTAATAGTAGAAATGAATTATCTGATATAAATCTCACATTTTGTCCATCAGAAATACTTTAATTGCATACGCATAACTATTAGTAATACGTCTGGAGTGTCAATTAATAACAATCCCACAACAAGTAAAATTCAGATTTTTATTAAACTTATTTTTTCCTAAAAGTTTTCTCAAATTACTATATATACATATGTGGATAAAATAATAGTAATATTGTAAAAAATTAGATAATTTTTTTTATTTGAGAACCTCTCAAAAGTTCATTCAATTTATCAATTGTTTCAGTTTGATGTATATTCATTTCTGGAGCCTAAAACTTTAGCAATCATGACAATATCATATTCTCTTTCTAACTACGCAATGTAAGGGTATCCTTAAGTGAATTTTTAATTCAAAACTAAATTAAATGAAATATAATTATAATATTAATATATTGCAATACTCAAATAAATTAATATACTTCGATCATCATATACTTTCTTCTTTGCAGTTAAGGCATTAGGAGTAATACAGGGGGTAAAATGAGGAGTAGATTGTGCAGTTTGAACTGGAGTAAGTTTAGGAGTTTCTTTTGCAGTTATCATTGGAGTATTAAACATGGTTTTATGAGGTGTTATTCGTGGGGTTGTTGATCCTGTTTTGAATGGAGTCAGGGCTGGTGTGATCTTTGGTGTAAGTGCTGGTGTCAAGACTGGTGTTTCTTTGGCTGTTATCCTTGGTGTTGCAAATGGTGTTGGTGTTGGGAATAAAACATTTTGGAAAGGATTTTTTTGATATAGTTTATCATATCCTTTCACTGTTCTACAAAATGCCTCTGGTGGTGGACAAACAAGTGTTCTTGTACTTGTGCCGCCATATGAATTTGTTCTGCTAAATGTATGTATCTGTTCTTCATAAGAACAATTTATTGTTATATATTCATTTGTTTTATGATTTGAGTGTACATTCAATGTGAATGAACTATAATCATCAGAGCATGAATATACTGCACAATCATCATTTGTGTAATATGTTAATCCTGGAATTGTTGCTGTTCCATCTGGACAATAATATGATTGCCCTTTAACTAATGCATAATTCATATATTCTTCTCCAAATTCTTGATAATTGTAAGGATTATAATAGTTTTGATTTGAACAATATTCAGGATAATTAGATGAAATAGAACTACTTGAACAATTTCCTTTAATTGAATATGGATTTCCCCATGATTTAAATGTAAATGATCCACCATCTAAAGTGACATTCGGACGCTTGAAATAATATTTTGGAAGTGTTGAAATTGGAGGTCCTAATGGCCAATTTGGAATATATTCTCCACTGATGAAATCTTTGTTTCCAAAAATTGGAGGTTTTCCATATCTCCAATCGACTTCATAATTTCCTGAATCGAGTAAAAATGCCATTGTTACTTCAGTAAATCTTAAGAATGGGACATTTTCTTCTTGTAGATATTTACCAACTGATAAATCCTCAGGATAAAAAGCAGTATTTGGTCTCATGTATGTTGGATGTAAAATAATACCTGATGGACATGTTTTGTCATCTCCAACAAACCATTCTTGTCCGAAGAAATTTTTTCCATGATGGTGCGCATATGGTGTAATAAGAACTCTAAATTGAATTCCATTTTTTGTTAATGTACATATTGGATTTGGAAAATAATCAGATGATAACTTAATGTGAAAATGATCTGAAGTTGTAATGCCTCCTAAAATAACTGACAAAATGATATTAAAGAAGTAATCATTTTGTGTATTTCTTTGTGATGCAATTGTTGGTATTTTTCTTGGATTCAAAATTCCAGACATTTGATGAACCACATAATATTTGGAATCATAATAGTAGCAATCTGTTGCCCAAGACACTGAATTAGGATTTGGATAAGGATGTGTCAACCAAACTATATGTAAATCACAATTACGTGCATATATGTTTTTACCTTTTAAAGCAAGTGAATACTTGTCTGAATAGTATATATATCTATCTGGAAGTGTTTTGACTCTAAGAAATTGTTCTAAATATGCTTTGACATTAGCGATTGTTTCTTGATATGCAGAAATTTGTTCTGGTTTCATTATATCCTCTTCTGTGCATGTTAGATTGTTGTTATCCCATGTAACAACTTGTCCAACAGATGTGCATGATTGTGGATCTGGATATGTACCATTAAAGAATCGATTGTCATTCACAATTCGTATTGGTTGGAATTCAGGAATTGAATCAAAAATTGGTGTTGGTTGGGGTGTTGGTTTTGGAGTTGGTCTTGGTGTTTGTTCTGGTGTTGGTCTCGGTGTCGGAAAGATTACACCTGAAAATGGATCACTAGTGAAGTGTTGATCTAGTAGTTCTCTTGTTCTGCAGAATTGTTCTGGTGATGGACATGTAACTGTCCTCATTAAATATATGTTTTCTGAATAATTTCTCTTGAATGTGAATGTTTGTCCTTTTGATGAACATGTTAATTGTTTTGTTGAATTTGTTGTTGTATCTGTAATAACATCGAGATAGAAACTTGTGTATTCGTTGCATTGATAACTTGCACATGTGTCATCACTATAATATGTTAATCCTTGGACCGCTGCTTTGCCTCGTGGACAAATAAATGATGGATATTTCAGTGGTTGATAATCAAATGATTCATAAGTTCCTGATTTATTATATCCATATGGATTGTAATAACCTGGATTGTTGCAGTAAAGTGAATCCGCATTCGTTGTTGGATTGTTGCAGTCAATCGTTTGTGTACTCGGTGATCCCCATGTATTGAAATCATATCCTGCTGTGTTTTGTGGTGTATTTGGATTGAAGAAGTAGTTATCAGGTAGTGTTGTCTGTGGTGGTGACAATGGCCATCCTTTCATAAATTTTCCATCAATCGAATCTTTGTTTCCCCATATCATCGGTTGTCCCATTGACCAATTGACTTCATAATTTCCACTATCTAAAAGGAACGCCATTGTTACATCACTCACTCGCCTAAATCGTCCATAATCATTATGCATAGACATGTAATTACTAGTATCTGTATAATATATTGTTGATTTGGGCAAATCGCCTGCAGCTGTTCCGTAATCTTCTATTACAATTCCACTTGGACAATTATTGTCATCTCCATAAAATGTTGAATTTCCATAGTTCTTTTTTGCAAAATGATGTGCATGAGGAGTTGTAAGGATTGAAAATCTCTTTCCATACTTTGTCAGGTTACAAATTATTGAAGTATAAGGTGTCGGATCATATTTCGGATGGAATTTATTGATATAATTCTCTGAAATCGCTATATACCTCAAAATGAATGATAGAGTCCTATAAAATTCTCCGTTCGGTTCAGAATTCTCGTTTTGAACAATATCAGGTAAACTACTTTGTTTCATATAAACATTTGTTTGAATGTTTCGATTATAAGTATCATCTTTTGTTATATGTGATATTGAAGAGAATGAATCATCTCCAAATGGGCGTAAAAAGAATACTAAATAAATATCTGTGTTAGAAATATTTGTGCCTTCTACAATTGATTTCTCTCTTGTTGGATCTGATTTTAAAGAAATTGGATCTGAATAATGTATGACTTTAAGAAAACGTTCTAAATAATCTTTAACATTATTCATTGTACCTTTAAATGCTTCAATTTTTGTAGAATTCGGAATATCATCTTTAATACATTGAACAAATCTGTCATCCCAGGTAATACTATCACCAATATTTTTACATTTAAGAGGGTCTGATGATGTTCCGTCGAAATATTGAAAATCTAATGATATTCGAATTTTTTCAAAATTTGTTGAACTATAAAGTGTTCTTTTATGATAAGATTTGTCGATATTGGCATTGAAACCTTTATCCTCTCTCTTAAATTTTGGCCAGAATAAGAATATAAGGAGAATCATTCAATTAAAAAGTTCAAAAATTCAAAAATGAACTCCCTCTCAATTTTTGAAGGGTTGGGAACAGTTGTTCATAAAATTGATAATAGAAAATTGTCATAAACTAATATTATTATCATAAATCACATAAGCAAATATTTTTAGTCATAAATGATTATTAAAATTTGTCAGATTTATTTTTAAATTGATGTGGGAAATAGAGCTGTAAGCATAATATATCAATTGTTATAGCTGTCAATTTTTGATTACTGTGAAAACCATTGTGTTGAAAATTTATCTCCCTGATCCTATTTTGTTAAGATGAAGTAATCTTGTTGCAAAATTAATGTATCAACTAATTTCATATTCTCACAATTTTTCAATGTAAAAACTATATCCGATCAGACCATTTATAAGGACATGTTTTTAATGGAAATGGCATAATCTCATTCAATTAAATATGTTTAGTATGTTAAGGGAGGATTATGTAAACTTCAGAATTTAGAACCTTAATTTTTAAGCAATAACTTGGTACCTAAATAGGTAGGAAAACTCTAAAAATATCAAAAAATACAACTTGGCTCCATAATAATCCTGTCATGGTGGCTGTTTGTATCCCCTAGTATTTTCCTCTTGAATCTCTTTTTCTGTCGAAATTAAATTCAAATCTCAGAAGTAGAAGTGAATAATCGACTTATTACTGCTATTATACGAATAAATAAATTCATTATATTATTTTTATTTACATAATATCTGTTTGAAGTCCATAATTCTATAAATTTTTCTTCAAAAACATTACAATCTTGATAGTTTTGATACTGTTTAATAGGTTTTTGGCACCTTATTTAGTATTTACTACGTATAGAGTCGATCTGAACTTAATTTTCGGAAATTTAAAATATTTATTATAAGTAAAATCTGATTTGAAATTTATGTTTAACTACTCATATCTTGCATTATCCTGAGTAGCTTTTGTAAAAATTCATCAAAAAAGATTTTAACGTGCTTTAATTTTTATTTTTTAAAATAATGCATATTATTATATAACTAGCATATCTACAAATTTTAGTGCTTTCAAAAATTTAATCCTCCTCCTCTCAAATAAACGTACATCCGGGTGGCCTGTTTTTTGCAAAAAAATAACATTTCAGAGGGTGTCCAACCAAAATAACCTTAAAATGAATTTTACCTTTTTGAGTTTTTCTTCATATTCAGAGGAAGTAGAGAAAAGTTTAAACGGTAAATACATGCGAATGCATATCAGCATTATGCTCGAGCTGGATTTGTATATTTTTCTTTTCGTAATTTGAATAAATTCGAAAAATACTGATTTATAAAATTATAATAAGAATTATAATTTGCATTAAATATCTGATAAAATAATAAAATAAAAATGATGATTTTTTGAATCAAAAAATTGAACGATGATTTTTTCAAATTATTATATTTATTGTAAATAACGACAACTGAAGGTGAGATATTGAATTGTAATAAACAGAAATTCATCAAAAGTGACAGCTCTCAATTTTTTGACATTTGTAAATTCTAAATTGAATGAGAAAAATGAAATAATACTAAGCATAATACAATATTCTAGATTTAATTATAATTAGGAAAAAGTTAGTTTTGAGAGTACTTTTCATAGGCATATAGAATGAAATCTTCTGAAAAATAATATCACATAAACTCATATTATTTTCTAATATATAACTATTTTATATAAAAATCAAATTCAATGATCTTAAAAGCGAAGGATAAACCTCAAAATTTACGAATATAATGAGTTGGAATATAATGCTTATCTATCATAAAACCATATGAAATATCAATTTTTGCTTTACGCCTAATTTTTGACGACAATTAGCAAAAAATGTTAAATGTTAACACTCAGTCCATTTGAATATGAAAAATAAAATTGACTTTGATTAAATGTTTTCATTTATCATGCAATTCTTCTTGCGACCAAAGATTTGAATAAAATTTCAAAAAATAAGATAGCCTAAAAAATAATATACGGTAGTGTTTACTAATAGATGAATAGTATATAAATTCTATTAAAATGGATTTGATCCAAAAAATATATATAAAATTTGATCATAAATAAAATCGTTTTAAATTACTTCTTCATTTAAATTAGAGTAGGTGACAAAAGTGCATACTCTTAAATTAACCTTAAATGTTTATTTTTCGATATTTTCGGTATTAACCTTATTGTAAATTTTTCCGGTGATAAATTTATCACACTGAGGTTATTTTTCCGGTGAGATTTTTAACCTTGATTTAATGAAATTAATATATATAAATTTTATTATTTTTAATTTCGAATGAGTATAATAAAATATTTTTTTATATCGTCATAACTCTCATCACTGTTGTGATTCCAAATGCGATTATTAAGGTTCAAGTCGCTAATGTTTTGAATGAAGATAGAGCAGTAAGAATTCTTACAAGGGCAGGTAATCAGATTGTTGAGCAAAGAGCTTCAAAACACGATGAATGTTTGAAATTAATTCAACACATTTTGGAAATTGTCGAAAGCCGAAGGATTGAACCTAATGTCCTTATTCCATCTTTGAAGACAATATTAAATTTGGCACAAAGAAGTTTAAAGGAAGAGTAAGCAAGATTAGATAATTTGGACTTTTTTTAAAATTAATGAATAAACAGTATATTTTTGAAGTGTAAGCTTATTTACCTGAAGCTATATTACTTAATATAACATTCAAAGTATTATTGCTATTTATTGGAGAACAAATTTATGTAATTTTCACATGAAAATTGATAAATTTGTATTTCCTTATGATAATCAATTTTTGTATTTGTAGAGAGTCTCCCTGCATGATATCAAGACTTGGCTATAAGTCTTTATCCATTTTTGAAAATTGTATTGTAAATTGTAAGAATTTCTGAATACTACTACTATAAAATATAATTGCTTATCAATGTATATTCTCCCTGCATGATATCAAGACTTGGCTATAAGTCTCTATTCATTATGAGTATGACCCCATTTTTTTACAAAAAGTGCCGAATTGCAACTTTGTCCCAATCTCAGTACATACCCAGGTATCTAAAATATCACCTAAAAGCGCTCTTAATTTATGCCAATTGGCATAATAAAGCTACAATTAGAATGCTGACATGATGAAGAATCATTATGAATCATAATTGGCCAGTATGATACAAGATTTAAGAAATCTTAGAGATTATCTGATTTCATGAAACACAGTGATTACTAAGTTTCAGACTTTGAAATTTTAACATGTTGATATGGGTACATAGGATTTATGATTCCAGTCATTTATTTAAAAAATTAGGAATAAGAATTAATATGATGTGAGTAACATTGGTAATAAATGCTTAATTACTAATATATTATTTCTTGGTAGAAATTAAATGTTTTGGTGGCATTTATAGAAGTTAAGCTGAGAATCAAAAATGCAAAATTTAATTTATTTTTGTGTATCTATATGGGTACACTAAGTTATTGATGTAGATATGAAAGAATCATGAAAATGAATTGTGAATCTCAATATTAGTTGTGTAATGCTGCGTCATATTTTGAATTCAAAATATCCATAATGTTGATAAATGTATTTTAAGATAATACATAAAATTAAGCTTGAAAAAAGATATCGAAATGTAATTTTCAATAGATTCAAAGTTTGGCATATATTTTGATTTTAACTATTGATATATTTATCGAACATCTATAGTAATAGAATGCAGAACTAACTAAATATAATCAATAAAAAAATATGAGTTGAAGTAATATTCTAAGAGATATATGTGATGTTACCAATATGACATGATATTAGAAAACTGATTTAATGGCAATGTCTCCCAGAATGACACATTTCGACCGACAAGAGTGCATAACACACTCTTGTCGGTCAAAGTTTTGCAATCACACTCTGATTGCAAAATATTATGCCATTCCGGGAGACATGCATTGGCAATGTCTCCCACAATGACAAATTTTGAACTACTTATTTGCATAAAATACTATTTTCTTTCAAATTTCTGAACTTCATTTTTTTAATATAATAATATTGTATTAACCATTATATTTTCTATCCCTATCTTACTTTTACACTGATGTTCTCAATGAAATCTATTGTATCATATCTCAAATACTCTCAAACAAAATCTTTTAAGATCATCAAAGGATCCACTTGATTTACATCTTTTTTGTACAATGAATGCTAAATACCGACATAAGAATCTTCAATATTTTATATTATTTGTCAAATATCTTAAATCTGAGATTGATTTATCCATGATTATTCTAATATTTTTAAAATCATTCTAATTCTTTAATTATTCATTAATTCATATATATATTTGTTAATTTTCTTGATATATCAAACAATCAAAAGTGGGAGAAAAAAATAATTAGATGAGATTTGAACCTGATACCTCTCTTTGTAGGTGCAAAAACCGTTCCGTTACACCACATATTTTATTTCTATATTTCATATTGACGTTCCTATTAGATTTTAATTTGTGTTTCCCCCTTCTAAAATCCATCATCATGCTAAATTACTCATTTTGCTTTAATTGACCAAATCGCAAATTATATAATTCTAACATTTCCATAAAAATCTCCCATATTCATTATTTACTTTTTTAATTTTCTTCTTTTACTATTACATTTCTTTAAATTTTTCAAATATTTTCAAAAAAATAAATTTTTTTCCTCATATAATTTTATATCTCAAAATTGAACATTTTATATTACTAGTGAATACAATAGTATTGACCTAGACACCATCCCCATATCATATACCAAATTTGGAGCCAAAATCATCGTTAAATCTTTGGTTGGACACCCTCTAAAATTTCATTTTTTATGCTTAAAAAGTCAGAATTTTTATTTGCTTCTGGGATATATGATGGCTATATCAGATGCCCATTCTTTTTGATACTCAACATTAAACATAAAACTTAGCCGTTAAGGGTGCACACGAGAGGATCATGTAAACTTCAGAATTTAGAACCTTATTTTTAGGCATTATCTTGGCTACCTATTTAGGCTCGAAAAGCAAAAAATATCAAAAAATACAACTTGAGTCCATTATGACCCTTTCATGGAGGTAGTTTTTATCCGCTAGTATTTTCCCTTTGAATCTCTTTACAATTCGAAATCAAATTCAAACCTCAGTAGAAGAAAGGAAGAATCGACTTACTACGGTTGTAATACGAATAAATACATATATTTAATTATTTTTATTTACATAATAATTGTTTGAAGCTCATATTCCATCAAATTTTTAAATAAAAACATTAAAATGTTGAAAATGTTCATATATTTTAATAGGGTTTTGGCACTTTATTGAGGAATTACTACATACATAGTCGAACTGAACTTGATATTTTGAAATTTAAATTATTTATCAAAATTAAAATTTAACTTGAAATTGATAATTATTTAATCATATTTTGCATAATTCTGTTCCATATTAAGTTCTGTCAAAATGTAAGCTATTCAATTCTATCGTCGGGGAAAGTATCACAAATCTATCAATTTTTTTGTAAAAGTATACAAAAACATATGGTGTTCAATTAGTTTATAATAATATAAATATTAAGATTATCCAAAATAAGAAAAACTAGGTTTTGAGAACACTTTTGAGATGATAATCAAAATATTTTGATTGAAAAATAATATATTATTTATCAGATATAGAATGGATTTTTTCAAATTTAAAAATTCTGAAAAATAAACAGTTTTGTAAAGTAAAAAAAATGAACGAAAACTCGAGACCTCGTATTCCAAATGAATGGGTAAGATATATGTATGAAAAACTTGAAAGTGGTGAGTTAACTTACGCAACAGTTTTGAAAAAAGTTCCATATTCTTATCAAAATGTTACAATTTTCAAACAAATTTCAAGAAATACTCTCAAAAAAGCATTCAAAGAAATCGGTGGTACACCAAAAATTAAAAGTGGTCCTCCACAAGAGGAATTAACTCCAGAATTAATTTTGAAGGTTCAGAATTCTTATGAAAATTACAAATGTGGGGTTCAAAAATTGTATTGGACTCTCAATATGAATCCAAAACAATTTCAAATCAGTTACAATGCAGTTATTAAGGCAGCAAAATTTCTGGGAATTTACAAAGAAAAAGATAAAAGTAATCCAAAAGCATATTATGTGGATTATGAAGCAATTCTTCCAAATACAATCTGGCATGTGGATATTCATTTTTTGAAAGAACCAGAAACTTTACCGGTTTATGGAATAATTGATGACAAAAGTCGTTATTTGTTAGCATTGAAATTGCTTCGTAACAAAAGTTCAACAGAAACTTCAAAAGTGGCAATTGCAACAGTTCAAAAATATGGAGCACCTTTCTGTTTCTGGTCAGATAACGGTAAAGAAAATGAGGGAGAGTTCACAAAATTTTTGAGTACTTATGACATTCAAATCAGAAAATCAGCTCCATACATGCCACGTCAAAATGGCAAAATTGAACGCCTCTGGCCATCACTGGACAAAAATGCTCCAAAGTCTTCAGAATTTGAGAGCATCAATCAGGAATTGGAAGAATTCAGGCAAAAATACAATGACATGCCACATGGCGCTCATCCAAAAATTGGAGTTCGACCATACACTCCAAGAGAGGTTTACAACAAATTTAAGAAATGGACCAAGGATGATAAACCGCTCTGGAAAAAATGTGTTAATAAGCAGTGGGAAGTTGAAGAGATTCCAAACTATTGAAATATTCTATATTTTTTCAAAAATTCTCATTCAAATTTGAATTTGGTTTTCAAAATTATGAATAAACATTATTTTTATTAAACTTGATTTTTAGCTCTAAAGAATCAAAAGAATTTAGCGAGAAAGAATATGCAGCTCACATAGGGGTAGATAAAGATATATCTCGAAAAAAATTGAATTTATTGTAAAGAATGAAGAAGTTCATTTTAAGATTGAGTTGATTTTCAACCAAAACGAGAAAGCATGCAGGCAAATGAAATTCGAAAAGTGAAAGGAATGACATATGCAAAAGAAAAGATTCAAATAACGCAAGCGAAATATAGATCAGTTAAAATCAGAATAAAATTTCGATCTTTTCTACAGGGAACTAAAGGCTATGAGGCACTAATATATAATCAGTGCCTCATAGCCTTTAGTTCCTTATTAAAAGTGGGAAAACTTGTTCGCAATGCGAAATGATTGCGAACAAGTTTTCTCACTTCAGCGAGGGAATTGTTCCTTATGATGCATACATTATAAATATATACATCATAAGGAACAATTCCCTCTAGATAGCTAGGAAACCCTAAATTAACTATTAATCTTTGAGATATTTTTTATTGAGGTTAATACGTTTTTCTAAATAATTAAAATGTAAAATTTTGATTATGAACTCATCTCTAATATTTTGGCTCTTTAATATATTTGAATCATGATCTTTGAGAAGAGTTCTCAAAAGTATTCACAAAAGCTATTTTTCCTTGAAATTTAAAAATCCTGTTTATCATATATTACCAAATTCAATTCCCTACATATTTCAAAATATTCTATGAACATTTCAATTTTTGAAAAAAACATATTTTTTCCAAATATATTTATTATCATATTTCTAATAATATTTCCTAAAGCGTCACTTTTTACTTCCTCGATGATTATTTCCCTCTCAAAAAATTCAATAGCTTACATTTTGACAGAACTTAATATGTAACATAATTAACATATTCATAATGTTTCATCCTTTCAAAAATATAATCCTCCTCCTCTCAAATAAACGTACATACGGGTGGCCTCTTTTTTCAAAAAATTAAAATTTGAAATTTTGGGCTCAAATATTAGAGATTTTTTCAACCTTCAACGATATATGTTGTCTATATCAGACCTCCTTTCTTTTTGATACTTAACATTGTTCCTAAATCTTAGCCGTTAAGGCTGTTCTGAAAATATTTTTTTTTCGAAAAAATTCGAAAAAAATTCTTAAAATTCAAAAATCCCTTAATTCCTGAGGATTTTGGAAAAAAGTTTTTACATGAACATGTGTATATTATATGAAGTATATTGATAAAGTAAAAATCAAATTTTATTGCATATTCATCGAGAAAATAAACTAACGAATCCCTCAAAATTGAGAGGGTAATCCTCCTCCTCTCAAATAAACGTACATACGGGTGCACCCTTAAGGCCCTTCTGAAAATATTTTTTTTCCGAAAAAATTTTCGAAAAAAATCAAAAAATTTAAAAATCCCCGAATCTGCAGGGATTTTAAAAAATTCTTTTTAGTAAAACTTAAGGATATTGTATCAGATATATTGGTATGGGCAAATTCAATTTTAATCCAATATTCATCGAGATATTAAGGGTTGACCGACCTAAATTGAGAGGACGTAATCCTCCCGATTTTTTCATTTTCAGCCTTGGTAAAATACCCTCGAAAACTCAAAAAAATTGACTTGTGTCCATTTAAAAGGGTTCGTCGAGAGGTGTTAAATTATTGATTTTCAGGATCGTAACTCATAATTTTTTACAATCATATTAAAATTATGCGAGAAAACAAGAAAAAATATTCGTTATTTTAGTATCAAATACTACAAATCCTAGATTGCAATATATTTTAGCACGTAAAATTCCAAAATTTACCGTAATTGAATAAAATTTACAATAAACATCAATCCATTCTAGATTTTGCATATTGTTAATGATTTCCATACTATTTGTTTGCAGACTGTTCTATTGTTAACCGCGATTGTCTAAATCAATTTCATATAATTAAAATTTACAAATCCCATGCGATTCTTATTTCTTGTCTGCAAAACAAACCTTTAACAATTAATGGTTTCAATACTGTTATCGTCTTTATTTTTAACGGATTTTTGGAGCAACCTAAAATAAGCTTGTCCATAATCTCCAAAATAAAAAGAATCGCCGCCACGAATTTCCGGATTTGGCGATTTTTATGAATTTTTATCAACCCCGCCGGATTTTTGATTTTTACCCCTTTCTAAGTATTTTTAATTATTTAAAATTATTGCCGTTTTCCCATTAATTTTGAATATATTTGTGATATTTGCACGGATACATTATAAAATATCATCTGATATTAGTAGCATGTATGGGAAATATGAATTTGAACAAATCTAATGGTAAATACATGACTTACACTATGCATAATATTATAATATATAATTAATTCATGAATATGAAAGAATTTCATGAATATGAGATTTCTCCGGAGATTCGGAGATTTTATCTATTCTATCTATACAATAAATATGAGTCATTTTCTCAGGCTAGAAATGGTGAGGGCATACTTGAAGAATTTCTCTGGAGATTTACTTTTGCCTCTAAGTATGATAAATGAAATATTTATTTATTAAAATATATCTTTTATTACATGGCAGTTCGGGGAAATGAATATTTTTTATCGAAATATATATATTGCCTATTTAAATAGCAATATAAACAATAGAATTATTCATTATTGCTTGTAAATTTGTTAATTATGTCAAGTATAACATAAGGTTTTATTATTTTAGTAAATTTGCATGTTATTTATTGCAGAAATAAAGGAATGATTTATAAATCGTTAGATCTTAGATTTTGTTAATCATTTCTTCTTAAAATGAGACTGTGGTAATGGGAACTGTGTGTGAGAGTTGGAGTATTGTTAAATTGCGCGAAATTTTGATAAGTTCCAAAACTATTTGTGGTATGTTCAAATATATTTGAATTTAATAATATATGATAACATCGACTGCAAGCAATCGATTTTAAGTGATTGATGAAAATATTTAAAATTTTCGAGGCTTTTTTGGCTGATAGCAATTGCTTTGGTCACCTAGAATGAAGTTCTCCTTGGTGAATCTCTCCAAATTTTTTCATTTTAGAAAAAGCCTAAGCAATTTTCAACAAAATGATAAAGTTTTTTCTAGAAAAAATAAGGTTAAAAATTCGAAAATTTAAAATTTAGAGCGGAACAAACAATATTTATTGTGTTATAAATCGCTAAAGCTAAGGATGTCAATTTGGAAGAAAAGTGAGAAAATTCCTAAAATGCTAAAAATGAATTTTCCAAACGTATTTTTTTATCTCATTTTTTTGATTTTGAAAAAAATTTGGAGAGAAGAACTCTTCGTTTTTGAATTTTATCACGATGGTTTTAAAGTATATTAGACACATGTATTGGTATTACTATTTTTGTATATTTTGAGAGAAAATCCCTAAAAAGTGAGAAAATCTAAGACGGTTTGAGAAAATATAGGGTGTCCAAAGGTGTGTTTAGCACAAACCTGAATACTGCGAATAGAAATAAACAAGTTACATATATATAAAGTTTATTTAAATATAATCACCATTGGATTCAATCACGCGTTCGCAGCGATCGATCCAGGCTTGAAAGACACGCTTTAAATCATCATGAGAAAATTGCTCAAATTGCTCTCTTACAAAATTTTCAAGATCATCTGGACTCGCGAATTCGCGTCCTTCAGCTCTCTTTTTTAGCGTGCCGAATAAATAAAAGTCAGAGGGTGCAATATCAGGTGAATAAATTGGGTTTGGAACAACTTTGACATTGTTTTCCACCAAGTAATTCATTACCTTATGACTTTTGTGAACTCTTGAATTATCAAAATGAATTGCAAACTTTTGTTTTTGTTGTTTGGATTTCTCAAACTCATCAGAATTGATAATTTGAGTAAGAACATTGTCAATTAGATACTGAGCATTCATCGTATTAGGTTTTTGAAGAATATCAATTGCGATGATGCCATTCACGCCCCAAAAAACCGACAACATCATCATTGGTGTGTCAATTTTTTTCTTCAGGAATGTTTGCGGATTTTCATCCTTCGGGATCCACATGATTTTGGCTTCTGTTGCATATTGAAACCAAGACTCGTCCCCTGTTACTAAAAAGCGAAACTTCTTGGATTGATACGCACCCAATATAGAGAGGAGCTCTTTCGAAGATTGAACTCTAGATTTTTTTGAACTGAATTAAGGTTGTGCGGAACCCAACGTGTATACGCTAGTTTGTAGTTCAAATAATTGTGCAGATAATAACTGACTGTTGTACGTGGTATCTTTGTCATCTCCTCTATCCTTCTGAGTGATGCTCTTGGGTCTTCATCTAGCGCTTGAAGAATTGCTTTGATTTTTCTTTGATCCGGCGATTTTTTGTCAATTTTTATGATGGGCGCCTTTTTGTTCATGAAGTGATACATCCTAACATGATACGTTACAGTGGAATAGCTAGGAGCATCCATACCGAAGCATTTTACCAATGTCTCGTAGATTTTTTTACAGTCTTTGCATTTTTTTGCAAGAGCGAGGATGTTTTCTTTATGATTCATTAAAAAAATGAAAAAAATCCCGCCAAAATTTCCCGCGAAACCGCCTCTTGTCTCAAAATTCATTTTATATCCCGGCATGGCGCCAAAATACAACATACTCATCATATACATATATTCATATTTTTTATTATATATTTATAATCAGCATATATCTCCTTTAATAGTCTCATATAGAGCGCTGTGCTAAACGCACCTTTGGACACCCTATATATAAACTATTGAAAATTTGAATTAAACTTCTAATTTGGAAAAAAGAAATTTGGAAAGAAGAAAAATCAAAAATCGAGATTTAGACTCAGCATCAAATGGAGAACAAAATGTTTCTTCATATGAAGGAAAAAAATTTTCTTGTGAAGAAATAGAGTTTTTAAAATTTTATTGTATGTAATGAAATAAACAAATATTAAAATTATTTTTTGATAACAAGAAAATTCCCAATAGAAAATATTACACCAGAACAAGCAACATTGGATCTCATTATCAAATAGAAGTTAAGCGTGATAGTATGTATAATACTATATCAGAATGATTTGTCAATCTGTTGTTTTAATATCTTTTTAAATTTATTATACCAAAATAGTACTTTGGTTATCATTGGTAAAACGTAAGGTTGATACAGTTGTAATATTTCGAAAAAATAAAGGTATCAACTTTAATGCAAGATATGATGAGTTGAACATCGAATAATTGGATTTTGCAATATTGATATTCTTCAGTTACTAGTATATCATAGCTTCAAACTAATCATGTGGATCGATTCCATTTCAATGATCAGATGAAGCAGAAACAATATACTCAAGTGCCCTTTTTTGTTTAAAAAATGAGTACCCGATTTTAATTGATTTATTGAAATCATGATGGTATTCATTGTTTTGATTATAAGGAATATGAAACTGAAAAACTTGAAAATATCATAATTTTCTTCTCACGATATACTTTCCTTGCAGCTGATTCAATACCGGGTGTTAAACAAGGAGTCTTGAATGGAGTTATTTGTGCAGTGTGAAATGGTGTATTAAATACAGTTACTCTTGGTGTAATTTTTGGTGTGATCTTTGGTGTAAGTACTGTTGTATTTGCTGGTGTCAAAACTGGTGTTTCCGTTGCTGTTATCATTGGAGTAACGAATGGTGTCGGTGTTGGGAATATAACATTTTGAAAAGGATTTTTTTGATAAAGTTTATCATATCTTTCTAATGTTCTACAGAATGCTTCTGTTGGTGGACAAACAAGCGTTCTTGTTGCAATTGCTCCATCTTCATATGTTTTATCAAATGTATGAGTCTGTTCTTCGTAAGTGCATTGAAACGATGTATATTGATTTGTTTTTTGATTAACTAACACATCCAAAGTGAATGAACTATAATCGTCAGAACAAGAATATACTGCACAATCATCATTTGTGTAAAATGTTAATCGCGGAATTGTTGCTGTTCCATCTGGACATAAAGATGATATCCCTTTAATTATTGCATAATTCATATAAGATGGGCCAAATTCCTGGTAATTGTAAGGATTATAATAGTTTTGATGAGAACAATATTCAGGGTAATTAGATGATATAGAACTGCTTGTACAATTCCCTAAGTATTTATAAAATTTGCCCCATGTTTTAAATGTAAAAGATCCACCGTCCAATGTGACATTCGGACGCTTGAAATAATATTTTGGAAGTGTTGAAATTGGAGGTCCTAATGGCCAATTTGGAATATATTCTCCACTGATGAAATCTTTGTTTCCGAAAATTGGAGGTTTTCCATATCTCCAATCAACTTCATAATTTCCTGAATCAAGTAAAAATGCCATTGTTACTTCAGTAAATCTTAAGAATGGGACATTTTCTTCTTGAATATTTGTACTAACTGATAAATCTTCAGGATAAAAAGCAGTATTTGGTCTCATGTATGTTGGATGTAAAATAATACCTGATGGACATGTTTTGTCATCTCCAACAAACCATTCTTGTCCAAAGAAATTCTTTCCATGATGATGCGCATAAGGTGTTATAAGAACTCTAAATTGAATTCCATCTTTTGTTAAAGTACAAATTGGATTTGGAAAATAATCAGTTGATAACTTAAGATGAAAATGGTCTGAAGGAACAATACCAGTTAAAATGGCTGCCATTAGATAATTAAAGAATAAATCATTTTGAGTATTTACTTGTGAGGCATGAATTGGTATTTGTCTTGGATTTAGAATAATCGTCATTTGATTAACTTCATAATATTTTGTATCAAAATAATAACTATCTCTTGTAGAAGAAATTGAACTGGGATCTGGATAAGGGTGTGTCATCCAAACTATATATAAATCGCAATTCCGTGCAATAATATTCTTGTCTTTCATTGCAAGGGAATGCTTGTCTGAATAGTATATATATCTATCTGGAAGTGGTTTGACTCTAAGAATTTGTTATAAATATGCTTTGACATTAGCGATTGTTTCTTGATATGCAGAAATTTGTTCTGGTTTCATTATATCCTCTTCTGTGCATGTTAGATTGTTGTTATGCCATGTAACAACTTGTCCAACGGATGTACATGATTGTGGATCTGGATATGTACCATTAAAGAATCGATTGTCGTTCACAATTCGTATTGGTTGGAATTCAGGAATTGAATCAAAAATTGGTGTTGGTTGAGGTGTTGGTTTTGGAGTTGGTCTTGGTGTTTGTTCTGGTGTTGGTCTCGGTGTTGGAAAGATTACACCTGAAAATGGATCACTCATAAAATGTTGATCTAGTAGTTCTCTAGTTCTGCAGAATTGTTCTGGTGATGGACATGTAACTGTCCTCATTAAATATATGTTTTCTGAATAATTTCTCTTGAATGTGAATGTTTGTCCTTTTGATGAACATGTTAATTGTTTTGTTGAATTTGTTGTCGTATCTGTAATAACATCGAGATAGAAACTTGTGTATTCGTTGCATTGATAACTTGCACATATATCATCAATATAATATGTTAATCCTTGGATCGCTGCTTTGCCTCGAGGACAAATAAATTTTGGATATTTCAATGGTTGATAATCAAATGATTCATAAATTCCTGATATATTATATCCATTTGGATTGTAATAACCTGGATTGTTGCAATAACGTGAATCCGCATTCGTTGTTGGATTGTTGCAATCAATCATATGTATACTTGGTGATCCCCATGTGTTGAAATCATATCCTAGGGATGCGACGGTTTTACGCCATGACCGTTTAAAAATAGAATAATACGCCATTTTTGAGGCCGAATGGCGGGTACGAAGTAGCCGCCATTCGGCCGAATAACAAAACAATACAAAATTATCGCCGTCCTTTTTTTCTCTCTCTCTCTCTTTCTTTTCTCTTTCCTCTTTTTACTCCTCTTTCTCTTTTCATCATTAAACGTAGAAAGATATATTAATATTATTTTAAAATTAAAAAAAAATAAAGAAAGTATAATAAGTAATTATTTAGTTATCGATATATATATGTAAAGTGATAATCTGAGGATAATCTGAGGAGGAGTCTGAGGATTAGACCGAGGAGTAGTTTGAGGAGTTTGATGATAATCTGAGGAGTTTGAGGAGTAGTCTGAGTAGTTTGAGGATAATCTGAGGAGGAGTCTGCGGATAATCTGAGGAGTAGTTTCAGGAGTAGTCTGAGGACTAGTCTGATGAGGAGGACTCTAAGGAGTAGTCTGAAGAGTAGTCTCAGGAGGAAGATCTGAGGAGGAGTCTTATGAGGAAGATCTGATGAGTAGTCTGATGAGGAGGGGTCTAAGGAGTAGTCTGAGGATGATGAGTAATCTGATAAGGAGTAGTCTGAGGATGATCTGAGGATAACTTGATGACTAGTCTAGGAGTGGTCTAATAAAAATGTAAAATATTTTCAAAGAAAAAATTCTATGAATTTTATATTTTAATTCTTAGCATTATACTGAATAAAATAAACATAAATATCAAAATTTGAAATTGAACACGCCAAAAAATTGATAATCCACATTCAATATTTTGTAAGTGGCGTACATTTTGAATACTCGCCATACGCCTTGGAGTTCTCAATTTTGAATTCGCCTTTATTTGGGCGACCTCAGAAAAATACGCCATTAAGAAAATATTGTATGAGATTTTAAATTTGAACACGCTCTACCTTAAGGAATTAAATTTATTAAGATGTATTTATATATAATAAACGATTACTTAAAAAAAGTATTTCATCGCTTATGTAAGTTTCAAAAAAATCACGAAAATAAAAAAATCAAGATTAAAATTTTATTTTTAATTTTTGAATTTCTCAAATGGCGAAATTTTTGGGCGAACAAAAAAAATGTACGCCCGGTCAAATGGCGTGTTTAACGCATCCCTACATATCCTGCTGTATTTTGTGGTGTATTTGGATTGAAGAAGTAGTTATCAGGCAATGTTGTCTGTGGTGGTGACAATGGCCATCCTTTCATAAATTTTCCATTAATCGAATCTTTGTTTCCCCATATCATCGGTTGTCCCATTGACCAATTGACTTCATAGTTTCCACTATCTAAAAGGAACGCCATTGTTACATCACTCACACGCTTAAATTGTCCATTTTTATTATTTGTGCTATCTGAATTGCTAATATCAGAGTAATATATTGTTGATTCTGGTGCGCCTCCTGCTGCATTGCCGCTATCTTCAATTACAATTCCACTTGGACAATTATTGTCGTCTCCATAAAATGTTGAATTTCCGTAGTTCTTGATTGCAAAATGATGTGCATGAGGAGTTGTAAGAATTGAAAACTTCTTCCCATACTTAGTTAGATTGCAAACTATTGAAGTATATGGATTTGAATTATATTTCGGATGAAATTTATATATAAATTGATCCGAAATCGCAGTATACCTCAGAATAAATGATAAAATACTATAAAATTCACCATTAGGTTCTGAATCTTCACTTTGAACAATATCAGGTAAATCGCTTTGTTGCATATAAATGTTTGCTTGAACGGCCCGATTGTAAGTTTCATCTTTTTTTGAAATCGACAGTGAAGTAAATGGATTATCTCCAAATGGCCGTAAAAAGAATACTAAATAAAGATCTGTGTTAGAAATATTTGTACCTTCAACGATTGATTTCTCTCTTGTAGAATCTGATTTTAACAAAATTGGGTCGGAGTAATGTATAACTTTAAGAAACCGCTCTAGATAATCTTTAACATTGTTCATTGTACCTTTAAATGCTTCAATTTTTGTAGAATTCGGAATATCTTCTACAGTACATTGATAATTTCCATCGTGCCATGTAATACTATCGCCAATATTTTTGCACATAAGAGGATCTGATGAAGTTCCGTCGAAATATTGAAAATCTAATGTTATTCGAATTTTTTCAAACTGCGTTGAACTATAAAGTGTCCTTTTCTGATAAGATTTGTCCATACTCGCATTGTGTTTGCTATCATCTCTCTTAAATCTTGGCCAAAAAAAGGCTAAAAGGAGTATCATTCAATTAAAAAGTTGAAAATTCAAAATTTGAAATAGTGTGTCACATTTTATAAATTGACTATTTAAAATGTCACAAGGTAATAGAACATTCCTTACGAATACTCTTGTTATCAATTTCATTATGACATAATCAAAAATTTGAATTCCTTTTATTACTTTGCAGCAAAATTGATTCCTACTGCATATCAAAATAAACATGATTGAAAACATCAACGGTTTGATTTTATTCAAACCGTTTTCAATTCAAAAAATGTATCTTATTTTGCCAAGACATTTTACCACTCAGAGTGATTAAGTATAGTTGTGTTTGTTTTCCTTAAAAATCTGTAAATTATATAAAAAAATCATTTGATGACCCATCTATTGCAACATCGATGATATGCAATTTTTCCAGAGGATCATTTTCGAAAAGGTCTGTCAGAAATTTACAAAAGAATCAGAAATACAAAAAGTCAATAGCAGATATTTAATAAAACTATTAGTTGGATATAAATACACAACCATCTTTTGTTGTATTGACTTGCTGATTGTGCTATTTTATATCTTTCCAACAAGCAATCAAGCGATTTTCAATAATTTTTATTAAAAAACAAAGAAATAGCATTGTATTGTTTGGACTAGGGATATGTAAAATGATGTAGTTTGCATAAACATGAATTTTGATGGGAGATTCATCCAAGATCAATAAAAAGCTCTTAAAAATCTGCAATACATGATAAAAATATCATTGTCCGAGAATCCAATGTATGTGAATGTAAAATGCTCAGCATCATTCAATTTTTTGTCTTGTTAATATAAATGCAAATAAGCGTCTCTAATTTAATTAACTGTTTGAATGTAAAAAATGATAGAATTGTGAAATTTACTCAAGCCGTCCCATAATTGAGAACTCATTCAAAAGGATATCTTGTTAAATAATGAGAATATCATAATAGACTGCAATAAATTTAAAATGTAAAGAAAAGTTCAGCACAATTGAATTAACAGATGTAAAGTATATTATTCCATTTATAATAACATATAATAATATTATGTAAAAAAAACATGAAGCTGTTGCTTATTGAATTTTATCAATTTTCTATTGTATGGAAACTCCACGTCGCCCATCAACTGCAATAGAAAACCATGATAAACTTTCTTTTAGAACGAAGCTGTCCTGCTCATTAGATGGTTTTTCTGCAACAACATCTCGCAAAAAGAACCTTTTTGTTTATTCGAAGGCAAATATCGAACAAAGTCCATATAAAGAGTCCCCAGCTTTCCTTTCTCTCTATAAAGGTAAACCTCAAAACCTACCAAAGCCTGTACAAAAGCTAATGCCCACAACAAATAACGTTCGAGTTCCAAACTCGACAATTCAATCTCCTGTAGTTGTAGTTTCCCCTAAGGAAATGCCCGAGCAGGTTGATTATCTTACACGATCTAAGCACGATCAAGAATTTGAAAAGATGAAAGAGAAAGAAATGACAAAGAAATACTCTAATGTTCAAAGAAATTCTCCTTACAAAGAGAAGATGTCGTCCCTTCGAAAGTCAGCCATTGTTTCTACAAGAAATTTATTACGAAATCGTGATATACGCGACTACCAGGACAGACAAGAGTTCCTCAAAGAGTTTGATACTTCCTGTAATAGAGAGTTCAACTCCGAGAAAAATATTCTTTCAAGAGACGTCTTTGATCGAAGGTTTAATTCTCTTCGTGTTGTTGTCATTAAATAAATATTGTTTTTGTTTGTATTTTTAGCGAGATTTAAATATTACGTTAACCATTTTTTCAAAGCTTAGATTTTTATGAGATATGAAAATTATTTATTGTATTGATAAAGAATTAAGGTACGTTATATATTGAAATGTGATGTGTGACTTTAGAAATAATAGTTTATTATGTTAATTAAGAAAAAAACATAAAGATAAATTGTACTACTAAAAATTTATTTGTTAATATCTATCAATGAAAGAATATAGAGTATTTAGTGCTTCCCTTGCATTTCTAACACCAGTAGAATCGACACATTGTCGAACCTGATTTGATGTTGAGCAGGAAAGCAAACAATTAAAGAATGGCTTCTCGCTACTTCCTTGGCCTTGTTTATATTCGGAATACATGCCTAAAACATAAGGATTCGAGCGGATATACTTAATTGCGTTCAAAATCGAAGTTAAACTCATATCATTTGTCTTGTAAACATCAGAAAATGTATATTCTGGGTACCACTTCAATTCTTTGACAGGATAACTGATATCTGCAACATATTGGGTATAATCAACCAATTTTCCTTTGGAAATCTCGTAAACTCTGAATCCTGGATTATTGTAGTGCTGTGGTGATATTGAAACTGATGACAAAGAAATGAAATCTGTATTATTTTGCTTATTAAACATAGGAAGCATCAAATCAACGTGTGTATGTCCGCAAAGCATGAATGCTGGTGGACGCTTCTTAATTATATTAAAGAATTTGTCAGCATAATCCAAATTCCAATTTTCATTGTAATCATAAAACGAAATAGCAGAAGGAACATGCATAATCAAAGCATTCTTGAGGCCTTTCTTTTCTCCATCTTCTAAAATCTTTTCCGCCCAAGAAAATTGGTCACATGGATCTTCCGGATGAATTGTTTCGCCTGTATCAGGATTTGTGTAATTATGCCACTTGTTGTAAATAACTGTGTTAACAAAAATAAGTCTTTGATTTTGTTTTGGCAAATCAATGTAATAATTTGCGCATTTATTGTAGCTTTTGATTTGATCTTTAGGTATATGTAATATATTTGCATATTCCTTGTATAATAGTGTTGAGTTATGGTAATATCCGTAGTCTGGAGCGTATTCCGCATTTCCAAGCAAAGAATATATAGGAGTATCTGGAAATTCCTTTCTAACATAATCATAAATGTACTTTGTAGTGTTTTTCACTTCGAATACATCTGCGTCTATTGTGTAAGTAACGTAATCTCCGCCTAAAATAATCATATCTGCATTCGCGAAGTTTTCTTTCATTGCTTTTACTGTAGAATGAAATAGTTCGGCAGGTGCATCACATCCGTATATTCCGAAAGGCCTTGAAATATTCGAAATTCCAGAAGTATGGCAAACTTTTTCTTTGTAACTACCGGTGTCTGAATAAAGCCAATCGAGGTGAATATCATTCATATACAATATAGTAGTGGTGTTCCATGGTTTTGCTGATGTAAAGAAAACAACGATTAAAATGAGTGAAAATGTTGCTCCAAATATTGTTGAAATGAATGGAAATGTTTCATACCATTGATCTTTTGACTCTGCTGTTGAATTATAGCTAGAATCATATAATAAAACGGAAGAATCTAGATCATTCATTTATTTATATTTTGATAGTGATTGAAAAATTCCATCATCGTTTTTTCTTTTGGAAAATAATTATTATACCTGTAAATATTAATAATTTTCTAAAAATAAGACTTTTGCAGTTCATTTTTAATTTCAATTGAAAGAGATAACCGTTTGAAATCTAAGGTTTCGTGAACAATAATCGTTCTGATTCAAAATAGTGTATCCCCCCTAATATGTAAAATATTTTTTTTAATAATGCTTCTCTTTCATCTTCTTCTGAGTTTTATAGTATCAAAAGACATTACAGTTGTTGGTGAAAGATTCAGATCAGTCAATCTAACTGAAAATTCAAAATTAACTCTAATGAGCAAAGATAATCAAATGATTGTTGCCTTGTTTTCAGAAAATATTCGAAATTTAATCTCAATTAAGCTAACAAACAATGTTAAATCATTGACGATTGACAAATTCAACAAAATAACTTATGGTTTTATAACACTTGATAATACAGTCGATATTGAAGTTAAAGATCCATCATTGACAGTCAGTGTTAACATATGGATGATTCCTAAAACTGCATGTTATCTTAATTCATACATTGTCAGTAATGAAAAACAATTTGAGCTCTCAGTTCAATCTATTTCACAGAAAACAGATATTTGTTTGTTCATTGCATCAGATAGCTATAATTCACACCTTAAATACGGATTTCTTCAAGGCGAAGGAACAATCGAATTAGAAAAACAAGATGGTAAAGAAATTATCACATGTAATACATCACAATGTGACTACGAACCAGGAAATAACGTTTTTCTCCATTACATGTCTCAAAAATCATCTGGTTTTTACTTGAATCGAGATCTTAAAGTGAAAGAACAACAATTCACTGATTGTCAGTTCACACATCTTGCATCCATATCAGCAGAAAAAGGTATTGAGAAAACATTTCCACTTATTGGAGAAGATCCAAAACTTGAGTGCCATCAATCATATTACAGCATTGATTTCATCACGAGCTCATCGCTATTCTCTATAATAGTTCAAATTTTGATTTTCTTTGTTTCACCAGCTCTCTTACTTTTGTTTTTTGTCATGTTTATTTGTCTTCCTTTCATTCCTAAGAGATACAATAAGCAATCCATTGACACATCGCTACATCCAGAAGATGACATATTTCAGACTACTCTTATTGATGATTTCTCTGATGAAAACGAATTTGAAAACTAATTTTTTTTATTTTGATTTTAGATTTCTCATGAAATCTTTATATATCGATATATATCTTGTGTTTGTAATAGATAAAAATAAATTTCATAATTTCATGATGTGCTTACCGTATTTATTTTAGCGATACTATCGGTAATTTCTACCTCTTCTCAAAAATTGAATAAAATTGTATCGGGTTATTCATTCAATTTCTATCGGCCAATAAATAAAAAACATTTTCGATTCTCATCATATTCTTGGTGAATAATCAAAATTAATCAATATTCAAAAAAAGGTACATTCACTATTTTTGACAAAATTTTAAATTTTCATGGGGTTGTAAATCTTATAATAACTAGATGAATAAGGAATGAATCCCAGTATAATGTGCATCATTATATTAAACACTATATGTAAGGCTAATGATTCTATTAACACTTATGAAGATCTATAGTATTTGAGCAGATAAATTTGATAATTTCCAAAACTCTTATATTTCAAAATTAAAGTGTGCAAATGCATTTAAATGAGAGCAAAAAGAGATTGATGCTGTTAAAACTAGGTGTTAATTTGCAATTATTTCGCATCACAAGAACTACCCAGTAAATTCGGCTATCTTTCTTTGCAATTATTCTCCATTATACATATAATATAATGGTTAGGGTTTGAAGAAAAGTTACTAGAGAATTATTGACTTTTGAAAAATGCAGAATTTTACTTGAAGAAATCATTAATTTATGAGTTCCAAATTGCTAAGCATGACGAAGGATCATTAAATTTGCTACAATTAAATACACTTATTGCAGAATTAAGATTTTTGAAATTAAAAGTTTGAAATATTGCCTTTTTGAATAAAATTTAAATTTTATTATATAATCATGATAATATCTTATAGAAATTAAAAGAAAATATTTTAAACCATTCAAATATTTTGAATGTCTTATCAATTTAAAATATTAAAAGATAGCTTGATTTTATCATCATTAGTTGTTATCAAAGTTTTCTTCTTTTGATGAACAACAGTAAATGATTTGTTAATTACTTGTCTTCCTTTTTCGCAGCAAAATCGAAAGTTATGATGATAATCTTGCTGTCAATTTTGAAACTCTCTGATTTACAAGTAAGCATTCCTTTGGAAAAGCAGTCCTATTCTGTTTTCAAGATATTTTAAAGCCTCCATTTCATACAATGCGCAGATCTATTCGAAATTGCAAGAACTCTCAAGAAAAATGCAGCAGCAAAGAAGATTCCATAGTTTCTAGCATCAAAAATTTACAACCTTAATACAACAGTTAAAGAGAAGCTCGAAAAGAAAATATTTAACCATAAAGCTGGAAACCATTCGATATCTACTATTGGATCTAATAAAAAGTTAATTATAACATATTTAACATGCTATTTGTTGACTTTGTTCCATTATATTACCATATATATCTTTTTGAAATCTAAAATATTTTTACGATTTTAACCATGTGTTGTTGAAACCATATATCAATCTTAGCTAAAGTAGAGTTTATGAGTCTGTCACCATCTAACGTATGAATTTTCAAAAATGTCAAATATGTTCATTTTTTCTGTAGATTCAGCCATAATTTCATGTTGTTATACTATTCAACTATTATTTAATATTTTTATCGATTTAAATATATGATGAGATGCTTAGTTCTCCTGGAAATCGATTTTTAATCGCAATTTTAACTTTCCAAAAAAAATTCAAAAATAAAAATCCCTCTCAATTTTCTAAGTTTTATAACTCGCCAAATCTCTAGCCAAATTTTTTTGGCCCGTATAAATATTGTTAGGCACTATATAGGGATGCTATTTATCCTATTTTCATCCCATTTTACTGTTATCGCCTAGTGAATGTACCTTTATTCAAAATTTGAATAAACTGAATTCAGAAAGATTTAAAATCGAAATGGGGTGTTGCCGAAAGGAACTTCTCTTTGCATTTATAATCATGTTAACGTCGTTTAACTTTGGTTTCATTATTTCTTATCCATCACCAGTTCTTCCTTACTACACGTCAATTTGGAATATTTCGCCACTTCATGCAATAGCTTTCAATGCAATTTCATCACTCACGGCATGCTTCGGTACATATGTTAATACATTTCTATTCAAATTCGTAGGAAGAAAGATTGTAGCTTTCATTATTGCAATTTTTACAATGATTTCATGGGGATTACTTTTCCTTATCTCAGAAAAAAGATTTTGGGTAGGAATCATAGCTCGAGGTTTACTTGGAATTAGCTTAGGAGCATCATCATCACTATCTCCTTTATATTTAAGCGAAATTGCTCCACCAGAACAAAAAGGATTTTACGGATCTTTCAATGCAGAAGGTATAATCATGAGTATCATGATTATGTTCATTGCTAGCGACTTCTTCAAGCCATGGATTCTGAATATTGTTGGAATGGTCCCATGCTTTATTCAAAGTTGTTTAATTTGGTTTGTTCCCGAAACTAACTCACCTCAAATGTTTAAAGAAGAAGGACAAAACACAATTCGCGAAAGTTTTTGCCAAATGAAGACTATTAAAGTATTTGCTGTTGCTTTATCTGCTATTGTTGTTCAGCAACTAACAGCACCGAATGCCATTCTTACAAATCTCAATTCACTTCTGATTGATGCAAAAGTACCGATAAAGCCAGGAATTGCAGGTTCAATAATTATGGCCGGCCAATTAATATCTATTTTTGCTTCAGCAGCTCTTGTTGATAAACTTGGAAGAAGAATAATGTGGTTATTGTCTGGAATATTCACATGTGCAACATTAGCAATATATGGCGTGAATATGAAGCTCAAATGGAATCCATTTATTGCATTAGTTATGATATTCCTTTATCAACTTGCATTCGGATTGGCAATTGGCCCAATGCCATGGTATCTTGCACCTCAAATGGTCCCTTCTGCATTCTCTGGCTTGGCTGCATCATTAAATTCTACAATTAACTGGCTTTTATCTTTCGGAACCATTTTTGCCTATGGTCCGTTGAATAATGCCATGGGAGAGTTAGGATCATTTGTCCTCTTTGCAAGTATTGCTTTACTTGGTGGAATTTACGGATTCTTCGCTTTCAAGGATAGCACGACTAAAGAAAATAGCGAAGATGAAGCTGAATACCAGCCACAAGTTGATACTGATGCACTAGAGGGCTATCTTTAAAAATGTTTTTTAATGATATCATGATTTTATAATTTTTTTGTCGCTAAATATTCTCTGCCTAATCATATCCTTTAGTATGTATATGTTTTATAGGATATGCATTCTATTTCCATTAGTTCAAATATAAAAGTGGATTCCACTCTGAATTGCTTTACCCTCAAATTTCATTGAAAAGTGAAAATTGACAAAATAAAGTTTCTTTTTTATTTCCTCCAAAATATTTATAAAAACTAGCTTTCAATAAAGCTAGTGTTCCAAAAGACATATGGGAAGAATATTATGGGCCACCTGCAGAAAATTATACACGCATCGAAAATAACACAAAACCATATTTTTCTGATGACCAACTCAATTCATTAAATTTTTTCTTACTTTCTTCAATTTTCAAAGATTTTTCGGATATTGTTATTGATTTCCGGCATGGTAACGTTAAATTCCTACATTCGATATGTACATTCACTAATATTTCACATAATGTGGAATATGGCGGAGTCATCTACTTTGGGGCAAGTGGTTTCTTTGTCCAAGACCGTTTTTGTTCTAATGAATGTTGTTCAACAGGATCTGGATTGCATTCACATTCATCTTTGTCAAAACATATAATAAATTTAAGTTCTCTCTCTCAATGTGGCCAAAACAACACCGGATCTTGTAGTTTATACCATAGTGATGAGACAATGAGTCTTACCTCTTTAAACATCACGCAAACAAGATGTAACAAAAAATCAGGTTATCATATACAACTATGTTATTTTAATATTAGTTTTTGTTGTTTCATTTCGAATAATAATCAAGAAAATGCTTGCTTGTATCACGAAACTACACCTCATTCGTTTATCAAAAGATCAAACTTCAAAAACAATTCATGTGATTCATATTTCCTTTATGCGTCTTCAAATATTGAAGCCACTGATATTAATATTTCAGAATGTATTTTCTTTGAAAACAATGTTTCTACTGTTTTTTATGCAAATCATGATAGTACAATTTACATTATTGACTGCACCGGAGATAGTTTAACTATAGGCTTTGATGATGCGCCTCATCCTGGTACAATTAATACAGATCAAATGAAAACAGATCCATTTAATCTAACACTTTCATTACTTTCGTTAGGAAAATGTGAAGCAGAATTTCCATTTTCATTTGATTTAATTTTGTTTGAAAGTAAAAAGAAAAAATCTTTGATGATTCGTAGACGTTTTTCGTTTAACTTTTCTCTTTTATGTTTAATTAACATAAAGAAATAGGGTTTTAACATATATGCAAACTAACAAGTCATATTAATTACAGCATTACAATATCTTGTTACAACATTTGATATGTATATTCAATATTGTTAATTTTATTATCCAAAACCGATTTTATTGCTTGTGTTCTTAATCGATTTGGATCAATTAATCTTATTTCCAAAAACATCATTCAAGCACGCGCTTTTATGTGGAAAGTTTTTGCGTTTGAAAAGTCCACTCAATTTTCCTCTCAAAATGTTTAGAAACTGGCTTTCAAAGAGAAATATGGGAATTACTAAATAAACCTGCAGAAGAATATGTATATATCGAAAGTATCACGAAACATTCTATATATGATGATTCTTTCAGATATTCAATTTTGCATATTCTTTTGACAAGCATTTGTTTAATATTATACTTTGCCATAAACTCAACATAAAAGCATATCACTTTGTATTCATATATGCTTTGGTTATACATTCTATTTCCTTTATAAGGGTTCGCTGCAATGATAGGTTTACATGGTGTCACTTTTTTGTTTCTTTTCATTCGGAGCCTATTTTGGTACTGAGTTATCTATTAAAAATTGGTAAAATTTAACTTGTGTTTAAATGGCTTTATTAATGTAGATAAATATGATGGTGATGCAAAATGCACTGAATCTAAACACTATTTGAGAAATGTAAGTTATATCTTGACTTTTTAAACAGAAACCATATTAATTTATGTGTTGTATAAGATGTATAATCAACCTAAATATAATAATTCCCTTGCAATCCATACAACGTTGTTTATTAAAGATAATTTTTATCATTTTGAAATGTTTTTTATGAAAACCAATTTTAATTCAGCTGCAACCCCTATGAGATCTCGTAAGAAAATATATATATAATAACAGGATCATTGTATATCAAAATAAGATTATTAACTTTTTTTTATTTGTTTATTTGAATTATAACTATTTATTTCTCTATACCTTTGAAATTATTTCGGAGAGCCGAAATCGTTTCCCAAATGCTTATCTTTCAAATTACAATATGAAATTCCTTCTTATTAGCTGATAATATGGTTCAAGCAGCTTACCAAAGCCATAATATTAAGATTTAACCTTAGAACAAAACATTTCATCATAGACTTCATGAATGTTTTATTGAAATAATCAACTTATATATTCAAAATATGAGTTTCTGAAAACATATAAATGAAAAAAGATTTATTAATTAATGACAATCTTATTTTATAATAAATCAACCTTTCGACAATTATTAATTATCTTGAAGTCAACCCCAATATTTTCCTTTCTAATGTCATCCATAACAATTGTCAATATTTTGTTTACGTATATTTTATAATTTTGGTCGCTTAAAATCATTTTTCAAAAATCGTTTTTGAAAATAAAAAAAATCGAAAAAAATGGTGAAAAAACTAAACTCTGTCAATTTTACATATCTTACTTTCATACTTTGCAGTATATTAGAATATGCTATGATAAAAGTAATTATTAAATCAGAATTTAAAAATATAGAACAGAAGCGTTCAAAAAGTGGATTTTTTAAAAAGATGATGATGATTAAATGTTGTAAACTATTTAAAAATTGAATACTCTGTATCGTTGCAGCGAACCCATAAGGACTAAAAATAAATGTGGAATACACTCTGAATTTGAAAAAATTGACAAAGTGAAGTTAACAATTTTGTATACTTTTTTACGGGCGCTTTAGCGCCCAAAAAGTATATAAAATTGGAATTATCTTGATTATGATTATTTTTGCTTCTAATGCCGAACAGCATTTGAATCAAAAATAATCGTAGTATAGATAATTCCTTTTTTATCTTCATCCGAAATCTTTATAAAATCTAGCTTTCAATAAGGCTAGTGTTCCAAAAGATATATGGGAAGAATACTATGGACCACCTGCAGAAAAATATACACGCATCGAAAATAATTCAAAACCAAATGTTGATAATGATTTCCCCTTTTCATTGAATTTTTTCTTACTATCTTCAAATTTCAAAGATTTTTCTGATAATGTCATTAATTGCGAGAAATATGGCATTAAATTACTACATTCTATTTGTACGTTCACTAATATTTCACGAAATGAAGGAAATGGTGGAGTCATCTACTTTTTTTATGGTGATTCCATTGTCCAAGATCGATTTTGTTCTATTGCATGCTATACTATAGGAATTGGAATGCATTCACATTCAGTTCATTCATCAAATACAGTAAATTTAAGTTCTCTCTATCAATGTGGTCACAACAATACTGGATCTGATAGTATTTCCCATGAACATGGAAGAATAAGTCTTATTTCTACTAACATCACTCAAACAAAATGTAAACAATTTTCTTGTAATTATTTTCTAGAATCTGATGTTATTATTAGCTTCTCTTGTTTCATTTCTAATGATAATCAAGAAGAAGCTTGCATGCGTAATGAATGTACACCTGATTCATTTATCAAAAGATCAATTTTCAGAAACAATTCATGTGATTCATATCTCATTTATTCGTGTATAGGACCAGGTTATTCCAATGTTACTATTTCAGAATGTATTTTCTTTGAAAACAATGTTACTTTTGTTTTTTATGCAGATTATGATAGTGTAATGTACATTATTAATTGCACTGGAGATAATTTAACTATGGACTATTGTTATTATGATGATGGTTATGCCGAAAGTAATGGTTTTATTTATACAAATCAAATGAAAACAGATCCATTTAATCTAACACTTTCATTACTTTCGTTAGGAAAATGTGAAGCAGAATTTCCATTTTCATTTGATTTAATTTTGTTTGAAAGTAAAAAGCAACATTTTATTATTTATTTACCTTTTTCATTTAACTTTTCTCTTTTGTGTTTAATTAACATAAAAAAGTAAACATATAGATAGATCGTTCGAGTTTCATATCGACACAAACAGACTTTGCATCATTGAAGTCAAAAATGTTGTTATGTTAATGACTTTTATGGTGCAAACTCCTCGTAGTTTTGCTCTGATAGGAGTCTGAAAGTTCTTAAAATTCTGAGTTTGACAAAAGGAGAATCCAGAGTAAAAAGAAATGTGGAGTAAATACTAAATATATGTTGTCTGACAATTTTATGGAGAGTATAAATGCATTGAAAATAGGGTCACGCCATCTAAATTTAATGATTTTTTTGTAATTTGAATTGTTGTTTTTATATAAAAGTGACAAAGAAAATTGAAATGTCGGCAAATTTTCGTCTTCTTGAACGATTTCGAAGGAGGAAACGGCCAGATCCACCTCAAATGAAATTATTTGATTCAGAGTTCGAGAAACTCCTCAAAGAAGATCCAAACGGCGAAAGAAGAAAGCAGAAAAAGAAAAACTCTTCAGATGAAGAAGATGTAGTTCTCGGGAGATTGCCTAAAAAGCTCATTTCTAACAGTAGTTGCTCATCACAACCACCAAAAAAACACATTTCAAACACAATTCAAAACGAAGTTTCAACACTGAACATTCCATCACAAGGTTATCGAAAATACGAAGTAACATCGTCAAGAACTCCATCAGAAATATCAAAATTAAATTATGAATTAAATTACGAATTAAACGTTTCTATTGGAACAGAAGTTCTTTCATCGGATAAACAAACATCTACGATCAAACCTGTTTACTCAGATGCAGAAGTTCAAACAGATTCAACGAAATACGCAACAGAAAGTGTAAATACACCATTAAGACCTTCTTCTGCACGTTCATTATCTGCATTCTCAAGCCAATCTAGTTTTGACAATGGTGGTGTAGTTCTCGACGTCAATGATACATCAGAAGTTGATTTTGTCAAATCATTAGGTCAAGATTTCATTTTAGTTAACAGAAATCCAACAAATGAAGAACTCAATACACTACAGAAACTTCCAAAAGCAGTTGGTTTGTATTTGGCAACGTCAAATGACTTAATTTCATATTTACTTCCAGGAACACATAATTGCGTTTACTACAACTCACCAATGAAGCGTGTGTATCCATTAGATAATGATTTGACCCAAATAACTGAAGAAAAACTTAAATTTTTGACAAATAATTTTGATTATTTACAAAATGAGAAAAGAACATTCAACAACATCAAATATGGATCACTTATAACAGATAACAACCAATTATTTGATATTTCAAGGAAAACTTCATTCTTTTTGATTTATAATCCGAAATTTGACTTCAAAAATTTCAAAAACTTCAAAAATCTGCCACAAAATCTTCCATTCTTTGTTGTATCGAATAGAGAAGTCGTTGAAACTCTTTTTCCAGAGATAGATTTTTCAAATAATTTATATTTTTACAGGAAAGATGATTCTAGTTTGATAAAAGCCGAAAACATTGATTCCGCGTTCGATGTCGAAAATTTTTTGGAAGAAAATAATTATAATAATAATTTTGAGACAAGAACGATAAATAATATTAAATATGGCACAATTATCAAGATAAAAGCTGATTTAGCGTCAATTAAAGCTTCAAAAACCGAATTTTTATTATTTGATCATATTCCGAACAAAAATGAGATCAACGCTATCAGGGATATTCCTTTCTTCATCTGTATTGATGAATACATTCTGAAATTGTTTAATTGTCAAAAAACTGGAAAAAATATTTTCAAATTTACAAAAGAAGACGAAATTGAGACATATAATGATGTTAACGATATCCAATACAAAGAGAATAAGAAGATAGATGATCTTGTTTATGGTTCTTTGCTTGAATTTCCTGAAGATATCCAAAAAGTTTTGAAATCAAACAAAAACGTTATTTTTATTTCTGAAAACTATGAAAACAAAGAAATTTTTGAAGATTTGCCAGAAAATTGTTGTTTTTTCGAGATTTCAAATCAAAATCTTTTTGATTACTTTTCTGATGGATATCGGACGAAGACAGGAATGGTAATGTATAGAAGTGTAGATGGGAAGTGTTTTGACATGGAAAAAACGTTTTCAAAAGAAAAATTATCTGAATTTATTCAAAATCACGAAATCGAGCCAATATTTAATTCAGATGATAGAGAATTCAATTATATAAAGTTTGGCTCGTTAATTCGAACAGAAAAAAAATTAAATTCGATATCAAATAATTATTTTGTTTTAAATCATATTCCGAGGCAAAAAGAGATTGCTATGTTTAAGTATCTTCCTTCTAATGTTGGATATTTCGTTGTTACCGCTCCAAAACTTTTGGAAAAATATAATATTCCAAATGACGATGAAAATCATGTTTGTTTTGTATCAAACAACTTTGTTGATAATATTGACTTCAATTTGACATCTGAAAACCTCTCAAATTATCTCAAATTGTTTAATTTGTCAAAATTACATCAAAATCTATTTCCAAAGGATGTTTTCAACAAAGTTCTTGATATAAATGGTGATTGTTTCATTGTTGGTCCTCAAAACAAAGCTTTGGAACTTAAATCTCAAAATGAAAATTTAATTTTAGTTGAAAATCAAAATTTAGATGATAATTCTATAGTTTACATTCCTAGATATATGAATTATGTTGTTCCTTATCATGATTTAATTAATTTAGAGAGTTTTGAGAAATTCTTAAAATCAAAAGAGAAAAAATTCGAAAATCTTGAGTTTGGAACGAGAATTACATCAGAAGATGTTAAATTACTTAAAGAGAAAGGTTATAGCTTCTATTTAGTCAATGATTCCTGTAATTTAACTCGAATTCCGCCAATGATCGGATATTTTTTGGTCGATGACGAAATTTTGAGGGAAAATTACCAAAACAATGGAGATATAAAGTCATTGTACTATTGTTCAAAGAATCAGAGGTGGTTTCCGTTTAATTCTTTGTTTATTGGCTCAGAAATACATGAATTCTTAAGTTCTGTGTACCAACAAGAGCCAGAGACAAAGTTAAACGAGATAAATGATGAAAGAATGATTTGTTCTTTGAATTTCGGAAAAATTTTATCAAATGAAAAAGAAATTAAGGAGTTACAACAAAGTAACTGTTCATTCTTCCTGTTTAATTGCAATCCAAGCGAAAGAATCCTTCAAATCTTCCAAGATTTGCCTTTTAAAGTCGGATTTTATCTTATTCAAGATAAATCTCTTTTGAAAACATTGGATTCCTCGTTTAATGATTTCCCTGAAAATAAGATAGTGTTCTATAACTCAAAAACTTCTCAAATTGTTCCTTTTGATTCCGCATTAACAGAATTGAGTTTTTGGAGCTTCACAGACAGCCAATTATTCAGCGAATATCATGATGTTCAATCATACATGTCAATGAGTCTAAGACATGTTTACAACGGCTCTTTTGTTGTTCGTCCTTCTCATATCAATTTGATATTGAACTTTGACTTTTTCCTATTTAGTTATAAACTGAATGATGATGACAAAGAAGTCCTTTCTGTGCTTCCTGACAGCGTACATTACTTTATTTGTCCTTCAAATGAAGTAATGAAATTTGTCTTCCCGGAATACGAACCGAAATCAAATACATTGTTTTACAATCACAGGAATAATATGATCATTGACTTTTCAGACGAATTGAACAAAGAAAATTTATTAAAATTATTATATGACCAAAAAATCTTAATTCAGCCACCACAAGCTCCATCAGAAGAGAAATCGATGAATCCGAGGTTCGCAAACAGAAATCAGTCATATACAAGCAAAATTGAAGAAATTAGTCCTTCAGAAGACATTTTTGACAGCGATGATTACAATGATGTTGATGATGAGACAAATCCCGTTGGTTATGACTCTGAAAATGAAGTTGAAGAAAAAAATACCAAACTTGAGAATTCTGAGTCAAATGAAACAGACAAATATGATAAAACTATTGAAAGTGAATCAAGTCTCTTATCTGATTTAATTCACGAACTTGATTACAAAATCCAGCAAATTGGAAGAGATTCGACTGTTCGTCTTTCACTTCGCGACTTAGCTGACCAAGCAAATCAGATATTCGAGAGAGAAGAGATCCCGGTAGAAGAAATTGAAGATGATATTTTGCATAAAATGATCGATTCAAGCGATATTGAGGAAATAATGGAGTACGATGAAGAAGAAGACAATACTGAAGAAAAATCCGACGAAAACGAAGATCCATTCGCTCAATTTGAAACAAATCAACCTGATTCTGAAGAAAAAGTGGAAAAGAAGTCATCGCGTAAGAACAGAAAGTCTAAAATCCCTCTTAAGCAACGAAAAACTCATGATGACATTGAAATTGAAGATACAACAGAAAATATTGAGGAAAAAGAACTGAATAAAGCCATCGAAGATGAAATATTAGGTCAATCATCAATTCCTGATGATGTTCCACGCGATATTTTCGGATTTCCTTCGACAAAACCCTATCAAATGAAAAAGATCAACGAAAAATTCTCAGATTTGAAGAGTCTTTGGCTTATTATCAAACGTAGATACATTGCTCTATCAAAAAAAGGCCATTCTCACTTCCCATGGACGAGAGACAGAGCAGAAGCCATTTCAAACTTAATAGAAAGGCAAAGAAAACTCCATGAACTGGCATTTTACAATAGAAGAATCCGCGCTTTGACGAGAGCAAATCTACAGTTAAGAACAATGCCGGAAGTAGGTTATACTCGATTGATTCGAAACAGAGAAGGAAGAAGACTGGAATTATCTATTTTGGCCGCAAACAAAAGAATAGAAATTCTCAGAAAAGCGACAAGTGTCGATGAAAATGGAAGATCTCAGTACATGATTGAAAACGAGATAGAGAAACAGAGAGTGAAGATGTTGGTGAACCTTTCCAAGAGAAAGAAGGCTGTCAATGATTTGCAATTGGAAGTTAATGAACTTTCGCAAACATTGGCTGATTTAGAAAGAAGAATTAGTTTGATGACTCAAAAAGATTCAATTTACACAAAGTTTTTCACAAGAAAAGTGAAACCTCCTGAAGAAACAAGAGTTCCAACAGCTCCTAGAGCAAGGAGACATTAAATTATATTTGTTATATTTGTTAGTAAAAAAAAATTATGTGTTTTTTTATGTAATTTATAGAAGTTTATTTATCCTGTTAACGTTCTATCAACAAATGAATTTATTCATGTAGTTTTACATCTATATTGCCTATTAAAATTTAGATATAGATGTATAAAATTGTAGTGATCTTCAAATTTTATTTATCAAATTGATTAGTATTTGTTTTTGATCGAAGAGGGACGACATATCATAAGCAATGTTCACTAATATAAAGGATATAAAATCAAAGAGTTGTTTTTACTAGATATCATTTAATTATAAGTATTAAAATGAACAATCTTGCCACTAAGAGAGACCTTAATGCTACTTCTGGAGAATAATTTTGTAAATATATTCGACGAATAAAATTATCTAGAAAAATAAAGAATTCTAAGTAGAAAAATAGGCTTATCTGTCTGATTTCGGATAAGCACAAGAGGATGTCAGGAATCTTTAGAAGTAATTAAAATCCGACTATTTATGCTATAATGTAAAGTATTCAATAAAGAGCGAATATGACTATAACGTAAGCATGCAAATATAAAGGTGTGGAGGGTTATAGGAGAAAATCAAACTTTATTTTTTGGATATTAGAATCAAATGTTGAATTTGATAAATATTATGCTAATTTCAAACAGTATTATGGTCTCTGATGTTTTTTCATTATATTTGTCTATGATAAGTGATGAATCAGAGGTATATGATGTTTGGAACTTCGATCCTGTAATATGTACTCAGTAACTTGGCATTTCTAATCGCAAAACATGGTTTTATACTGATGTTAGTTCAGGAACGGTAATCAATTTTGTTAAAAACGCAAGATGAACAAATCAAAAATAATAAATTTGATATAAAAATAGATATTCGGATCTTAATTTAGTGGTTAATCGTAATGATTTAATATAAGAAAATTATAAGTTTTGAGAAGATTGAATATAACACAAATAAATTTGAATGTAAGTTAAATTGCTTGTTGTTTTTAATAGCTATTTAATGAGAAATCCAATATTGCAAAATTCAAATTGAATGATTGAAAGAACAGAAAAAGTCATTCTTTTCAATTTCGAATATGTTTCATTGTATTTATAATTATATGGCAAATAAGATATTTAAACTTGATTTTTGAAGGAAAATTCACAAAATTGAATAAATTCAAATAATTTTTATTCAAAAATAAACTAGTTATTTGAGTTTAATACTAATTATCTATTCAAACTACAAAGTTTGTAATTTAAAATATTTTGTGAGATCAGATTGAATTAATTCAAGGTTCTTTTCAATTAATATTAATAACCATATTACGCATTTTCGAACATTCTAAACCAAATATATAAAAATGGGAGACGAATGTTAAATTTGCTAGACATGGGGGAGTTGTCTGCAAAGTTTTAGCTCTTATCTCTAACAAAAAATTAATTTTTAAAAAAAAGACCGAATACGTTTCACAGCGAGAAAAAAATAAAAGGCAAGATAGAATTTTCTAGACATAAAGAAGTTGTTTACCGAGTTTTAGCTCTTATCTCTAACAAAAAATTAATTTTTAAAAAAATGACCGAATACGTTTCACAGCGAGAAAAAAATAAAAGGCAAGATAGAATTTTCTAGACATAAAGAAGTTGTTTACCGAGTTTTAGCTCTTATCTCTAACAAAAAATTAATTTTTAAAAAAATGACCGAATACGTTTCACAGCGAGAAAAAAATAAAACTGTACACTGATTTTAATTTTCATTTCCAGTCACTTTACTTATTATTTTTTCTTTTTTTCATTTTAATTATAAATTATTTCATAATACGTTTATTTACGTTACTATTTTCTTTATTCTTTTGAATTCCATACTAGACACTTATAGAATATTTTGATTGTTAACGTACTTCATTAGAATGAATCCTTACAAAGGGTATGTCGATCGAATTTACCTAATTGGTATTTCCAATCAGATTGAAGAAGGTAAAATGACATGGGAAGAAGCTTGCACCCATGTTCCCATCGCCCCAACCCTTCAATCAAATGATTTCAAATATTTAGATGTTTCAAAATCTTTTTTACAAAATCAATTTAGCTTACAGAATATCCCATTGCCTAAAGGCAAGAAAGGTCGTAGGGTCAATCCCTACGACCAAATCAAAGCTCTTGCTGTGATACATGACCACTGGGCCTTTCCCTGTGGTCAAACAAAACAATGGAAACGTTTGAAATTACAACAAATTGATGTATCTTATAGAGAAGTACGCAGATACTTCAAAGAAAATCATTTCACCAAGACGCGATTAGAGCATGCCGGGCCAGAAACAGCAGTAAGATATTGGGCGCTTTCACCCAATCTTATCTGGCACGCAGATGTTCATTATTTTAGGGGTGTTCGTGGCCAGTATATTTATGGCATAATCGACGATTTTAGCCGCAAAGTCCTAGCGTGTATACAAATACCAGATATGCTGGCAGCGACGACAGCGAACGTTGCGGCTTCCGCCTTCATTGAATTTGGCGCCCCTTATTGTTTCTGGACCGACAACGGTTCAGAAAATAGGGGCGCCTTTCAAGATCTACTTGATCTTTGGGGCGTCCAATGGCGGCATACAGACTCTCATTCTCCCTACCAAAATGGGAAGATTGAGTGTTGTCATGAAAAATAGCGTGACTTCACTTTTGACAAAAAGTGACAGTATTTCTGATGGTTTTGTCATTTATTTATCAGATTTATAAATGGATAATAATGCTGTAAATCAGATATTAATTAAAAATATTTAAGATTTATGTTCGAATTGAAAAGCAAAATGATATTTTTTTTAATTGAAAAACGTTATTATCTGATATTTTGAAGTTTTTAATATTTGTTAGTATCTTAAATTATTGAATGCATACGTTTTTTATGTTCTCAATTTTAAAAAAATTGTGAAGAATTTAGTTTTTTGGAGATGGATGTTTAATATTTGTGAGTGAGAATGCAAGCAGGAGTTTGGTACTTTAAGGCTAGGTTGAGATAGATTTCCCATTATATTATCTGTGAATATATTGTTTGAAAATTCAAGATATAAAAATATATTATCAAAAAAATTTATATTTTTAAATACAATAGGGTGGAAATATAGTACGATGAGATAGCAATGATATATTTTATAATGGGAGGTAATCTGAAGATAAGTAGCAAATTTTATGCGATTTTGATTGGGAGTTGGAGGGTGTGAGTACTATAGCATGTAATAGTATCTCACACCCTCCAATTCTTCCTATGGCGCCGAAAAATTTTTGGTGAAATGCGACGATATTTCACCAAAAATTTTCGGCGCCATATAGAGAACTATAGTCTGCGAGGTACTGATTTTATCTATGTACCTCGCAGACCATAGTTCTCAGCCAAAATGGCTAAAAATTGGGTGCAATTTTTTACATTGCACCCAATTTTTAGCCATTTTAGCTAAGAATTGGAGGGTGTGAGTACTATAGCATGTAATAGTATCTCACACCCTCCAATTCTTCCTATGGCGCCGAAAAATTTTTGGTGAAATGCGACGATATTTCACCAAAAATTTTCGGCGCCATATAGAGAACTATAGTCTGCGAGGTACTGATTCTATCTATGTACCTCGCAGACCATAGTTCTCAGCCAAAATGTCAAAAATTTCGGAAATTCGAAATAATTTTTTTTGAGAAAAAATTAACCGTTTAACATAATATTTATAATATTGCTTATTCAATTAGACGGATTAAAAATTATATGTTTTCTTTTTATTTTTTCAATTAAATTATTAGCTGACTCGAATTTGTATAAGTTTTTTAAAATAGATATCAAAAATTAAATATAAAAAAGAAAACAATTAAGAATATTAAAGTAAATTCTTTATTAAGAAACAATAAAATGAAAATATAAAACTTTGTATGATTTGAGTGGATATTGAGAGTAATTTGTGAGTGTGCTTCAGCTGCATATGTAAGATTGTTCGGATTTAATTAAAAATTGTAAATTTTTTGTCTTTATATCAAACTATTCGACAAAACTTTGTATGATTTGAGTATGAACTCAAAGACGTTCACTCTGGGGTTTGTCTTGAAAAGAGTCTCCCAACTCCTTTCAATTTTTCCATTTTCCTCTGGAGAGTACGGATGAGTTTTGAAATATTTTATATTGAATTCTTGGCAAACCGCTTCAAAATCTTTTCCAATGAATTCTGTTCCATTATCTGTGAGAATTCCATGTGGAACTAATTTGACTAAATCAATTGCGTGACGAAATACTCTGGCAGTATTTTTCATTTCTTTTGTATCGAAAACATCCCAGCAAATAATGTATCTGCTTCTGTCATCAAGAAATGAAATTAAATATTGAAGGTTACCGTTATCGTCCTTCAGAAATTTCAAATCAGTATGCCACAATTGATTAACATATTGAGCAACGTATTCATGTGGATGTTCGTCGATTTTCTGATGCCTGTGAAATGTAAACAAATGTTGTTGATTGAAAATTTTGAAAGCATCGTTGAATGTAAATCTTTCGACTTTTTCGAAATATGATTCTTTGATCCTTTTGTATCCAATGTCATATTGTGCTTTAATTTCCAAAATTTTGTATACATCTTCCTCAAAAATTTTTTTCTTTGGTCTTCCTCTTTCTTTTATTGGATAGCCGAGTAGTACGAAAATTTTTTCAAACGTTCTTTTCCTATTGAAAGTGTTTTTGCCGTATCTTCGAGAGTTACATTTGGATTATTAATGTATTCTTGATATTTTTCTTCAATTACGTTGAGAACCTGATCGGCGGGAACGGTTGGGAGTTGAAAAGTTTTAAGATCTTCTGGGTTTTCGAGACGAACCAAGATGTCTTCCATTTTTTAATTTGTAAATTTTTCAATTTTTCAAAAGATAATTTAAAAATACTAGTAATTTGATAAAATTTGTTTATTTTAAATAAAATAATTTTTTTGAAAAAATTATATTAAAGTAGTATAGTAGATGGGTTATGTGACTTTTTTTGTAAACGTAAGAATTCATACAATATTGAACGATTTTGTATCATTTATTTTAACATTAATTTTAAAATAATTTATTTATTCTTACATAAATGACCCAACAAGTAAAACCAGATAAAATAGATTATCGAATTTTAGAGGATGGTGTTCCTGTTTATATTCAAAGATTTAAAGAGAAGCAATATTATAGAATTGTTAATCCTGAATAAATGAAACATTTATTTAAAAAGGAAGACTGTGAATTATTAAACGTTAATGTTAAAATAATTCACTTTTATTTTGTATGAAATGAGTGTCAAGACTAACGACGTTAAAAAATTTGGATTCACAAACGAGAAAATAAAGGATATATTAGAGGAGGCAGGTTATGAGGTTGATAAATATTATTTAAGAAATTGTCAAAAATTCGCGGAGTTTTTAAATGAATTTGATTATGATGGAAAAATGAATAAAGATGATGTTATAAATTTCTTATATCCCACATCTAAAAAAGAAAAACCTAAAGAACCTGATGTTTTCCCTGAATATTATGAAGAACGAATTAAAGATGATGAATATGATGAAATTGAAAGACTGGAAAAAATAAGAGATGAAATAGATGAAAAAATTAAGGAATTAAGAGAAGTTGAAAAATATAATGAAAATGAAGTAGAGGGTTTAATGAATATCCCAGCTTCAGAATCAGCAGTTCAGAAATCTCATGAAGAAAGATATAAAAATTACTTTTTGGAATCAACACAAAATTTATTAGATGGTGATATTGACGAAACACTTTCAGAAGAAGGTACTAAATTTATTCATAAACATAAGTTACAATTTATTGACGATGGAGATTATCCATGTATATTACTTTCACCTCCTCTTGATTCTGAAAAATTCCAAAAAGCACTGAAAAATGTAACATATGCAACAAATACGATTAAGAAAGAAGACCATGATATTTACACAAATTATTATTTAAATAAATGTACAGGTGTTGATAAAGTTTTTGATTTGTTAGATAAAATATCAAAAGAAACAATTGGTACATATAAAATTTTGTGTGATTGTGGTTTCATTATTGAAGATACCAATAATGTTTCATATGAAAGAACAGCACCGAAGGAAGACGAAGTTGAAAGGTCTATACCATTCGTTATTAAGAACATAAAAGATATGAAAACTTATAAACATTATATTTATTCATTTATTTCAGAAAAAATGGAAGCAACCCATAAAACATCATCTCATCATTTTATAGCTATTCATACATTCCTTTTCAAAGTTGTGAAATTAAATAAGACAGGAATTAGATTTAATGTATCAGGGTACGCATTCTTGAGTAAATTAAAATGTATTCGTCACGTCGCAGATGATAAAAATTTATGTGTTCTTAATTCATTTTATGGACTTTAGCCCTGGACTCTCTGAGTCTCGGACTTTAAAAAAATAAACTTTATTTTTTAATTTTTATTCTTACATAAATGAACAAAAATGGAACAGCTAAAATGAATGATAATCAAATAAGAGCCGAAGGTAGAAGGTTATTTAAACGCTTCTATAACATTCCTGATGGTGTTAATCCTAAAACTCGTAGAAGTTATTTAAATGAAGCAATAGATGCATATGAAGGATTTGACATTTCATCAGAAAGTGAGAGGTTAGCAAGAATGTTAAACGTTAATATTGATTTTTATTATTGTGACCCTCAACCAGAAGACGTAGACATTAACAAGGTAGACTTTCCATTAGTGGAATCAATAATGATAGATCCAGAATTTGAAACAGTAAATATTTTATTAACACAGAGTCCATGTGGAAAACTTCACGCTGACAGAATTACAGACGTTGAAGCACTCACAGGATATAAAGTTTGTCCATATTGTAAAGAAGAAGTTTATTCTATCCGTGATGATCCAGAAAGGAAAAACCAAAGAAGATTTTTAAAACATTGTGAGAAATGTAAAGAAAATAATGGAAGATTAATTCAAGACGTTCAATTGCAAAACACACAACAACCATATGCACCGCATATCACGAAACAGAAGATATATCAATGGCTATTAGCACATAATTTGCAGGAATATTATAAACCAACAAGATATTATATTACTTTTGACTTCGAAACATTAGAGACTAAAGAAGAATTACAACTTTCTGAGTGTGCAACTTTGAATGCTTACTTAAAACCATTCATGGTATCATCAACTGTCAAAATAAAGCCGCAAAGCGGCGAGGTCGTAGACCGTGATAAAACATATACGAGGAATTTTTGCTTAACATCAAGTGATTCGTTCATCTCTGATTGGATTGAATTTTTATTTTCAACCTGTTCATTAGTTGCTAAATCAAATATTGAACAATATGAAGAATTAATGAATACATTAAATGAAAAACAGAAGGAAGCATTTAAAGAGCTTTTAGATGAAGAATTTAATAAAGTGAATATCATAGGTTTTAATTCAGGAAAGTTTGATTTAAATTTAATTCTTCATGATTTAAATACTGCAAAATGGAAAATAAAATCAATGCTGGGTTCATCTTCACAATTTAAGCAAATCATTGTAAAGAAAACAAACGTTCCATATGAATTGAGATTTATTGACATCAGAAATTATATAGCGGGTGGAACATTAGACCAATTCACTCAAGATTTCGGAAACAATAAGTCACGTGTTAAATCCTTTTTCCCTTATCAATTCATCACATGGGAAAATTACGAAGAAGAATTATATAAAGAGGAACCATTCACTCAAGATTCATTTTATTCAGCATTAACTCAAGAAACTATATCAGATAGTGATTATCAAATATATCTCAATGATGCTAAAAATTTTGAGAATAGATTAGAATATTTTATTCATTATTGCAATAAAGACGTTGAAATTATGATTGACCCAATTGATAAAATTATCGAAGAAACATTTGTTATAAAATTGACATGCTTCATAATCTTTCTTTATCATCGAATGCTTCAATGATTCGTTACGCTTTAGCATATAAAGACTTTAATCATAATGAAAAAATATCCTGAGGAAGAGATAGAATCAAGTTTTGAATTAACAAAAAAGTATTGGAAATATAAAATTGATTCATATAAGAAACAAGATGAAAAGGCGAAAAGAGATACTAAAAATAATGTTTCAACGGATGATTTTCAATACTATCACGATTTAATCCTTTCATCTAAATGCAAAATGGTGGTAAAGCGTTTACATATGTAAATAAACCAACATTGGATAGAATCGATAATGAAAAACCACATACCAAAGAAAAATTGTCAGTTAATGTGTTGTTATTGCAATGTCGTTAAATCAAATAAAGATGAAGATGTTCAACGTTTAAGAATCAATTTAAGAAATTATGCATTAAAAAAATAATTTACCAATGACTTTAGATTCAGTTGAAGCTTATCACATTCTCCGTAATGGAATTACTGGTGGTTTATCAAATGTTCAACATAGAGTAAATCTTAAAGGAATCACGCACATTAATAAACTTTCATATAATCCAGAAACTAAAACTGTATCAAATGAGGACACCACCAACATTATGACTCATTTCGTTGGTGTTGATTTTAATTCATTATATCCTTCATCATTTTCATCTAATCCTCATGATTTCATTCAATATACTGACCATAAAATGTATATGCCGGGAAGATTGAATGGTGTTATCATTTGTGATACAGCAACAAAGAAAGTAAAAGCACTGGGAATAATTAAGAAGAAAAATACTTTATTCGTGGCTGAAGTAAAGGGTCACATTGATGAAAAATACATTAATGATTACATAAACTTTTTACCGATAATAAGAAACTTAGATATTATCACAGATGAAAAAACAATTGGCAGTTTTATGTATAATTACATGAAATCAAACAATCTACCAGTTGACCAGAAACAGAGAAAATTAACTCAGTTAGCATCAACACACAACCAATATCAACCATTTTCTTCTTATTATCTTTGGTATCTAATAGACAGATTTCATTTTATCATCGATGACATTCAATCAATTTTAACATTTACTAAAAACACTTGTTTTAATGAATTTGCGAACAAATTTATGAACGAAAGACAAAAGGCTGAATTAGAAGGAAATAAAGGAAAAAGTTTATTTTGCAAGATTTCACTTAATGGATCATATGGTTACGATGCAATGAATACACAAAATTACACAAAGACTAAAATAATGAATGCACAGAAGGCACGCGTTGCATGTATGGCAAATAAGTTTAAAAACATAAGAGAAATAGGTGAAGATACATATCAAATGATGCTCAAAGATAGATTTTATAGATGTGAAACATGTTTACAAGAGGCATTCTTCACTTTAGATAATGCTAAATACTGGTATTTGGTTTTCATTTATGATTTTATGTATAAATGCATGAATGTTAATCGTTTTCATTTCATTGAAGGTGATACTGATTCATCTTATTGGGCAATCGCTGGCGACCCAAATCTTCCTAACACTCAAGCATTTCAAGCAATTGTTACTGATAAACAATTTTATGATAAAAACATTTACAAATTCGCACCTTTTGATTTCTTTTGTTTTGATGAGAAATTTAAACCTAAATTAAAGAATAAAGCTGAAGAAAAAGCACATGAGAAGAAGTTATTGGGTTTAGCAATTGAGAAACAAGGTGATAACATGGTTGCTTTATGCCCCAAGTGTTATACATCATTCAACGGTTCAATTGATGGAAGTGATTTTAAAAAGATTGCACAAAAAATGAAAGGAGTTAGTTTACGACAAAATAAACAATTAACACCTAAAAATTATTTGGATATAATAAATGATAAAGTGATATTTGATGGTCAGAATATTAATTTACAACTTAAAAACGGGTCAATGACTCGCTTAACAATCGGTAAGACTGCATTAACAGGAGCACACACTAAGGCTGTATGTTGTGAAAATGGATGTTGTATGCCGTTTATTTAATGAAATGCCACAGAAGAGACAAAAGGAACCGTTGAATGATGGTTTTGATTCTTGATCAAAGAGGTGGGCACCCTTAAAACATTTATTTTATTTTTATATAAATGGATAACGTAGATTTAGAAAATTTAATTGATGATTTAGTACGTGATCAAAATTTTCTTAGTTATTATGATTTAAAAGCATATCTCCAAAAATATGATGAAAATATAACGGATGATGATATGGATTATTATTATTCATATTATGATAATGAATTTTTGAAATATCATGATGAAATAATTTCTAAAATTAAAGATAAAATTAAAAATAATGAATATACAAAGGAAAAAACTAAATCACAACTTAAACATTTGAAAGATTTCAAAAATGAAGTATTAACAGAAGAAGATATTGATGAATTATATAAATTATATAATCCTGAGCCACAAAAAACAAAGAAACAAAACGCCCGGGTCCTTCAGACCAAAAATGATGCACAAGCTTTAATTTATGATTCATTAGTTAAACCACATTCAGCCCAACTTTTAAATAAAGATCAACTTTTGGAATTCATCCTTCAACATAAACTCGAAGCGGGAAAGTATATCAAACCTTTATATACAGCATATTTAAAACAAATGAATAGAATACATCCAGAATTAATGAAGGGGGGAATGAAATCCAAAACTTCATCATCCAAAATCAAAGCAGATAAAATTAAACCACTTGCAACACCAAAACCTCCAACGACAGTACCTGCAACACCAAAACCTCCAACGACAGTACCTGCAATACCAAAACCACTTCCTCCAGTTAATCCTTCATCATTCACTTTATTATATCCATTTCAAACATTAAAGAAGCAAAAAGATTTTAAAAAGGATTTCAAGATATTAAATAAACCAATTGACCCGAAAATTCAACCGTTAAAGGAAAAATTTGGTCGCCCTTCATTTGCACCATATCCATATTCATACGAAATCGATCATTTAGAATATTCAAAAGGAAACGTTACTTATTTATTTGCCATTAACATTAACACCAGATATTTATATTGCATTCCAGTGAAAGGGAAAACAGAACAGGAAACAAGAAGAGCTATTCAATACTTACTAGATCATGAAAGAGTAGATAATATCAGGGGTGATAGTGATAAAGGATTTCAGGCAACTATGACTCATTATTTCCCACAAATTAATTTTTACTTTTCATCCTCTCCATATACGTTTCATAATAAAATAGTTGATGCGGTAATGAGAACTCTTAGAGATGCGTTAGGGGTTAACGGTCAGATATACTGGGATGGAAATCATGACTCCATCATACAACAGTTAGTATATTATTATAATAATACATGGCATAGAACTATAAACATGAAACCGGTGGAAATGAAAAATGATATTTCAAAAGAATGGGAATATATTAGAAAGCAAATGGAAAGGTTGAATGATGTTAAACGTGAACAAATTAATTCGGGGCTCATGAATTTTAAACAAGGGGATAAAGTTTTGATTCATCTCGATTATGGAAAAACTGATAAATCAATGACAAAAAGAAGACGAAGATTTGACACAATAGCTGAATTTGTTAGATATATTAACGGCAATGCATTAGTTGAGGTTGACAATAAATTAATAGAAATTCCGATTTATTTTATTACTCCATTATATTTAAATAATATTTAATTTTTTTTATTTCGTAAGAAATGAGTGACAACGAAGCAGTCAAGAGTCCAGACGATGAATATAAAAAGAAACTAAACAGAATTAAATCAAAAATATGCTATTACAAAAAGAAGCCACAATGGTGAGGTTGAAAACGATAAAGAAATAATCGAAAAATTAGAAACTTACCGTTCAATCCTTAAACTAAGTGAAGCAAAAATAAAAGAATTTAATAGAATAAATAAATTGATTGGAAGAGATGAATTTAATAAAGATGAATTTTTAAACTCAATCCAAATTTAATTTTTATTCCTCATCTTCTCTCGGTTTTCCGAGGGAAACAATCATATGAGGAAATTCTTCTAAAAGTTCTTTTGTCTGTTGGTTTTCAAACCAATGATATGCTTGCTTTGTAGAACGAAGAGCATTCATTATACTTTGCATTTGGTACATGTCATCTTTGACTGAACGAATGAGGTGAAGTTGTTTGTTATACTGTATGTACTCGTATTCTTCATTAATGGCTTCATGAACGATAGTAGTTGTTGTGTTCTCTAATGTTGACATTACTGTCTTTACATACAAAATAAATAAAACTAACTTTATTTTCTGACTTTCACAAAAGACAAAAATAAACGCTTTACATGTATTTTTCAGCAACTTCGTCAAATAATTTTATAGCTTTATCTATCTCATCTACTTCAAACGTTTCTTTACCTTTCGTGGGAGCACCATACCTTTTCTCAAAAACTTCAAGCAGTTCTGTTTCAGCAGCTCTCATATCATTAACGAACACAACCTTGACTCTATTGACTGTACTGTCATATCTTTGAGTTATATTATATGTTCTTCCTATCTTATATCTTTTTGTGTTGAAGTCCTTCGGTTTCTGAACGATGTAAAGTAAGCCTTCACTGCAACGTTCCGTATCGAATGAACCATAAGTTATGAAGTTATATCCAACAACTGGGTCTAACCATAACAAAACTATTGGTATAAGACTTTTGTCTATAAGATATGCTCTTGTTCCATGAAATGCTACTGATATCATAAGCTCAGGATTTCTTGTCAAAATTTTCTGAGTTGAAGCATTTCTAACCCAGTCGTTTGTTTTCTTTTCAGATGGAGATATAATGTCTGACAAAGAATATTTGTTGTATTTCTTTGAGTATCTTACGTTTAAATCACCTATTCTAACCACTTTGGTGTCATCGTCTATCTTTCTAACTGTTTCAAACTCAATGTTTGTCATTACTGTCTTTACATACAAAATAAAAAAAGATATAAAAATAAAATTAGCGTTATATTTCTAACTAATGAAATTCATTATTTTTGTTGCTGAATTCAATAAAAATATATTTTAGGTGAAGAGGTGAGATCTCACCTTTTTTTTCACCTCTTTTTTCACAAGCGTTTTACATGAATTGTACGATGTATATTTGAAATCCTAAACAATTTCGTAGCTTCAATTTCTTCTTTTAGTACATCGAATGTTTTAATCATGCCGAAAGTCTCTTTATATTTCTTCTTGACGTCAGACAGAAGGAAATCTTCTGCTGTTGGATAGTTTTTATTAAGAAATGCTAACATGTCCATTTTATCTTCTGCTGGCTTTTCTGCTTCTTTCTTTAAGTCTGCATAGTCGTTTCGCATTCTTTCTATCTCTTTGACTGAATAGTTATATTTCCTCATTGCTGCTTTACATTTTGAACATTCCGGATTCATTTTTGCGTTATACATTGAAATAAAACCAGCTAGAACAACTAAGGCGTCAATGGTTTTCTTTAACTCAAAAGCTGCTGGTTTTAACTGTTCATGCCATACCTTACCTCTTCTATCTTTATCTCTTATTTCCCAAACACATTTTGCAACTAATGAAACAAAGTTATCGTATGTCTTAAACTCCACCGATTTATATATGTCAGAAATATTTTTATAAACCATGTCGCAATCTTTGTCCATAACTTTATGGTTGCAATGATATCCTAGAAACTCATAATTTACTTTACGTATGAACTTCTTTATTTCTACTGAGTCAGTTGGTTTCACTTCTATTTCGTCGAATTCAGGAATAGTTAGTTTTTGCTGTTGGATTTCAGGCAATTTGGGTAAATGGTCAATAATGTCCTGCATTTCATAAAGATACTGTTCATTTGTTTCATCTTTCGCACTACAGTCTAAATTACTTGTTAAAAGTTCTTGCTTTATCTTCTGGATTTCTGTTTCAAAAGTATATGAAGAAGGAATAAAGCTTTTCATCTCTGCCAACATTGACGTAGGATTCATGACTAGCGAGTTTGGTGCTGTAGTTGTTTGAATTGTTGTTGTGCCGATTGTTGAAATCATATCTTTTATACAAAATAAAAAAAATAAAATTAGCGTTATTTTTCTATCTTAAGGAAATTCATGAAAATTCACGAGAAAGCTAAAGCAATCTGAGCCGCTAAGCGGTGAGGGTGAAAAATTAGGTGAGATCTCACCTCTTCACCTAAAATATATTTTTGGTGTAAATTTATGACAAAAATAAATGGTTCCATTAGTTAGAAAAATAACGCTAATTTTATTTTTGAAGAACTGAAGGTGTCACTATGTCACTATGTGTCACTCGGTAATTTAACTTCTCTGAAAAATAGTGACAACATGACATTTTGACAACATGACATTTTGACAACATAGTGGGATTAATGAGGAAGGCATTTATTCATTATTTTTGAAGAACTGAAGGTGTCACTATGTCACTATGTGTCACTCGGTAATTTAACTTCTCTGAAAAATAGTGACAACATGACATTTTGACAACAACACGAGAGGAAGGCATTTATTCATTATTTTTGAAGAACTGAAGGTGTCACTATGTCACTATGTGTCACTCGGTAATTTAACTTCTCTGAAAAATAGTGACAACATGACATTTTGACAACATGACATTTTGACAACATAGTGGGATTAATGAGGAAGGCATTTATTCATTATTTTTGAAGAACTGAAGGTGTCACTATGTCACTATGTGTCACTCGGTAATTTAACTTCTCTGAAAAATAGTGACAACATGACATTTTGACAACATGACATTTTGACAACATGACATTTTGACAACATAGTGGGATTAATGAGGAAGGCATTTATTCATTATTTTTGAAGAACTGAAGGTGTCACTATGTCACTATGTGTCACTCGGTAATTTAACTTCTCTGAAAAATAGTGACAACATGACATTTTGACAACATGACATTTTGACAACAGGTACAAGAGAATGCAAAAATAAATTCCAATCATACTTTATAAAGCTTCATTTACAGGTATTTCATCGTCAGTAAATGAATCCTCATTATCGTTTGGTTCAACCTGTTTATATAATTCTTTCATTTCTTCTTTCAAAACATAATACCATGTCTGTTTACCATCTATTCTTCTCTGTTTCTTATCACATTTATCTTTAATGCTCATTTGGAAATTCTTGTCTTTCATGTCTGATGGTTTGCAGAATAAAGCATTTTTACACGTCATACCTGCACACAATTCATCATAATGTGTATTTATCCATACATCTAAAGGATTTGATGATAATTCAATTAAATCTTGTTTGGCTTCAGTCATCGGAATGATTCGTACATTAAATGATGAAAGGTCGTAATTGATAAAATACGTCAGTAAATTATCATAAAATTCCTTTGTGCATGAATTCATCAAATTCTTGAAGTAATCAAATTGACCCTTAAATTTACCATTAACTCTTAAAACTACATATCTTCTGTCTCCAACTTCAATTTTGACAGGGTAGACGTTATTAGTTACGAAAATGAAGTTTGCAACGTTCTGAGCAGTTCTTCTGGGTTGATTCTTTTCATTAATTCTAATCTCATTATCCGTTATAATTGATTTCAAAGCGTTGAAGTTTGCGAGTCTATCTTCACCTACATTCTTGAGTTCATTAAGTACAAGAAACATTTTATTCTCAACTACTGAATTGAAATTACCCGTTAACTCACTTATTTCAGTAATGTTTTTGCATGAATAACCGGCAAGAAGTTCAGAAATAATGTCAGTGAATCTGTTTTTACCTGTTCCCTGAAGTCCTTTCAAAATAATTGCTGTTTCATTCTTGATTCCAGGATGTTGAATCATTGATGCAATCCAGCCGAGAAGGTATTTATACACTTCATCGTTATTATCACAAATGACTTCTTTAATGAAATTCATAAACATCTCAATTTTTGAGTAATCAGGCTTTTCGAGAATGTTGTATTTATAACCTTGAAACGTTGAGAAAACATCGGGGGAATCAGATTTAAAGCAAACACCCTCAACTGTTAATGAAGACAGTTGATTTAATAGTACGTCCCATGCTGTTATTGTTTTACCTTCTTCTTTAAATAATTTAATCATTTTAAGTGACTCTTTCATGTTTGATTGAAGAACGAATGATATTTGATTCATTTTATCATGAATATTATAGTCCTTTTGAATGAAATATTTATTTCCACAATCTACAAAACGGATTACACGTGATAAATCCTCAATTACTTCAGAACTGTTTTTATACTGATGATTTTCAGCCTTGCGTCTAATATCTGTTATCAAAAACGAGTCATCAAGTTTTATATCAAATGTTATTTTTGGCTTACGTAATAAAGGCAAAACGTATTCATCATAATATTCCTTTTGATAAAGTTTTAGAATCTTCACTAAAACAAATGGAGAAGTCATTAAATGTGCATATCTACTACGTGCTTTTTCAAAATTACTTTTTGCATTTTCTGTTAAACTGCAAAAGTTATAAACGTTATCGTATGCTTCATTAATTAAATGATTAGGTAACGAATTAATAGCTTGAAACAGTGTGAATAATGTAACTTCTTTTTCTAAATTCATGTTTCCACCGTCATTATGTACTTCAAAATCACAGATGCCATCAACTATGCTCTGAGCTAGTTTATCGTCAATGTTTACATCTTTGTTTTCATTCATGATAGTCTTTATTTCTTCATTCTTCTGTTCAACTCTTACCTTAATATTCAAATCATTTAATATATCGTTTACTGTTCTGGTTAATGTTGAATCATAACTTCCACGAATGAATGAGTATGTATTGATTGGTTCTGTTGCATTCTTGCGAACTCTTGATTCAGCCATAACCACTAAAGAACGCTTTGAATCATCCATAGAAGTCATGATATCGATATCATAATCATTGCAGGAATAACATTTAATCATTCTGTTCGAAACTGCATAGAAGAAATTAGTGTTGCAATAAATGTGAAGACCTCCTGAAGCGGTTTTAACGATAACATCTTTATCCGAAAGTTTTGATAGAATGTCTTTTCTAACTGTTTCTTTAAGTTCATCATTGTACGATTTATTGATATCAACATCTATAATCGTTAAATTTGATATTTTATTTACTAATAAAGCCATACCAGTTTTCCTTCCTCTTCCTCCATCGTATTTGAGGTAGTTATGTAAATCAATCTTGTTTTCACCAATTCTTTCGTTGAGGGTTTTAGTTTCTGCCATAACTAATTCCTCAGCTAATTCCTCAGCTAATTCCTCAACTAATTCCTCAACTAATGAATCAACTTTTTCATCAGAAACGATATAGTTGCTGTTGTTGTTTGTTGCTGTCATTTATATAGGAATAAAAAAATAAAAATAATTTTAAAACTAACTTTATTTTTGCATTAATCCCACTATGTTGTCAAAATGTCATGTTGTCAAAATGTCATGTTGTCACTATTTTTCAGAGAAGTTAAATTACCGAGTGACACATAGTGACATAGTGACACCTTCAGTTCTTCAAAAATAATGAATAAATGCCTTCCTCTCGTGTTGTTGACATAATGTCATGTCGTCAACATTGTGACATAGTGACACCTTCAGTTCTTCAAAAATAATGAATAAATGCCTTCCTCTCGTGTTGTTGTCAAAATGTCATGTTGTCACTATTTTTCAGAGAAGTTAAATTACCGAGTGACACATAGTGACATAGTGACACCTTCAGTTCTTCAAAAATAATGAATAAATGCCTTCCTCTCGTGTTGTTGTCAAAATGTCATGTTGTCACTATTTTTCAGAGAAGTTAAATTACCGAGTGACACATAGTGACATAGTGACACCTTCAGTTCTTCAAAAATAATGAATAAATGCCTTCCTCTCGTGTTGTTGACATAATGTCATGTCGTCAACATTGTGACATAGTGACACCTTCAGTTCTTCAAAAATAATGAATAAATGCCTTCCTCTCGTGTTGTTGTCAAAATGTCATGTTGTCACTATTTTTCAGAGAAGTTAAATTACCGAGTGACACATAGTGACATAGTGACACCTTCAGTTCTTCAAAAATAATGAATAAATGCCTTCCTCTCGTGTTGTTGACATAATGTCATGTCGTCAACATTGTGACATAGTGACACCTTCAGTTCTTCAAAAATAATGAATAAATGCCTTCCTCCTATGTTGTTGTCAGTTATTTTATCATCGTTTTATTAAGTTCATCTTTAGTTAATAATTTGAATGGATTCGCTAATGTTCCACCTTGAGTCACATCACCTGCCCTGACTAATTGTGAAGAACCTGGGATAATTACTCCACGAAATGATTTCATTGGTATCATTAATTTAGAAATAGTTGGCTTAATTAATTTTGTCATTTATGATAAAAATAAAATTACATAATTTAAATTTTTTTCTTTCTCATTTTTTTTCCTGTTTTGGTTTCAGTAACTTTTCAAGTTGTTGTCTTGTCAGTAACTTTAATTTTAACTTTGGATCAAATATTGGGTTTCCATCTTTATCTCTTCCGATAACACCATATGGTAGAATCTTCATTTATACTAAAATAAAAATTTAAATTATGATGTTCGCTCTTTTGGAGCTCCTAAAGTTTGTTTCACAAACATTGAGCGTTCATTGAACTCTATACCATGCGTAAACTGTCATGTAAGGTGGCATGTAGTCTTTACTTTGTCCCGTTGTTTGTGTATATCCTGAAACGAAATGTGTATGGTTTCCTTCTCCCTGAGTGTCACTCCAGTAACAATTTATAGCAAACTTAACGTCATCTTTAACATCATATCCTTTACCTTTTGTCATTCCTGACCAATCCCAATATCTATGCTTATGCCAACCCGCTTGAGATGTACTTAAATCTATGTAGTGACTGTGTGCAGGTAAATTTTCACCTGTAATCGTTTTACTTCCACCCATTTCCTTTGAAGAGTTTGCACAATACAAAAACCTGTCGACTATTTGTTCCCATGCACCAACACCAAACATTACTTGAGGACCTCTTGCATCCATAGACGTATAAATAGAACCTACTGGGTTCATTAAATCAAACATATGAGATAATATAGGATTGTCTCTTTTGAACTTAAAATATAGTGCAACTATTTCAGGTTTCTTCTGGTTTGTGTCGGAATATTTTTTATAATATAATCTTATGTTTTCAGGGTAGGTAAAATCTTGACTATAATATTTATTTTTGTCATCTATATAATAATATACTATTCTCGTTTTTTCTATTGCATTATATCTTTTATATCTATAATAATCTAAATATAATGTTAACTTTTGTTCATCTACATGTGGTGTTCTGACGTCATCTCCATAGTCATAATAATATGGTGCTGGAGCTAGGTTAGACAATGTCATATCTGTCATTTCATAAACTCTTAAATATTTCTTTTGTTCGTCTCCATATAAGTTCAAGTAACAGTTGTTGTCTAATGGAACTTTAACTTGTGTACCATCATTCTTTATATAGCTTACATACATTTCATTGTTATTTTTCGGAATGAGTTTACACCGCATACCATTTCTTAAGGACTGTACAAACTGCCATCTAAAATATTTATTTTCTTCATTGACAGAAAAGTCACCAACAATAGTTTCAATATTTTTAGTTGTTCCTATCAAACTTTGGTATATTCCATTAACATATTCATTATCTGCCTTCTTCTCTAACTCACTGTTGACATATTCCTTATCTGCTTTAAGGTCTAAACATCCTGAAACCCACCCTGTATCAGCTTTAGTTTTTAAAATCTTTGATGCCCATTCATGATACCATTCAACCCTTTCTTTAATTTCATTATCTTTTTCATTAACATATTCCTTATCTGCTTTCTTCTCTAACGCACTAGCCACACAATCCTTATCCGCTTTAAGGTCTAAACATCCTGAAACCCACCCTGTATCAGCTTTAGTTTTTAAAATCTTTGATGCCCATTCATGATACCATTCAACCCTTTCTTTAATTTCATTATCTTTTTCATTAACATATTCCTTATCTGCTTTCTTCTCTAACGCACTAGCCACACAATCCTTATCCGCTTTAAGGTCTAACTCACTGTTGACATATTCCTTATCTGCTTTCTTCATTAACTCACTAGCCACATATTCCTTATCTGCTTTCTTCATTATGTCATTTAGGAAACCTTTTATGAATTCCTCATTTAAATTAAATCTTCCAATCTTCAAAACTTTAGGAAATGCATTTAATGCGTAATATCTTTGTTCTCTGGTGGAATTGATGTTATATCATCCGTTATTCCTTTAATTTTTGAATTCATAAATAAAATTTCTTTTATATTTGATATCACTGCACCACCTTTGCAAACGAATTCGAAACGCTCATTTTTCAATACTATCTCCAAATCTCCATATTTCAACCTTTGCGTTTGTTCTGCCGTCTTTGAATTATATGCATATATGGCGTATGTAATGGTCTGAAGGACCTGGGTGCTTTGTGCCTTAAGTTGCTGTGGTTGCTGTTGTTTAATCATTTATTATGATTTAAAAATATTTAATCCGTTATCTCATCAGCTATTTTTTCTATTTGAAATTGCCATAATATTTCATTCATGAATTCTAAATCACAATCAAATAGGTCAGTTATTCTAAATTTAATATTTGATAAATCTTTTGAATGAAGAATAAATGAATTCCCGGATAATTGAAACGGATATGATAAAGAAAATGTGTTTAAGTTGATGGATAAAATGTTTTGTATTGATGGGTAAGAGTTAGGGTCTAATGTTTGATGTGAAAATCTCATTGGGGTATTAACTTTATCACATTTGATTAAAATGAAATTGGAACCAGTGTCAGAATACAAAACATCCCCAACATCTTTTTCAAAATTTAATATCCCCAACAATGAACGAAGATGAGGAGTACAAAATTTAATTTTCAGCGGAAATTTAATAAGGTTATTTATTTCATCAAGTTCAAAAAGTTTATCAGGTTTTGATTTAAAATTTCCTTCATACCATACGATAAATGATTCATTTAAATAACTTAAAATGTTAATATCCCATTTCGTTATCACATTATTTATATACATATCATACGTTTTTTCAAGGTCATCTTTAATAAATGATATATAATCTGAAGGGTCTAAAAGAATGGGATTAAATTTACCACTCACAGAAACGAGAGTAACATTATAAATTCCACTAACTGTTAAATTTAATTCACAGTTATTATTTGAAATAATATTGATAATTGACATTTTTATTACGATTAAAAATATGGTAAAGCGTTATTTTCCAGTGATAAATAAAACTAGAATAAGATTACCTCAAGAATTCATAAATTCAACGAATAAGAAATTCATTCATGTTATAAATTTTAGTGTTTTCAGAAAATACGAGTCAATGTCATATTCATCAACAGGTTATATTTCACTTCATTCAAATTTAGTTCAATCAAACCCATATAATGACCATTTCATAAGATTTTCAGATGGTATTAAAAATGCAATTGATAGATTAAAATATGAACAGATTGACAATATCGAATTTTTGGAATTTTGGTTTAAATATCCTGATGGAAAAAAGATTGAAGTTAAAGATAAAGCTGATACTATAACAAAAACAATTACAATGACTGATCCGGATAGTGGGAAACAAAAAGAAATAAAACAAACGATAGAAACTGGTGAAAGGTCAATTATTATTGATTATGATTCAAAGGATTATTATTCGATAATGTTAATGCTTGAATATTAAATGGCCTTAACAAAGAATTTTTCAAGTGATATTTTATATTCATCAACTATTTTATTGTATATGTTATTATAAGTTAAATGTAGTTCAGTTGTTGTTCCATTCTTTGATATCTTAATTGTGCTAATATCCTTTATAGGATTTATTTTTGCAACTGTTCCGCAGCATGAAACCTCATCATCTATGAAAAATTGAATCTTAACGTCTGAATCTTGAACATCACAAAGAATGGCGATAATATGAATTAATGATTCATAAGGTAAAATAATTAAACCGGATTGGTCAATTAAATTTATTATTGAATCATAATTATTAATTATTATATCACGGTAAATTTTCATTAATTCAGAATTAATGTCTATTTTATATGGGTTCTCGATGTTTGATGAAAGAGGGGTATGTTGGATAAGTGGGAATTTCAACAGGTTCTTTACCGGGTTCAGATAAAATGATTGGGTCTTCATCTTCTTTATTTTGCTCCTCCTCTTTCTTTGGTAAGTCACGAGTTAATAAATTTGGTTGAGTTGCTGACCTTGTTAATTCAGGGCTAACATTAACTTTAACATTTTGAATAATTCGTGATTTATCATCATTTACGTTATAACCAACCGTAATCTCTGCTTTTGCGTTGTTCTTTTGACTTGTGAAACGTCTTCTCATTTATAATTGAATAAAAAAAAGAAAAATATATTTAAAGTTTTATTTAGTTGTTACGGTAATATCCCAAGGTTCATCCTTGTTTGCTTATACTTTCTTTGTAACTGCACCAATTATGTTATTGATAATGATTTGAGTTTCTCCCAGTCTTATTTTATCATTTACAATATCTTTAATCATTTCATTACATGCATTCTTAAAACCATCGATTTTTCTAATTTACGTCTATCACTTTCTTTAATTAAATCAAAGTTATAACCTTGTTGAGAATAAAGTGGTTTCTTTATCAATTCCTTGAACGCTTCTGAAAGTGAAGATGAAGAAATTCTTGCCACTTGAATTGGTTTAAATTCTGCTTTCATTGCTTCTTTCTGTTCATTGAACACTGGATCGAATAAAGCAACTTTAAAGAATTTCTTAGCTGGAATTTCGGGTCTAATATTTGCATATTGACCATCAAACTGGTTAGAATATCGTGGTAATCCATCCGGTCCCTCTTCAATAGCATTTAATTCTTCATTGAAATAAGAATATGGATTATGACGGTATGAATTAATTGGACCATTTTCACCTTCTCCAATGTATTGTTTAACAGCTTTTCCATTTTCATCAAATTGCATAGGATAACGTTCATTATATGCTTTACGTTTAGGATAATCACTTATAGCTAATTTATAACCATTTATGACTTTAATATTTCCTTGACCATCAGTAACGAAAACTTCATTTATACCATCAGGTTTTCCATTTGGTCCTGTAATGTCTGCTTCATGTGCTTCCCAATTTGGTCCATGACGTTTGGCATATGCTTGAGCTTCTGGTAATGTTAAAACATTTCTCATTTGTTTAACATCCTTTTGAAGACCGGCAACAATATGAACTAATTCTTTCATTCCATCAGGAACTTTCATAGTTCTATTATATGCACCCTTTTTGTTTGTTCCTTGTTTTAATGGAACCTGTAGAAGATTTGCTATTTCTGTCATGTTTAATTATAAATAAAAAATAAAAATTAATTATAAAAAGTTAATCAAATTTAACACCTCCTTTATTTAAATCAACTATTATTTTTCCATGTTCTCCTAATTGTTGATATTGTGTGTAAAGTTCATTAATGCTCATTGGTAAATTCACTTGATAAAGCATAACGTTCAACTGTTGACGACTAAAACCACTGAAAATGAAAAGGGTGGACAGGTTTGATTTAATGTTTGTGCTTAATGCTTTAAAGTATTGAACAGCCATAAAGAATGAACATTGAATATGTCGACATTGAGTTAATAATTGATTAAAATATGATTTCTCATTAGTTATTAGTTTTGATTTCACGGCATCATCTAGAAAAATTAGTGAATGCAAAAATTCTTTATCAAAATTTGAAATAGAAAGTGTTTCAAATAATTCATCCCGTTGTTTATCAATAATTTTATCCTCTAATCCTTGCTTCTTGATTGTATTATATAATTCTTTATACATTAAAAAGTTTTTTAAATAATCTTCTGCTTCTTCTTGTGATAAATAAATAATTGGAATTTTGATTAAATGCTTTAAAGATTCAAATGTATCATCTGAAGGTGAACCTGAACGGTTGATATAAATTAACACATGTGAATGGGGGAAGTGTTAGCAATAATGATAATTTGTTTTAATATCGTTAATGTTTTACCTTTATTTTGTTTACCAATTGCTGCAGTGATTGAATTTAAGTAACATTCAGAATATGGAATTTTCATTAATTTTTCCTTAGATAGAGCATTTCTATTATCACTCAATGCTTCATTAATCATATCATCTACGTATGTATTATATACTCCTGCTAATTCTTCATAAGGGGTGGATGAATTTAAATCCATTTAATCAAAAATAAATTTATAATTTTAAACATTTCTATTCATCAATATTTCATCATATGAACTTCTATACTGTGGTGGTGTACCTGTTGGATGATATTTCAAACCTTCATCCGGTGTCCATGTCCAATATGTAGTCCTAGTAAACCAAACCTGAGGAGGATTTGTCACCTTTGAACAGTAAGTGTCATTTTCACCCTGAATGATTGGATAAGCTTTCACTTGTACTGTAACTTGTGAGTTGAAAGTTTCTAATCCATCAAAGAATATACCCGCTCCATCACGTTGAACTGGAATAGTGCATAAGAATGAAGTTTGGTCTTTCCATGTTCTAGCTAATGGCGTGCCATCATCTGCATTCAGTGGTCTAGTTAATGAGTCCTCGTATTCTTCTGTGCATTCATTCACTCCATCTAAATCAGAAGCTTGAAGCATACGTGTAAAGAATATGTCACCCACTGTGGTCATCGCTTGATCGGGGAAGTTTCTGGAATCTATAGTGACCTGAAGACCTCGAAGCATTGGATTTTCTAAAACTGTTCTTTGCATTGCATTCTTCGGAAATGTTAACACAACATCTGTAACATTATGAAGAGCGTATGAGAAATCTGAGCTAATACCTTCAGGAGTGATGCAACCTCCATTTAGTGAACGAACGTCAATATGTTGAGCTGGAATCATGAATGGATCTTCCTTACTGAATAAACGTGGTATTGCTTTAACTGATTCTTCAATTAAACCATATCCTGGTGTAATGCATTTATCCTCTAAAACTTCCATCTTTGTGCATGAAATAATAACGTCATCAACTGTTGCGTCAGCAGATGTAGCGGCTAAGCTTGTAATTAATTTGGCAGGAAGTCCGATTTGTTGGAATTTGCGATCATATTTATAAACATGATTCATAATCTTTTCATAATTTTCATCAGTTATCTTTTCAATAAACGTAATTTTGTAAATCAGCAACTCTTAACGGTCAACTGACAAAATACTAAAGTATCCCTGAAAACATAATATTTAAGAATGATATCACCAAATGATTTAGGAATAATCATCGAACGCCTGAAATGCTAACAAATCATTACCGGAATAATCATATCAAAATATATCAACTTCTTCATTTGCTTCTTAAAACTTCTGAAGGATCAATATATTTACCACATACTGAGTTATCATATTTTGAACATTATTATATAACAAATGAACAAACTTTTTAACTTTCCTTTCTGATTTTGGTTTATATGTTGCAAATGCGAAAGATTCACGGGCGCAATCCATCTGAAGATAACCGCATCACCCTCTTTCAGTTTCTACTTCTAATTGTTTAAAGCTTTGATTTGATGATTTGTAACCAACGAATAAACGCATGCATTTAAAAGTGGCATCACATGTGAAAGCTTTATTTGAAACTAGAGTTGGCTTTAACTTTGCGTTTAATATATGTGTCACCTAATTGGTTCACATCATGAGCTGGATTTGTAATTCTTAAATGAGTTTGTTTATCATCAAAATATGGAGCATCAGAGTCATAGCATGAACTTTCAAGTTCTCTATAATATCTTCTACGGCGTCATTCTTTGCGAATATTTCATTATCTTTTCGAATGAATGAAACACATTTCCATTAATTGGTTTAGTGTTTGGCACCAAATAGTTAGTCGTCATTTATTAATAAATAAAAAAATCAAAATTAAAAGATGGAAATGAATTTTTAATTTTAATGAAATAATCAACTATGGCTGCAGGTATATTTAAGAAACTGTGGGATAAAGTAAAAAGAGGAGCTAGTAAAGTTTGGGAAACATTGAAGAAGGGAGCAAATTGGATATTTAAGAATAAAGAAGCAATTAGTGACGTTGCTGAATCAATAACACCAAAAGCTGCCCCAATAAGAGAAATTTTAAATAAAGGAGAAAAAGTTTATCAAAGACTACAACCGATACTAAGATAAAAATAATATTTATTTTTCCACTATTTACCTCCTATTTTATTAAGTATTCCTTCAGCTATTCCACCAATTGCGTTACCTGCTTGTGCTCCCATCGCCGGATTACCTGCTTTAGCACCTAATACTCCACCTATGATAGTTCCTGCCGTTTTCGCTACTGGTGCCAAAAAGTTTGCAATGGGTTTAATAATCTTTTGATGAACCCAACCCGCAGCTTTCTTAATTCCATCCCATAATTTTTTAAAGAATCCTGCCGCCATTTCTGATTTAATATTAATTAAAAATTCATTTCATCACTTATATTCTAATTTTTTTATTTAATGATAAATGAAACCGATTTTAAAAATAAATGAAACAGAGGAAGAAATAAATGAAAGTGAAAATGTTCAACAAAAAATAAACGTTGTTAAACCAATTACTGAAATAAAAATTTTTTCATCTGTTGAAGAATTTAATGACTATTATGCTAACAATAAAAAATTATTTGAAGAATTGACAACGTGTAAATTGAATAAAATGTTTAAAGTTGATGGATTCAAAATTTCAAAAATAAAAGGAGTGGTTAGTTTGAAATCTATTCCTCAATCAAGAATCACCTCATTAATGAAAATAGATGATTTAACAAAAAGAATAGAAGAGATTGAAGAGCGAATAAATCAAATTATTGATTTCATAAATTCAAATAATCATTAGTTTCAATTTATTTTTCTCGTTTATGAGGTCTTTGATTATGACTTCATTGATTCCATTCAGGATTTAACATTAACGTTTAATAATTCACAGTCTTCCTTTTTAAATAAATGTTTTATGTATTCAGGATTAACAATTCTATAATATTGCTTCCCTTTAAATCTTTGAATATAAACAGGAACACCATCCTCTAAAATTCGATAATCTATTTTATCTGGTTTTACTTGTTGGGTCATTTATGTAAGAATAAATAAATTATTTTAAAATTAATGTTAAAATAAATGATACAAAATCGTTCAATAAAAAAAAAAAAAAAAAAAAAAAAAAAAAAGGTAGTGGGGCTTCCAGGCACTTCGTGCCTTCTAGCCCTGAAGATGTTTAGTATAAATGAAGTCTTAGAGGACAAACATGACTATGAGTTTTGATATGACAAGATAGAATATGAGAGAGGTCCTATAAACCGGAGAAAGTGTTATATAAACATCTGTCATATTACTCAGAATATTATACAGAATTCAATAAAAATATATTTTAGGTGAAGAGGTGAGATTTCACCTGTTTTTTCACCTCATTTTTCACCTCTTGAATTTTCATGAATTTCATCGTAAAGACTTTGTCAAGATTTCATCGTAAAGACTTTGTCAAGATTTCATCGTAAAGACTTTGTCAAGACTTCTTCGTAAATGTTTTGTCAAGACTTCTTCTTCGTAAATGTTTTGTCAAGACTTCTTCTTCGTAAATGTTTTGTCAAGACTTCTTCTTCGTAAATGTTTTGTCAAGACTTCTTCTTCGTAAATGTTTTGTCAAGACTTCTTCTTCGTAAATGTTTTGTCAAGACTTCTTCGTAAATGTTTTGTCAAGACTTCTTCTTCGTAAATGTTTTGTCAAGACTTCTTCTTCGTAAATGTTTTGTCAAGACTTCTTCGTAAAATCAGACAAAAATATATTTTAGGTGAAGAGGTGAGATTTCACCTGTTTTTTCACCTAATTTTTCACCCTCTTGAATTTTCATGAAATTTACACCAAAAATATATTTTAGGTGAAGAGGTGAGATTTCACCTGTTTTTTCACCTAATTTTTCACCCTCTTGAATTTTCATGAAATTTACACCAAAAATATACTACTAGGGTCATTTACGAAGAAATCTCAACAAAGTCTTTACGAAGAAATCTCAACAAAACATAGACAAGAAAGTTCATGAGAAATTAGATGAAGAAGTCTTAACAAAGTCTTTACGAAGAAATTCATGAAAATTCAAGAGGTGAGAAATGAGGTGAAAAAAGAGGTGAAATCTCACCTCTTCACCTAAAATATATTTTTGGTCATTTACGAAGAAGTCTTAACAAAGTCTTTACGAAGAAATCTCAACAAAACATAGACAAGAAAGTTCATGAGAAATTAGATGAAGAAGTCTTAACAAAGTCTTTACGAAGAAATTCATGAAAATTCAAGAGGTGAGAAATGAGGTGAAAAAAGAGGTGAAATCTCACCTCTTCACCTAAAATATATTTTTGGGTCATTTACGAAGAAGTCTTAACAAAGTCTTTACGAAGAAGTCTTGACAAAGTCTTTACTGAAAAAGTGTCATACAAACAACCGTCAAAAACCGCTTTTTAACTTCACTTAAAATGCCACGTAAGCTACGTAAGAATATACGTAAGAGGAAGAGAGCATTGAAACATCCAATAGTAAAACTGACACCACAACAACAGTTGCAACAACAAATGCTGAATGACCCCACTATGTTGCAACAAATGTCAAGCAATCCTATGCTTTTAAACCGAGTTGTTGGTGCACAGAGTGGAGGTTTAAGAGCGGCACTTTTAGCGAAAATGGCAGGCTATGGTGGAGCTGCAGACGGAACAGCCTATAACCCTCAAAGTCAAATGAATTTGAGTTCACTCAAAAATCAAATATCAGATGTCAAAAAGTCAAACATAGACATACAGAAGCAAATAAGTGAAAACGAAAAGAAACTAGAATATGACAGACACACAAAGAAACTCAATGAGTTAAACGTAGAGAAAAGAAGAAAGAAGAACAACTGAAAGAACTAAGTACAGAGGAATATGCGAAAAAAGTGTCAGAAAAAGCAACAGAAGTAGCAAAAATGGAACAAGATGTCATAAATTTGAAAAACCATACTACTCAATATAAAATACTGAAAGATGAAGAGATAAAACAAAAAGCCCTGAAGACATATATGGATAGCGATGAGTATAAAAAAGAAGTTGAAGCAAATGTAAAGGCAGAAAAACTTTTACAGTTGCAAACCAAACCGTACAGTATGAAAACTTAGCACAAGAAAGTAAAAATAACGACGCGGCTATGCAAAAGGCAATGAAAAGCGCAGAATATATAAAAGCTAACAATGACTGGTTAGATGCCCAAGCCAACGCTAAAGCAGCCCAACTCATAGGGTCAATAAGGACAAAAATACAAGCGGATGAAGACAGTTCAAATGAAACTTTAACAAATGCTGACTTTAAGAACGCCTTCGAAGCTCTTCATAGTAAGGTGAAACAAGTGAACGACTTCTCATCTGGAAAGAAACTGAAGTCTGAAGGTTTCGACAAAGAGTTAAAAGAAGTAGCACAAAATATGACGAAAATAACAGATGCAGCAACGAGACAGGCAGTTCAAAGTGCCTATGACGCCGTTAGAGCAACTGTTGTGAAAAGTCAAGAAAAAGAGTTACAACAGACCAAAACAGACCTAGTAAATGCTTTCTTAAGAACGAAAAGTCAGGTAGGACATTACGCTGCAGATGGAACATATGTGCCAGCTGGTGGAACTTATATACCACCAAACCCTCCAAGAGAAGCACCTGCACCAGGACTACCTAGAACATTTACATCGTCACATGGACACAGACACAGGCATGCACCAAAACCACCTCCACAACCAACACAACAACCAACACAACAACCAACACAGCAACCAACAGTTCAAAACCCTGCACAACAACAACCACAAACAGAGCAAGGACATAAAAGAAGTAGAGAACAAGGAAACCAAGAATTCTTAAAAATGCTTAAAGAAGAGTGTGGTTTCCCAGATAGTATTGACTTTAGTGACAGATATAAAGAAGCTATTGGAAAGTTCAAGGATGGAAATACTGACCCGAACCTATTTAGCTTTATGGCTCAGCACCAAAACGGATATAATCTCAAACCTGGAAAATACAAGCTCGCTAAGGGATATGATTTAATAGCATATCATCCAAATGACATGGATGAATTTACTCCGAGATATTTGATGTCAGAGCTAAATGACAATTCAACTTTCGTCATGAAACGCGTAAAAAATAGAGACGGAACGAAAGAACAAAAGCTTATGAATGCGGATGACGTAGATAGGGAAATTGTTGAAAACGGTCTCGGAATATATGAAATGCCAGCAGATGAGGTACAAGAAACTCCACAGGAAGAAGTTCAGATACAACCAGACATGGAAGAAATAGTTCAGCAACAACAGCTAGAAGAGCCTGAAGGAAACGAACAAGTCCTTCCTTTGGAAACTAACTTCACAGAACTAGATGAAGATTTGGAACAGCCGAAAAATCTTGACCCTCAACAAGAGTATGCGGAGAATATGGAATATTTCCAAGAGTCTAAAAAAAATTCGGCTGACATAGTAGAAGAATATCGAAAAATGTTTGCCGACATACAAAAGACTCCAACACCAGATGAAAATATTCAGCATAGAATGGAAGTACTGAAAAAAAATGTACACAAATACAACAACCCTTTTTACTTACGAGCATTTAACGTTCAATCTTCGGATGAACTCGGTGAAAATAAAAGGTTAAATTTCAAGAAAACATATAGAAATGAAACATTGTTTAAAGTTCATTCAGAACCTAACCAAGATGGAAACAAACCTACTTTTGTTTCTGCAGACGATGGAACTACAATGAGATGGGGTCATAAAGCTAATCCAGATAGGTGGTTCATAAACTTACAACCTCAATTCCAAGAAGTTGTAGACGCAATGGAAGTCAATGGTGAACCAGATATAGCTGGTATTTTAAGCGCGGCTTTAATGCCATTGAAAGATATGAAACATGCAGATATTTTGGACCAGTATGAAATGAACATGGCTGATGGAAATATAACACCTGACGTTCTAGAACATTTATCTCAAAGAACTACACAGAACCATAAAGATGGTATATTTGGTGAAGAGTTTAGAAAGAAAGTTAGGGATAGAGAAGAAGAGAACCTATTGTACATGACCTTGCAAACGAAAGTTTACAAAATGTCATAAAACTTACTTTGCAGACAATGAACGAGAAGGGATGAATATTTAAGAAAACTCAAATGGACAGTACCAAATGAAATGTTAGTATTGAAAAACATGTTCCTTGACAAAATAAAACCAACTACAGAAATAAACGACGCAAGACTGAAAGATTGGGTAAAAGCTTTCCCATTCACAAAAGATATTGTTGGTAACATGGAAAGAAAACCAGAATGGCTACAAAAACATATATTTGGAAACGAGCATATTCCATATGGACAGGCACTGTGTTTGAAGAGCTTGAACCAGAAACTCAGGAAAGAGTCATGCAAACAATACGCGAAGACTCAAATACAGACTATGACAAAACTCTTTCTAGGATATAGGTTACCTGAGATGGGCGACCAGAGCCAAAAGGCAAAAAGGACATGGGAAATTTGCAACATACTAGATGAACATAATGCAAAGATGCAACAACTTCAAGCAGAGGGCAATGAAGGAAAAAGAAGAGTTAAAAAACTCAGTCAGGAAGAAAGTAAAGCTTGGTCCACGTGGGTTCTATTATGACATATAAATCCAACTATTCTATATTTTTACTCATATGAAATGTACGCCGCTCAGAATATAACGCCAACAGTTTTGGATGCTATGAATGGAAATGTTTCCGAATGTATAACGAATGCGACAATGCCATTAGAAGGTCAGAAATAGTTCCTGGAACTTACGAATATACAACTGCTGTTTCTTATGGAAATGTAGGTGAGTTTGGAGAAGGTTCTTCAACAACAGTAGATATTGCTTGCGACAGGTTTCATATAATTTCTATTGACAACTCTTTCTTATACGTGGAACAAGACATTGAAATAAAACCTTCTGCCAAGTTGTCTGACAAGAAAGGTTGCAATGGAATTTTCTATGTCGGATACCAATATGCTCCAGAAGTTTTCATGGGATATAAGATATATTCTAACTCTGACTTAGTTCAAACAGTAACATGGGCAAACTATGAATGGTTCGCTTTGAGAAACTCAGTACAACCACAAGCTAGAGAACAAACAGACCAGTATGCCACCATTGAGAAAATAAGAAGACTTGACCCTAACGTTCCAGGAGTTTATGTTAACCTTTCTGGTTCAGATGGAACTGCAGTAACCAAAGTAAAACTGAAACTTAGAGTTCCTTTGTCATCTTTCCTCATCTTCAGGTTTTTAAGATACTTGCCAAACTGGGCAGGAAAAATTTCTATCGAACTTACTCCAAGCAAAAATAACTTAGTCATTGCACCAACACAAGACCCATTCACTCTTACAGACGTAAAGGGAGCAAATCAAACGTCATTCGCCGAATTTTGCAAAGACAAAGTTGACTTAGACTTTGGTTTCTCAAACCTCAACACTGAAGTAAACTACTACTTCAATGCTGCTGGAACTGCTTGGGACCCAGTTAAGTTCACATGCGAAAAGTTTGAATGCAAGAGAATAGAAAGCAGACTTGCAGTCTATATGTTGGACCCAGATATTTCAAATGCTTTAGCTGCCAAATATATTGCAGTTCCACTTATGTTCCCTATACACCAAATATCTGTCAAAGACTTTGCAGGTGAAGTTGGAAACCAAAGTGCTGACCCAGGTGCAAGAACAGATATTGCTTTAACAACTGCGATGAAACATGCAGATACTATGTTTGTACTGTTCAGACGAAATAAATGACTATTCTTGCTTCTACAACCCTGGTATTAAATACCATATAAACATAGATGGCAAATACTATCCAAGAGAAGAATATTCTACAGTTGAGGATATGAGGTCATACAACTTGACATTAGATGCTATGAACTTTAACAACAACTTCACAACAACCATTAACCCTGAAATGCAAAGTTCTATTATGCCATATGTGAAAGTATGGACCCATACAGGAGCTCAAAACACTCAATATACAAATGGAGACCGTTCAAACTTTTGGCTTGGCATTCCATTTTGCTGACTCAGAAGACTTTATGGGTGGTATTTCAACTGTTGGTACTGTACAAATACAATATACTGGTGACAGAGACGGTCCAAATGAATTGAAAGCAAAGAAGTTTACAAAACCAATAGCACTTTTCACGGAAGATGCTCTTTTGAAAATTCGTTCGATGAAACCTGCTGGGGCTCCTCAGATTGGTATAACGACAGCTTCCATCGAGCAGATTTTGGCAGCAGGTCAGTAAGTTGTTCTTGAACTGACTTCTCTCCGTCAAATATTGACAGTACGCCAGTTTTGATATAATATTGTATTAAAAACTTTCCTTTAGAAATATCGGTCAGTTTTGTTGTTATATTTTTGTCTGCTTCAAGAACTTTCACCATCTCGGTTATACAACTTTCTTTGCTTTATGAAAATATTTTGGTTCAGCAAAGACTGCTATTCTATAACATTTCCATTGTTTGTGTAAAGAACTACTCTGTCAATGTATTTGTATTGTTTGTGTGTGTAAACCTTGTTTTGCTTCAATTCGAAGAGATACTCAAATACGTCCATCTTTTATTCTAAGTAAAATGTCATTTCCGAAAAATAGAAGCGTAAGTGTTTCAAAAGGTTTAATGGCGGTGGCAGATGTGAAGTTAAATTCACCAACTCAAACAAAAGTCAAAGTGTTGTTGTCAATGTCAAAGACAGAGATGTTGAAGTGGAGAAACCATACGAAGACGAAGATGGTAAAACAATAGTTCCTGTAAAAGAACAACCAACATATCCTGAAGTTAGCAGAGACTTAAGTTCTGTTGCAGATATTCGAAACGACTACCAACAACTTAAAGACAAACTTAAAACTCAGGAGAAGATTTGTCAAGCTTTGGGTATAATGTTAAACTTGGTCGAACACAACCCTGTAAAAGTGAACTCATATGTCATTGCACCTCATGAAATTTTGAAAGAACTATTGAAACTTTTGACAGAGGCAGACGATATAAACATCAAAGAAATAGAACCCGACATTGCTTGCTGTGGTGTTTCATATAATGTCATTGACAAGATATACGTTATGAAAGGAGGTGAAACGTTGAACTTAAAATATAGTTTCCCAGACGTCATAAAAATATTTGACGACCACAACATTTCATTAAAATTTACTTGCTAAGTAAATGGCAGAAGACATCAGTGGTTTATACTATTACGACTAAAACCCTGAGTCATATAATTCTATAACAACAAACTTACAAAGTCCTCAAGGACGATATTGTAAACTGACCTTAAACACGATGACGACTAAAGCCTGTTTTGCTCTTTTGACACCAGAAGACTTTGTTGTTGTGAATGGTAAAAAATACTTCTTTGAAGATACTTACTCAGATATACCACCAACAGGTTTTGTTGACTTATTTAATACTTTAAGGACGGATGTAACATGTGCTGCAACTAGAGCAGGTTTCATTATGTTTGGATGTCCGACCGAGTTTAGTATAAACGATATGAGCTATAATACAAAACTTATATCTGGTTTTTACTACCAACAGTTTCCTATCACAGGAAAAGGTGTCATACAAGGTTTGTCTGTTCCATTGACTTTAAGTACACCTATTTTATATATTGTTTCAAACTTAGGTTCAAAGTGCTATTCGAATGTCGACAGAAACTACTATGACCAAAAGATACTTATGCGTATAAACAATACTTTCTCTGCTGGTTTGCCTATTGTTCATTCGAATGCAGAGTTTTCAGCTTTAGTGAACTCAAACACTTTAGCAAACATAAACTTAACCTTAGTCGACGCAAACTTTGTTCCTGTAAAACTTTTATGTCCTATGTATTTGTCAATGACGGCAGAAAGTTTCGAATTGGAAGATGCAACTGGTGAAAGTATTGTACTACAAGAACAACTTCAACAACAAATAGCTCAAGAACAACAAATGCAACAAATAGCTCAAGAACAACAAAGTCAAGAATAAAAAAAAATATTTTTTTTTATTTTTATAAAAATGTACAGAATAGACGTTTCAGATTTTTATGACTTCCAAGCGTTCAGAAATATGTGTCCATTTAGAGACTATAACAAAGCAGTCGAGAATTTGAAACGTTTAGTCATTTATGTCGACTCTGCCCCAGAATGTTATGTCATGAAAGAATGGGATGTTGTCTTTAACAAACCAAGAGCGACAATAGTTTCAGAACAAGAATGTAGACAGAAACTTAAGAAAATAAAAGTCGTACAAGTTGGTATGAAGATGTTAGATGCTTGGGATATCTTATTGTCAAAGTTAGAAGATTTTTCAGTTCGAGGTATAAAGTTCTATACACCATCTCCAAACTTCTATTCTATCTTCACTGGATATAAATACGAACAAGTAGAATGGAAAGAAAATGTTATAGAAGCTTGGTTAGACCATGTCAAAGAAATTATATGCAATGGAAACGAAAGAGTCTATGAGTATATCTTATGTTGGTTTGCAAACATCTTACAATATCCAAGTGCTAAAAATGAAACTGCTCTCATTATAATTGGAAAACAAGGAACTGGTAAGAACACTTTCTTTACAGATATCTTATGCAAACTGTTAGAGGGCTATTCGAACCCTAATATGACAAACTTAGAAAACATCTGCGGTAAATTTAACTCTTCAATAGAGAATATGAAACTTATAGTATGTAACGAACTTCAAAGTATAGATACAACAAAGGTTTTAAACTCAGATGCTTTGAAGAGTCTTATAACAGACAAAGTTGGAGTTGTTGAAAGAAAATATAAAGACCAAAGAGTTTGTGAAAATGTTGCAAATTTCATCATGGTTTCAAACAATGTTGTTCCGATGAAGTTAGAAAGTTCTGACAGAAGATATGTAGTTGTCAGAACGTCAGATTCTCATATGCAAGATACAGAATATTTTGACGACTTAGCAGAAACTTTGACACCTAACTTTTACAACCACTTGTTCTCATATTTCATGACATTAGATATTTCTAAGTTCAATCCAAGACAAATTCCATATACCGAAGAGAGACAAACATTGTTAGAAGCAAACAAGAGTGTATATGAACTGTTTATAGATGAGACTAACTTTGAGTGTTTAGATGAAAGGTCATTGTACGATTCATATAAACAGTATTGTCAAGAGTATGGTTATATGGCAGCGTCTAAACGAACATTCTTGGCAAATGTCAAAAGTCTTTTAGACATACAGAACGGCGTATATACAAAGAAAAATTTTTCTGAGTAAATTTAAAAAAAATATTTTTTTTATCCGATAGAAAAGATGACGAAATATATTTCAGTCAACAAGTACATGACAGAAGTCAAAGAAGAACTAGACCCATTCATATATTTGAATGTTTACTTCTACCATTTTGAAAAGTCTACATTTGACAAAGTTTGGAACATCGAACCTGTTAAGTTTGCTATTGTGACTAAAAATGGTGCGAAATTTGAAGACTTAGACATAGAAGGTTTGTTAGCAGTCAAAGAAAATTTTGACAGAAGGTTTTCAAACCTTAAAGAAGGCAAAGCATACAAACTTGTTATACCTTATGAACCAAAGAAAGCAGACGACTATGAATATTATGAGTCTAAGATAGTTGAAGTTCAAGGTAAATTGGGTAAAAAGATTTTAGAGTCTAAGCCAGTGTTTGCTCCTAAAGAGGAAGAGAACATTGACATTGACCCAGAAATGTTCTAAAAATAAAATTTTATTTTTACATGTCATATCTCACCTTCTCTGGAACTGGTTCAGGTTCTTTCTTCTCTTCTACTTTCTTTTCTTTCTTTTCTTTCTTTTCTCTCTTCTTCTTCTTTTCTGGTGGAGTTATGTCAAATTTCTCAGAACCATATTTATGTAAAAGTTCTTTGTCCTTTAATAGCTCTTCTATTCTGTTTCCTATTTCATCTTCAAGAACAGCGCATGTGTCTTCTTTGCATTCTAAGAACTTTTGTTGGACTTCATCTCTCCAAGAGGCGTCATCTCTGTCAACAAGTCTGTCATTGACAAACTTAAAGACTTCTCTGCCTAATGTTTTATGGTTCTTGTCATATTCCCAGAAACAGAACTTTAGAACAAATTCCCTTTCTTGTTTACACTATGTAAGATTTTATGGTCTACAGATGTTTTGCTGTCGAAAAGCTTGTCTCGAATATAGATAGCGAAATCGCTAGACATTTTCAAAAAGATAAAAATTTTAATTTTTCTAAAAATATGTTAGAAAAAAAGTTTGCTGACATTGACAAGAAATTTGAGAATGTTTTAAACAAGAACAAGAGGAAGTTAGAAAATGCTCAGATAAAACCCATACATGACAAGTTCCTATTTGCTCAGAATGGTATAACAGGTCTAATCGCACCACCTGGGTCGGGTAAGACTTTCACTTATCTAAAATGGCTGCACAACAACAAGAACTAGATGAGAAGAACCCATTCTATGAGTTAGTTGTTATTTGTAGTACTTCTGGTCAATTCGACCAAACCGTAATTCGTTCAAAGATATTATAAAAAAGTCTAAGTTAGTATGTATAAAGACTCTGAGTTGTTAGATTGGATAAAGAAGTACCAAAGAAGAGTTTTGAAGTACAATGCTATAAATGAGTATGTCAATTCGAAGTTTAAAGACCCAAATGAGGAAATGCAGAGAATATTAGAGAAGAAACACTTCAGAAACAAACAGAAAGAGATAGAATACATTTCGAAGAAATTGCAATCTTACGATTGGAAAACGTACCCTCATAGATGTCTTCTTATCTTAGATGACTTTGCTTCTCATCCTTTGTTAAAGAACAGAGAACAAGACATGTGTCGAATTCTTAAGAAGCTCAGACACTTTAACATCTCAGTTGTCATTTGTGTACAGACAGCAAAGAGTTTAAGTAAGGATGTTAAAAGAATACTTACTGATATTGTACTTTTCCCTGGATTGTCCGAAGACGATTTCATGGAACTTATGAAAGAGTCCATGGCAGGTAAGTTTGACAGACATGAACTATGGGAGAAGTACAAAGTCATACAAGACCCTCATACTTCTTTCAGAATTCACATCTACGCGAACAAAGTTCAAATTGTAAAAAGTCAAGCGTAAAAATGTAAGTGTTTGAGTCTTAGTCTGTTGTGGTGCTGGGGCTGTCGGTTCTTCTGGCTTTGGAATGGACTCGGTTGGTGGTACGTCGGACATTCGTTTGTGTCCTGTCGGAAGGAAGAACTTTTCCTGTCGGATGGAAAAAATTTTCCTGTCGGATGGAAAAAATTTTCCTGTCGGATGGAAAAAAGTTCTCAATTTTCGAAAATTTGAATGGTTTACGGACGGACAACTGGAAATTTTTTTCCTGTCGTCGGGAAAAACTTTTTCTGTCGGAAGGAAGGACTTTTCTTGTCGGAAGGAAGGACTTTTCTTGTCGGATGGAAGGACTTTTCTTGTCGGGAAAATATTTTTCTGTCGGAAGGAAGGACTCGGAATGCCAGAAGGATTTGACAAGACAATTTAACTTATAGAGCTACCTGAGCCATCTGAAGTCAAGCGTAAAAATAAAGAGTGCAATTTACTCTGCTTGTTTGAAGTTGTCAAAATACTCTGTTATTTTTTCTTTCAGTAGCGGCAAATCTTCTTTGAATGTAAGTATTGTACAACCTTTCATATCATAGTGTGTTTGAGGTAACGTATCTTGAACTATCTGTTTAACATCTTCATTCGGTGTCATTGAAATCGGTAAGTTTTCGCGATAGAACCAATTTCTGTCAGATTTGTAAATCTTAGCAAGGTCGTAAAAGCTTTTGTTGTTTCTTCTGACTAAATGCAACATAACCATATCTCTGTCTTCTTCATTTTCCATCTCTTCAGTGTAAATCATATACTTATAGTTCTTTTCCTTTCCTTTTGGTACCGAACGTGGTATTCTTTTCTGTATGTTTTTGTCTTTTGCTTCAATGACTTCATCTTTTGCTTGAAGTTTCTTTTCCATCTCTTCACGTTCTTGTCTATGAATTTCATCTAACATCATGAAAATATAACAAGCGTAACGAGGTGAAGCCCACATTGCTACAGCATTTACTAAAAGTCTATGAACATAATATCCTTTCAAACTATTTGGCAAATTTTTACGATTTTCGTACGGAATCTCGTTCCTCGGTTTTCCGAGGAACGCAAACATATGAGGAAATTCTTCTAAAAGTTCTTTTGCCTGCTGGTTTTCAAACCAATGATATGCTTGCTTTGTAGAACGAAGAGCTGTCAAAATACTTTGCATTTGGTACATATCGTCTTTGACCGAACGAATGAGACGTAACTGTTTGTTATATTGTATGTACTCGTATTCTTCACTTATGGCTTCATGAACGATAGCAGGTGTTGTGTTCTCTGTTGTTGACATATCTGTCTTTACATACAAAATAAAAAATAAAAAAAAAATAAAATTAGCGTTATTTTCTTACTTTCACAAAAGACCAAAAATAAACGCTTTACATGTATTTTTCAGCAACTTCGTCAAGAAGTCTGTAAATATACCAAGCATAGCGAGGCGAAGCCCACATTGCTATTGAACTAACTAGGAACTTATGAACATATATACCTTTTAGATGTGATGGTAAGTTTTGTCTGTCTTGGTACATTTTTTTAAGTTCTACATGTTCAAACTCACTGAGGAGTTCATGAGTGCTATTTAATTCAAACCAGTCTTGTGGTTTCTTAGTATCTGGAGCAAAACATGCTGTCAAAATACTTTGCATTTGGTACATGTCATCTTTGACCGAACGAATGAGACGGAGTTGTTTGTTAAACTGAACCCACTCATATTCTTCATTTATGGCTTCATGAACGATAGCAGTTGTTGTGTTCTCTGATGTTGACATATCTGTCTTTACATACAAAATAAAAAAATAAAAAAAAAAAAACTAACTTTATTTTTTCTATCTTATGAAAATTCATGAAATTTGGTCATTTTTCAGTAAAAATATATTTTAGGTGAAGAGGTGAGATTTCACCTGTTTTTTCACCTCTTTTTTCACCTCTTGAATTTTGTATAAAAGATATGATTTCAGGGATTTTTTTTACGAAGTGTCAAAGTTCTCTTCGTCACTCATAACAGTTATATAATGAAATTTGGTCATTTTTCAGCAAAAAATATATTTTAGGTGAAGAGGTGAGATTTCACCCGTTTTCTCACCTCTTTTCTCACCTCTTTTTTCACAAGCGTTTTACATGAATTGTACGATGTATATTTGAAATCCTAAACAATTTCGTAGCTTCTATTTCTTCTTTTAGTATGTCAAATGTTTTAACGATACCGAAAGTTTCTTTATACTTCTTCTTGACATCAGATAGAAGGAAATCGTCTGCTGTTGGATAGTTTTTGTTCAGAAATTCTAACATGTCCATTTTATCTTCTGCTGGTTTTTCTGCTTCTTTCTTTAAATCTGCATAGTCGTTTCTCATTCTTTCTATCTCTTTGACGGAGTAGTTATATTTCCTCATTGCTGCTTTACATTTTGAACATTGCGGGTTCATTTTTGCATTGTACATTGAAACCTTACCTGCAAGTATGACTAAGGCGTCAATGGTTTTCTTTAACTCAAACATAGCGGGTCTTATTTGTTCGTTCCATACCTTACCTCTTCTATCTTTATCTCTTATCTGCCATACACATTCAGCAACTAACGAAACAAAGTTGTCGTAGGTCTTAAACTCCCCAGATTTATATATGTCAGAGATGTTCTTATATACCATATCGCAATCTTTGTCCATGACTTTGTGGTTGCAATGAAATCCAAGAAACTCATAGTTTACCTTTCGTATGAACTTCTTTATTTCTACCGAGTCAGTTGGTTTCACTTCAATTTCGTCGAATTCAGGAATAGTTAGTTTTTGTTGTTGGATTTCAGGTAGTTTAGGTAGATGGTCAATAATATCCTGCATTTCATAAAGATACTGTTCATTTGTTTCATCTTTCGCACTACAGTTTAGATCTCCTTGGAGAAGTTCTTGCTTTATCTTCTGGATTTCTGTTTCGAAAGTATATGAAGAAGGAATGAAGCTTTTCATCTCTACTAACATTGACGTAGGATTCATGACTAACGAGTTTGGTGAAGTTGTTGCTAACATGTTCTTACAATAAAAATAAAAAAATATTTTATAAAAAACTAAAATATATTTTTTATCTTAAGGAAATTCATGAAAATTCAAGAGGGTGAAAAAACAGGTGAAAAAAGAGGTGAAATCTCACCTCTTCACCTAAACATTATTTTTGTCGAAAAAATGGTTCATTTACTCACAATATTTTTGTACAAAACGACCCCAACCTTTTAACCTCTCTTCTGTAGCTTCTAATGAAACTTTAGCGAGTTCATATTCTCTAAATTCTCTCTTTAAATCTTCTTGTTCCCATTGGTCTAGTTCGTATGGAGAGTCTCTATAACCAGAACATATCTCACGTTCATGTTCTATTTGTTTTTCATGCATTTTTCTAACTTCTTCTTCGAACAAAGGTTTTGCATTCTCTACTGTATCTTCAAGTTCTTCTTCATCTAACTTCTCATGAACTTTCTTGTCTATGGAGTCCAGAATTTTTCCAACTGCTATGCAATATTTTGGAGAAGCCCACATTGCTATATAGTTTACGAGTCTTGGGTCTACATACGTTCCTCTAACCTGTTTGATTTCATCAGGAATTCCTGCATGAACCTTGTATAAAAAGCAACCGTCGGAATTCCGGCGGTTGGTATATTCTTCACAAAATGCCGTATAATACTCTTCCCAGGACTTATTTTCCAACAACTTTCTAAAGTCTTTCCTAAACTGCTGACACATATTTGTTACATTTATATAACCATCCTTGTCTCTACGTAAGACTTCAATACCGTTGTAAGTGCCTTTTGTGAATGTTTCGCCATTAGATTTGTTCGTGAACGTTTTTGCTTCGACTGACATTTCTGTTCTTACAATAAAAATAAAAAAATATTTTTTGGTGGGACGTCGGACATTCGTTTGTGGCTTAACCGTCGGACCACAACGATAAAAATCTCTGCTACTAGCAGTACTGCTACTGACAGTAGCAGTACTTTTACTGACAGTAGCAGTACTTTTACTGACAGTAGCAGTACTTTTACTGACAGTAGCAGTACTTTTACTGACAGTAGCAGTACTTTATCGTCGAAAACCCTCTCAAATTTTCCTTTTTACTGCAACTAGCAGTACTTTTACTGCAACTAGCAGTACTTTTACTGACAGTAGCAGTACTTTTACTGACAGTAGCAGTACTTTTTCTGACAGTAGCAGTACTTTTACTGCAACTAGCAGTACTTTTACTGACAGTAGCAGTACTTTTACTGACAGTAGCAGTACTGCTAGTAGCAGAGATTTTTATCGTCCAACTTTACAAATGTAAACTCCTATCGTTCTATTTTCTTCACTAGGGTCTAACACCAAAGTAACCTTACAAATGTAAACTTATATCGTTCTATTTTCTTCACTAGGGTCTAACACCAAAGTAACCTATGTACATGAAATTTCACTGCATAAAAGGAAAAAACCTGCGCGAATCGGGATTTGAACCGAGGTCTTCGACGTCTGTAGCGAGGTAGCCCATACCACTGAGCTATGAGCCGCTTGCATATTTTTAAGTAAAATATAGTATATTTGTCATACAGTGAAGGATGACCAAACTTAAAAAAAATAAAACTAAAATATATTTTTTTCTATCTTAAGGAAATTCATGAAAATTCAAGAGGGTAGAAAAGAGGGTAGAAAACGGGGTAGATATACCCTTCTACCCTAAAATATATTTTTCAATACTTTTTCAGCACTTCTCCGTAGTTATATATGAAAGACAATTCGAGATAAAAGTCGTAGTACAATGGAACAATATGCTGCACACCGTTTGTTGTGAACCAAACTTGAAAGTCAGAGAAACTGTTACTAGGTGGTTCGTAGAATTTAGAAGCAAAGTCATAAAAGTCCTTACCAATACAAAGAAAACTATTGTTGCTTGAACTGAAACTTGCATGACACATGACATTTTGAGGGTCAAACACGTTTCTATAAACTGTCAAATCTGTTGGTGGGCGTATAAACCAGAACGGACCGTCAGGTGGTAATGGTTCGTTCTGGTTTAGTAACCGAAGAAATTGTGCCCAAGAACGTTTGTCTACTTGCCAAAATAAAAACTGTGTATCTCTTGGAGGGTTATTTTCAATCCTTTGAAATGAAACTGTGGAGTTCATCTTGTCATATTCTAGTTTCAGATAGTATGTTCCATTTAGTAAAGAATCGTATTTTTCTTGAAATTCCCAGTAGTATTTGTTTATTTGAGTTTGAAAGTCATTTAGAGTCTTCTCAAGACTTTCGTCTGAACGAACCGTAAAGATTCTCATTTCGTCAAATTTGTCTAGTAGACCGTCAGAACCTCTATACTGACCGTGAAAATATACTGCAAACATAAACGCGTTAGTTCTTTTTGAAAACAAAACTCTTCTAAATCCTATTGCCTTTGCATCTGAAGGACTTTGAAGCCAACGAATTGGATAGTCAAAGCGGTAGGAGCCAGATGAAATTTCTTCATCTGATATAGTCCTACCAGCGTTTGTAAAGATATAGTCTAACGGTTTTGTATCTGCTACTTTTGTTCTTTGTTTTTCAACCTGAAACATTTAATATATGTAAAAATATACTGTTTTAAAATGGTATGCCATTTCATATTTCTCATCTAACAAACAAGTTGTCTGACTGCTTGAGGGTTAGGTTGGTACCATTCGAACTTCACGCTTACAATTCCTTCAATTGCATTCAAAATGTCTGAGTCGGAGTCAACCATTTGTTCTCTCTTTGTAGTCTTGAAAGCGTCAAGAAGTTTTGCGGCTGTTGTGACATTGCCATGCGCATAGTATATATGACCGTCCAAATCTGTTATAGTTAGTCTGAGATTGTGTCCTTTCTTATTTCCGTCTTGTATAGCAGCAAGTACACCCATGAAGCCTTCTTTGTTCTTTCCTTCGTCAAAGTTTACTGTAAAGGTTCGACCAGATGTAATTTGACTTCTAACTTCACGGTACTTCTCATATGCATATCTTGTTCTTTCCATGGGAGCATGTGAGTCTTCACCTTTTCCTTTTTTCCTTCTCAAGGGATGCAATTGTTCGTTATGTTTCCAGTAGAATCTGGCAAAGCCGTCGTGTCCTTCAACTTGAGGCTCACTAACATTGAAAGGCAAGTTCATAAGACGTTCTTCTTCTAACCTCTCTAATCTGTTTGGATAGTTGGTTCGCGCTGTTTTTAAGTCCATCTCATAGGTCAGACCAGACAATTTGTCATAGACTTTTATGGGTCTTCCCTTCCTATATTTAAACTTCTTCGAAACTCTCCAGCCATATCTTTCTAACTCTGCTTTTATTCTAGCAGACCTTCTATCCATTCTATGCAGGGGCATTTTTATAAAAATAAAAATATACTGTTTTAAAATGGTATGCCATATAGCTTCTTGAATTTGTTAAGAAGTATTCGAACGCATTTTCCATCTGTATCTCTAGCGTTTACATGAGCATAGCCCGTCTTAGTAAAATATACTTGTAATTTCCTATAGTTTACGCCGGTATAAAGGTAGAAAGAGTCCTGTTCTTCGCTATAGTAGTAAAACTCAAACGTATGCTTACCATAGTCTGTAATTTCAATTGCTTCATCTTCTAGTTCGTCGACAAATTCGAATACAATATCTCTAAATTTGCCTTTGTTCTTATTGTTTTCAGAACGAGTAACCCAACGTAAGTTTTCAAGTCTATTGTCGTTTCTTATATGGTTTATATGGTCTACAAAAGGTAAATTGTTAGGATTCGGTATAAAATGAGTTGCAATGACAATATGTTTAAAATAGTGTTTTCCACTCATATCCATAGTAGTATATCCGTCATTTCGCTCACATTCGCTTAAAACTCTTTTTGTCTTTTTGTTTCTGACTTCAAATGACTCACAACAGTGAATTTCATATTTCTCATCTAACAAACAAGTTTCCCAACGGTCTTTTCCAACAAACTCGGCGTACATTTCAAATAAAATAAAAAAATATATTTTAAAAAATATATGTTTTTTCTTTACTTTACGTAACCGCCTGCTGCCATAAGTCTTTGACGCCAACCCATACCAGCTAATGAAGGTTGACTTGGTTTAGTCTGGAGACTAAACTTTGGTTTTGGTTTATCTTCAGTTTTTGGCTCACCTTCTTCTATTGGTTTTTCGTCACTTTTCGGTTCCTCTGACTTTACCTCACTTGCTGGAACAGTTGTGTCGTCAACATCTTCATAAATATCATATGCCATTTGTTTTTGTTTTCCTTTCAACTTTTTGTGTTTGTTGTAAAGTTTAGAATATTTCGACTCTAAGTCAATGAGATGTTCTATAATGAACTGTTGGTCAGTGAAGTAAACTTTTCCATCTGTTGTCTCGAAAGCTCCTTCAGACTTCAATATTTTATTTGTGAGAGTCTGTTTCTTTTTTGAGATACTAGCCGTTCCATTTCTATGAAAAGTGACTTTATAGTTAGGGTTTGTATTTCCAGACCTGGCACTTTCTATTATTGAATTTTTCTCTTCATCTGTAAGTTCTTTGACGGGTTTTGACAATGGTTCTGAACTTTTTGTTTGTGGTGTCAAATCTACCGTTTCAACTTCTTCGGTCATTTCATCTCAGTAAAAAATTTTAGTTTGTTTTGTTTTCAACTGGTTGTTTAGGTTTTTTAAGTCGGTCTAAAACTTCTTGAGGTATAGGAAGAACTTGACAAACACGTGGTTGTGTAACTGCTGGAAGTCGACAAATCCATCTTGAACACATTTGTCTTAAAGCTGTATTGTTCATTTCATCTCAGTAAAAAAATTTACATTCCCCACGTTTGAGGTGGTTGCGGTTGGTTGTTGTTTACCCATTGTTGTGCATGGTTATATCCTCTGTTAAAGAATCTTTCACCTTGGTCCATATAGTGCCCTGCTTGGTTATAGTAGTCATTTGCTTTGTTATAGTAGTTTCCTGCTTGTCTTCCTACATTGTCCATCCATCCTTGAACTTTTCCTCTTGTTTCAGGATTTGGAATAAGATTTGCTGCATCTCGTGCTACCTCCCAACCTTTCTGTACAGTTTGTATAATAGGTTGTGCTTTCTCTTTAAGTATACCTAATGTACTCAAAATCTTCCTTCCAATTCCAAATGCACCTCTAGCTATTGTTCCCACTGCGGGTAAAAATCTGGATGCAACTCCTGCTAATGCGCCAAATAAACCCATTTCTTATGGGTTAAAAATGACGAATTCAAACAAGGACCCCTATGTTTCTAAAGCGACAAAGAAAGCACTCATGATAAAAATCTTTAGTTCAACACCAAATGCTTGGTTTATGGATATCTTGGAAAACATTCCGAGGTATAGAGAAGATGGACCACCATACTGGCTAATATTTGTCGGTCAAAACACAAGATACTGTGAAGCCATACCATTGCAGTCCAAAAATATTTTAGATGTGAAAACTGCTTTGACAATATTCGTTGACAAATACCATCCAACAAAACTGACATCTGACTGTGAAAGTTCTTTCAAATCAGACGATATTAAAAACTATCTGCGTTCAAAAAATGTAAACCAATATTTCATTGTCGACCAAAACCATTCTGCTCTTGGTGTCATTGACAGTTGTATAAAAATCTTAAGAGACTTAAACCAACCACAAGGTGGTGAAGCAAATGAAATGTCATATGACGACAAATATAGACACTTCTCCATGGCAAAGATGAGACAAGTTTTAAATATTTACAATAGCCGTAAACAAAAAGGTTTGGGAAACCATTCCCCTGAAGAAATGAAAAACAACCCTGACTTAGAGAAAGACTATATATTTAATAGTTTAGTCAAAAGAGACAAACAAGAAAGAATGCCAGGCTTCAAACTTCAGAAAGGTGACAAAGTAAAAATAGAAATACCTAAACGCGACCCATATGAAAATACTATTGACTATGACAACAATGGGAACTCGACAGGTACTCGCATTCGTGTTCGTAAAATAGAAGAAAGTATACAAGAGAATATTATGAAGTTTTAGGCAAACATGGCAAAATGTACAGACTGCAAGCAGAAGATAAAACTACTATTGTCAGACCTCGTTTCAAACTTGTTAAAGTTCAAGGTGGTATACTTTCAAAGACAGTTCCTAACAAATATAAGACAACTCCTGACGAATATGCTAAAGAAGTTGAAAATGACGACTAAGCAATTCTATACCATGCGTAAACTGTCATGTAAGGTGGCATGTAGTCTTTACTTTGTCCCGTTGTTTGCGTATACCCTGAAACGCGATGTGTATGGTTTCCATCTCCCTGTGTGCTACCCCAGAAACAATTTATAGCAAACTGAACGTTGTCTTTAACATCATATCCTTTACCTTTTTTCATTGCTGACCAATCCCAAAATCTATGCTTATGCCAACCTGCTTGAGATGTACTTAAATCTACGTAGTGACTATGCGCAGGTAAGTTTTCACCTGAAATCGTTTTACTTCCACCTGTTTCCTTTGAAGAGTTTGCACAATACAAAAACCTGTCGACTATTTGAGTCCAAGTTCCAAAACCAAGTACTACTTCTGGTCTGGTAGAGTTCATTGACGTGTAAATAGAACCTATAGGATATACTGTTTGAAGTATTTCTGTCTTTAACGTTTGAAGCTCTGTTTTGTCAGCTTTCTTATCTAACTCATCGTTAACATATGTTTTGTCAGCTTTTTTATCTAACTCAACGTTAACATATGTTTTGTCAGCTTTGTTGTCATATAAATCTTGAGCAGTGAATTTAACTTTGTTTTCATCCTCCATGACATAGACATTTCTACATCTAGTGTATTTCATCGTCGTTATGTCTTCATCCGATGTTAAACCTTGTGGAAAGTTAGGAGGTTTCCAAAGTAGTACATCCCCACCAGTTCCATCAGGTTCTTCAACCGTTCCTTCAATATTTTCTATACCAACAGTTGCGAAGAAATCGTGTGTATGAGTCTTTTTAGAATATTCTTTGTCAGCTCTTGTCACTTCACTTGACATTTTATTGTCAACATATGTTTTATCCGCTTTGTCATCTAACATTGCTGGTAGTTCATCTACGTCATAGATGTTATGTGTATGATGTTTTTGTGGGTATGTTCTATCTGTCCATGCGAGAATATAGTCTCTTGTTGCATCTACATACTCTTTGTCAGCTTTGTTGTCAATATCTGCCTTCAAAAGAAGTTCATCTATAGGTTTCTCGTTTAAAGTTCTTTTTGTTGGATTTATACAAACAGTATGGTTCTTACTGTCTTGAAACAGAAACTCGTCTGTCAATGGGTTTATCGTCAGTTTTAAGTTTCCTTCTTTCAATGACTCAGATATCTTAGAATAGTTTGAAAAGTTTGTTGTGTTCTTATTTAGAGCTTGCAAAATGAGTTGTCGGTTGTGTTGTATTTCTCTCATAGACGCTGTTTCTTTCGACATTTTTTTCTAGATAAAATATGCTTTCAATAGAAAAGAAAATTCAAGAGTTGCTACAACTAAACCATTAGATGAACTTTTTACGAATGTCGGTCAAAAGTTTGAGACAGAGACCGTAAAGCATGAAGGCTATCGTTTTGACTACCCATTGAGATGGCTAAGAGACCCATCTGTCACAAAAGCTATTGGCTTTCGTAGAATAAAATTTGTGTCTGTAGAAGATAAAAGTTTCCCATTTATTGTAAGGTTTCATATAGATTATATATCTGAAGGGAAACGAAAAATGTGGGAAGAAATTGAGCTAATACAAGTTGACCTTTCATCTTCTCTACAGACTGCGTTAAAAAATATAGAAGATAAAATAAATTCATGTTATGCAAAATATGCTGATGAATATGCAAATACCGAGAGCACACTTTATGTGAGAATTGTATATGACAAACAAAATTCACAGTGTCATTTCAAATCTACGAAGACAATCCAAAGAAAGACGAACAAATATATACAGAATTCACTGCAATGTCATGGTATTATTTGCAAAGAATGTTAAATCAGAAAGTCGAACTTCCTTTAGCAAATATTTACAGTCGATATGCAAGAGATGAACCATATTTATTTAAAGATGTTTTCGACTCAGATGCTATTATAGTTCATGCTTCATTTTCTGGCGCACAAAACTCTTTTTATGCTTGGCAAATGACTTTTACGAAAAACCTACAAAGCTATATGAACCACCAAGTGGAAGTATTTCAGACTTTCAAGTATGGTTTACTACAGATGGAAGAAAGAGAATAATTCCATTATACCATGCGTTTTACTTAGAACTTAGTTTCATATACAACTACTATCGAACGGTAAAAATATAATTTTTAATACGGTTGAGGTGTTGGATTTGGTTGCCAACTAGACTGTGGTGCAGGTTCAGGCTGTTGTATAACAGGAGCTTGTTCTTCTGGTTCAGGGTCTTTAGGTATAAACCAACGAACTGACCTACTCTTTTACCAATATTTTTGACTCCGTTCCAAATTCCTCTTCCGACAGATTTTATTCCATTCCATATACCTCTTCCAACATTTCGAAAGAAGTTTCCTATTCTTCCAAAGAAACCCATTTTACTATATGTAAAAATCTAATGTCCGCCTAGTCTCTTACGTTTCCTGTTGAGTTCCATAGCATTCTTTAAACTGGAGCTCATACATTCTGTTTCTCCTCTGGTAGAAAACATATTCTGGGTCAACTCCTGTGTTCGCGTCATCTGCATAAAGTTGTTTATATCCCACTTCAGGTTTGTATAAAACTCTTTCCATCTCATATTTGCATACCATGGTGGCAAACCTAACGCAGCGTCATTTGACATGGCAGTTTGCATTTGTACATCTGTTGGCACTTGACCATAGTTTGCCATTGCAGTTTGTATTCTAACTTCATTTGGAATATTCTCTGGGTTTGGTTGTCCAGGTTGCTGCGCATTCGCTAAGTTCTGTGCGTCCATTTAATATTAGATAAAAATATCTCTTACGAGTACATATACTGGACATTTGCAGGCATTGGTTCATCTTCATATTCTCTGTACCTTTCTGCCACGTCAAAGAAATAAATGACACAATGGAAAAAACCTAAAACAAGTAGTCCTATTTCAAACCACATTTACTTACTAATAAAATTTCTTTATTGTGACACTTTCTCCAGTTTATAGGACCTCTCTCATATTCTATCTTGTCATATATAAACTCATAGTCATGTATGTCCTCTAACCATCTCATAACGGTTTCCAAACACTTTTATCGGATGTAAAGTAAAAGCATGGATGGTTATGTAAAACGTCTAAAGTTCTAAAGAGTCTCTCAAAGTCCAGTCTACTTGGTATTGAAAATCCCATGTGTTATAGAACGGCGGGTCCACTATAAAGAAAACATTTTCCTTGTCTTTATATTTTTTCATACAAACTCTGTCCAATGACATCTCACAAACTCTATACCCTCAATATATTTTTCTATGTCCTCTTTGAAAACATTTGTATAGTTAAGATATAAAACTTTTGACATAAGTGTTTCAATGTCATGAACTCTTATAGAACCACTATATAATAGTCTAGCAGATATACTATCCCAGTCTATATATTCTGCTTTTTTCAAAACCTCTCTCACAATATTTTTCTTATCTAATGGTATACGTTCCATCTTACCTATAGGTATCTTTTCTTTTAACTCTTTCAATATATTGTTTGTGTCTGGAATATGTTTGAGACGGTCCATATAGTTGTCGAAGTCATTGCATATAATCTTTGAGTCTGGGAATATTATATGACATAAATGGGATATATAGAAACTTCCACCGAACAAATCTACAAATGTTAGACCATTCGGTAGTTTCTTAAGTTCTCTCAATATAATATCTTTACATTTACTCTTATTTCCAAAGAACGGTAACGGTGGTTTTGTAAAATTCATTTTATATACAATAATAAAAATGTTTTTTCCTGAAAAGTGACAGAAAAGTGACAAAACATGAAAACATATATAATTTGTGAAAAGCGAAACATTATATAATGTTTTCGACCCAGAAGAAGGCTTCTTCCCAGAAGCAATGGAGGAAGAAGAAGAGTCCTCCGAATTCACACCAGAAGACTAACAATTTTCCGAATAAAAACTTCATTTATACTAAACATCTTCGGGCTAGAGGGCACGAAGTGCCTGGAAGCCCCACTACCTTTTTTTTTTTTTTTTTTTTTTTTTTTTTTTTTTTCAATATTGTATGAATTCTTACGTTTACAAAAAAAGTCACATAACCCATCTACTATACTACTTATTAATGATTTGAAGGCAAAAGCCAAAAACTTAATAGATAAAACGCTCTTTCTATATAGATCAACTTCTATTATTAAATTTATAAAAATGGAGAGATTTTGCAAATTATTTTCTAATATATTATATTTATAATCATTTTATTTATCCCATTAATAATTGTGAACCCAGAACATCTTCCCTTCAAAGTGCCAAGCATCAACACACATTCTCACTCACAAATTTTTAAAACTCATTGCCAAAAATCTAAAAAACTCACAATTTTTTTTAAATTGATAACCCTCAAACCGTTTCCAATCAATAATTTGAGAGTCTATATGATAATGTAAAAGTTAAAACATTCAAGTATTTAAGTATTTCTTTAAAATCTTAAGTTTTTTATTTTTCCAATAAAATTCTAATATCAAATATTTTTATTTAACGATTAATTTTATTTATATTTTTATAGTTTTTTTTTAAGAAAAAATATTGTTAGGGTTTTATGGATTTTCAATTAATATACAAGATAATTCATGAATGTATATATTTCCAAGTTTTTAAGGATGCAACACTTTACATTTGTAAACTGTCAAAAATGAAGTCACGCTATTTTTCATGCATTACATTGTAATGCATGAAACCGAAATACCCAAATGCAGATACAGAAAGGTTGTGGCAAATATGGGATACAGATACAGGCATGACCGCTGTTGACACATTCACAGCGTAATAATAAACATAATTTTTTAATTTCATTTTTAACAAGTTTTTTTAAATGTATGTAATGAATAATTCATTAGAATATGATAATGCACATTGTAACAGAATAGAACAATCACCAAATTTTTTTTTGAAATTAAAAAATAAAAGTAAAAAGTATAAAGTAATCTAATCAAAAAAGATATTTAAAAGAATTTTGGAAAAAACAGAATAAGGATAATGATATTATTTTAGATACACAATCGATGTACTGAAGAATAATCCGGTAAAATGATGATATAAAATTAGATTATTTTACAAGTAGCTAAAAGAATAAAACTATAATATAAAATAAATGAAGTTTAATGAAACAATAAAGGTTAAATAAATAATAAAGATTTTTATTTTATATCAGTATTGAGAAGAAGTAACAGCTGACACTTGGTAGACAACTTCTTTATGTCTAGGAAATTCTATCTTGCCTTTTATTTTTTTCTCGCTGTGAAACGTATTCGGTCATTTTTTTAAAAATTATTTTTTGTTAGAGATAAGAGCTAAAACTCGGTAGACAACTTCTTTATGTCTAGAAAATTCTATCTTGCCTTTTATTTTTTTCTCGCTGTGAAACGTATTCGGTCATTTTTTTAAAAATTATTTTTTGTTAGAGATAAGAGCTAAAACTCGGTAAACAACTTCTTTATGTCTAGAAAATTCTATCTTGCCTTTTATTTTTTTCTCGCTGTGAAACGTATTCGGTCATTTTTTTAAAAATTAATTTTTTGTTAGAGATAAGAGCTAAAACTTTGCAGACAACTCCCCCATGTCTAGCAAATTTAACATTCGTCTCCCATTTTTATATATTTGGTTTAGAATGTTCGAAAATGCGTAATATGGTTATTAATATTAATTGAAAAGAACCTTGAATTAATTCAATCTGATCTCACAAAATATTTTAAATTACAAACTTTGTAGTTTGAATAGATAATTGGTATTAAACTCAAATAACTAGTTTATTTTTGAATAAAAATTATTTGAATTTATTCAATTTTGTGAATTTTCCTTCAAAAATCAAGTTTAAATATCTTATTTGCCATATAATTATAAATACAATGAAACATATTCGAAATTGAAAAGAATGACTTTTTCTGTTCTTTCAATCATTCAATTTGAATTTTGCAATATTGGATTTCTCATTAAATAGCTATTAAAAACAACAAGCAATTTAACTTACATTCAAATTTATTTGTGTTATATTCAATCTTCTCAAAACTTATAATTTTCGGCTATAGCATGATTATATGCTATATAATATAATAAACCTATAATAGTATCATTCTTTCAATTATTTGAAGAGAAAACCGAAGAAATCTATTTTCGGTCTATAACACTGAAAATAATATATGTTTTGAGAGAGTCTGACAAATAATTTTTACATATGACATACTAGTAGAGTCATTCATTGGTATTCAAGAATCAAATAAAATTTCATCGAATTTAAAAATTGAAATATAGACAAAGAAATTCTCCGTCGTAGATAAATATTTTAATAACCAAACGTACATTAATTTTGTCTGCCTCCAAGTGACCAATCGTATAAATTTTTTCTGAATCCGATGATTTTGAGAGCTGAATTAATTCCTCTCAAAAATTGTGATATAATTATTCGCATACGTTTTACAAACATGCAAATTTTACATAAGATTACAACAATAAAAAGCTTAAACTAAATCAAGCTCAATAGAAGGTGTCCGAGTATCAATATCAAATGGAACTCCTAAACCAAATCTGTCGATCAATAATAGAGGATCGAAGGAATCGACTTCATCTTCCTTCTTGACTGTGTTGAAATTGATGTTTGGAATTGGAAGAGGTTTGGATCTTCCGCAATCGATTGAAACTTCTGTCTGGATAGTTGGTTGATTTACCGGTTGAACGGTAGAGGGTGGAGAAACGGGTGATGCGCATTGTCCAACGCATTGTCTGATCGTCCATTGCCTCAATTCGTTGATATTATCCTTTAAAATTGGAATCGCCATTACAAGTGAGTTTGTAGGTTCTGCACGGCCAAAATTGACGGAATAGCCCATCTTGTGGAGTGATCCGTTGATTGATGACTTGCACTTGAAGATCAGGAGCTTCAATTGACGAGTATTGACTGCGATCCCATTCGGAAGCCAGCAAACTCCGCAAACGAGGCATCTACGCCAGTCGTCCGCATCACCACGGATGCAAAAGCGTTTGATTAACTCCAGAATCTCTGTAAAATTCCCAACTCTTTTATTCCTCTGATTCTTTGCGTAATGTGTGGATAAAGAAACCCTTAATATACCATACTGGAACTTATCAAAGTCATTGAGGATACACCAGTAGTTTGGAAACTGGAAGAATGCACCGAGATTCTGCATATTAAGTGAATTCAAAATTGACATAAATATACAAAAATTTCAATAATAACGATCATATTTTTTTCAAAATATCTTTTTTTTTAAATTGAGAAGGCAATAAAAATCATTTACTTGTCATTCAACAGGCATCTGTGCAACCTTCTTGTTAGAAGCTTCTAATGATATTTGTTGATAATATGTCATGATTGTTATAAAATCATCCATAAATGTCAGTTTTGGATGAGCAATCTGTTTCAAATTTTTGATAAGATAAGTAATTAATTACATAATTATGGTACATTCTGTATATAGGTTACGTTTTGCCTATCAGTTGGCCAATTTTCCGATTCGTTTTTATTTTTTTAATCCTAAACATGCCCGATCCTCAAAATAACGATGTAAAAATGTTTATTATATTATGAGTATTGATAATATTATCCGAACACAGAATTTTATTTTTTCGATTTGTTGGATTGGCAAAAAAAATTACTGAAATTTTCATCATACGATTGTTTTGTTATAATTAGATTTTGTAATGTAATTAGAACTATTTCAGCAACTGATTATGGCAATACGATATAAAAGAATGAGAAGGGATTTTGAAAAATCAAAATTCGGATGTTAACAGTAAAGATTTGAACTTCTCTATTAATGCTAAAAATATATGAGAGTTATGACAAAGATTTAAAAGTAATTTCAATAATTTTTCGAAAAAAACTTTCTATTCTGATTTCCATATTCATCAATCAAGCTTTAAAGATTCTGTATATGCGTATTTGAATAGAAATACTTAATGAATCTTGGCTTATAAGTAGAATTGTGTTGTAAAAGCTTATATTTTTATAATAATCTAGTTAAAATGATCAAAATTATATAACCATAAAGTATGAAAACCTATATTTAAGCGTTGATGCTTTACAACGCTTTGATTTTTACTTTCATTATTTATATACATTTTGGCATTTCTCTTTTGAGATTCGTATTTTCATTAACTTTATTTATCAAATCCACTAAAATAATCTGATTTTAATCTTTTTTCTATCCGAATTTTCGAAACTTTTATGAAAAACCTTGCGTATATACTAAAAATACAGATTTGCTTGTATTTTGACAGTTATTTTGGATATGGATGCAATCATATTCAAAATCGATCATTTGCATTTTATGATAAAATGTCAGGAAAATTTCAATTATTTCATTCAATTTTGTAAAATTTCCTTAAGAGTTTCGCATAATCAAAAAATTTGATTGTTGTAATCTAATCACATTATATCGTTAAAGATGTATCAATTATTTGAACAGCATTCAATATTTCTGATTTAACTATCGTTTTCTGTTCTTATCGTTTTTGGAATTGGCAAAAGCATCGAATTTGAATTTAATATAAGATTCAACTTTCGCGCATTGTATATTTCTTGTATACTTTATTAAAATCAATAAAATCGATCATTTTTTGCAGATGTGCAGTTTTGGAATGGATACTCCGCTGAATGATAAAACTCATAAAAGGCTAACCGATTTAGAGCAAATTCCTTGAAGAACATTTATTTATAAACTTTTTGCTATATTAATGACATCAAAACAAACAATACCCAGATTTGCCTTACTTTTACCACCTCTCTAAAGCTGGGGACACCGCCTATCGTTGGTATTAGCTATTAAATAGAACCACCAAGGGTATTTTTCGAACTGCTGGTGTAGTGTAGTTGAAACATCCGACATAATGATTCATTATGCCAAGGTTTAATTCTCATTTAGCCAATTTTTTTCTTTTTTGGATCATGAATTTTTTTTTGGGTCACTATAAGATTTGTTTCATGTTCTAAATCTGCTGCATATGTAATCTATTTTTATTTACCTATTTTTTAAAAATCTATTGGATTGCCAAATTTGAATATATTTAAAATTATAAAACTCCAAAAAAACTATAAATATATGTTTTATGCATAGTGCCGATACTCAAATATCAGATTACTTAGATCCATGAATAATATCCGAATTTTTTTTTCTTAAAATTAAACTTCAAAACTTCTTCCAATCTTATTCTTAATCAATTGTAAATTTTTAAAACCATTTTTTAAAATAATTTTGCGTAAATTTTATTCTCATGTTGTTTTAATCGAAAATTGATACATTTTCAAAAAATAATATTGACTTATGAAATTCATTTTTAAGGTGAAATAGTATTGTTTTTATTAAAGTATATGAATAATATATAAAAAATTAATGAATAATATAAGCAGATTTTTAGTTTACAAAACAAATATGAGCAATGCAATTTCAAACTTTTGCTGGCAATTTCGATATTGCTCAAGTTTGTAGTATTTGTGATACCTATAACATCGGCTTAATCAAAATTCGATTTTTCTTATGAGTTATTGAGAAAATTTGATTGCAATGAGAAGGATTTCGACTTTTGATAAACTAAGAGCTGAGCTTTAGGGGTTCAGTTCATTTATGGCTGTAGTTTGATGCGTAGATCTCTTTTTTATTGTAAATTCTTTCAGCATGGAGATCGAGAATGAATCTTTTGAGAACTTTATGAGTTTTTACACCCGTAAAGAGGTCCTTCGAGGAAAGATAGTCCAGACTACATGAAGATGTGGGTTAACCAAAAAAATCCGATGGTTTCCCCATATTCATGTAGATCTTCGAAAAAATGAGCACCAAAAAAGCCAAAAAAATAGGCTTTTTATTGGATTTGTACACTAGATCAATAATCTATTTAGGATCTGACACTCTTTTTAGCCAGAGATATGAGGTCCTTTCTAGGAAAACGATCTATTCATCCATAAAAAAAATGAATTATCGTTTTCCCCAGAAATTACATGGGGAGTGGTAAAAGTAAGGCAAATCTGGGTAAATAATAATTCATAAATGCCTCGCAAAATATCTTTCAATTTCTCAAAATCTAAGCTAGTTTAGCATTATTATAAGCAGAAGAACTTGTAAAAATTAAGAAATAAAAAATTTACTAAATATTAAGAAAGAAAAAAGGGTCATCTTTGAGATTTTATCACTTCTAATTATGGAGTGATCTACATCTTGGCAGATGGCGATTTATCGCCCGAGGTCGGAAAATTTTTTGAAGAAACCTCAGGTTTTGTCGAAAAATCACCGGCCTCACAAGCTTATATATATCAAAATTTTAAATATTTTTTTAAAATTCTGACTTTTTAGCGAAACCTTCATAAGAAGTGAAATTTCAATTGTTATGGAAGTATCTTCGATTTGTGAATGTTCAATTCCAGAATCGATGCAAATTGTTTCTAAAATAAGTGAAGAAATATGGAGTGCACTATCAAAAGAAGATTTCACAGCAATTTTCAACAAATTAAAATCTGATTATCAAGATAAACCAAATATTTCTCTTATACTTTCCTCATTTAATGTAAAACCAATCAAATCATATCTTAATACTAGTTCTAATCAAGTCGCAATTAAAATGATTCAGAACAATCAAAATGAAGATTTCGAAATTCTATTCAATAATAAGTATAATAATGGAGAAAACATAGATAATGATGATATAGAGCTTAAAGAATTCATTGAATGTGCTGCTCTTAAAGGAAATGAAGAAATCTTTAGATTCTTAAAATTAAATGGAATCAAAGAAACACAACAAACTTATAAATACGCAATAATGTCTGGTAATTTTGAAATAATTAATCTTCTCTCAGAGACAGGGCATGATTTTGGAACAAATCTAATCACAGCAGTTGAATTCAATCAGAATGAAATAGCCGATTGGATTATGTTAAACTATAAATTCAAACCATTCGATCCATATATTTGTTTCAAAAATTTAAACATAAAAGCTTTTTTATATTGTGTTTACAACAAAATTGGAAACACATTGAAAGAACTTATTCTTGCTGAATGTTTTGATTTAGCTTCTATTGTAGTTAATGATGGAAATCAATTGAAACAAGTCGATTACATGAATTTAATCAAATTAAATCAAAAAGATATTGTTGAATTTATATTGAAATTCAATTTTGAGATTATTCAACATGATAAAAATGATGAAATGAAACCATTTTTAATTTACGCAATTGAACAATTCGATACTGAAACAGTTTGTATTTTAAATGATCATGGAGCAGATGTTAACTCTATTCATTCCTATAAAGTCCATGATCATGTATATCAAAAGTCAGCTCTAATGTATGCAATCGAAAAAGTTAATTCTGCATTAGTACAAAGTCTGATTAAAAATGGAGCAAATGTTAATATCAAACTTGAAAGTGAGAAATCACTAATCCAGTATGCAATCGATGCAAAATCAAGTGAAATTATAAAGAATTTAATTGACAATGATTTCGATCTTTCTAATTCTAATGATTCGCATGATCAAATATGTCAAATTGCAGATATTTGTGATTATACAGTTATTCAATCAATATTCACTCATTTTCCTGAAACAAACATTTATTATCCAAATTCACAAGAATCATTTTTACCAAAGCATGTTGTTCATTTTCCTGATGAACTTATACGTCAATTGGTAGAGAAATACAAATGCATCAATGTTAAATATCATAATGGCAAGAAATCTCTGTATTATGCATTTAATGAATCTGATGATGTTAACAAGATAAAACTAATGGCTGAGCTCGGAGCTGATATTGAGAATTGTTTTTCTCAAATAGATGAAGAACAAAAGAAATTTTCTCAGGCAATTCAAGAACCAAAAGAAACTCTTGAAAATTATAAAACAAAAACATCTCCCGAACATTTGGATGCTTTACGTAACGATGATGAAGAATTCAACAGTGATTATGATGAAGATAATCTAGATGATTATCAAAATAAAACACCTTTACCAATTACAAAAGAATTTTGTTCAATAATATTGAATTTACTCAAAATTAGTTATCCATCTTCAAATGATTTCAAGGTTGATTATGAATCATTTTTTGATCAGCTTCTTTATAAAACAGATAGTTTCATCATTACTACAATAAATCTGATGATTGTGAATGGATTTGATCTAAACTTCCAGAATAGATCAGCCATTTACTTTGCAAAAGTACACAATAAAATCACTCTGCTTCAGAATTTTTTATATGCTTATCCATTCAATTCTCAGTCAAAGGCTCAAGTATTTCTTATAATAGCAAGGCAAATTGGTTTTGGTAGATTTGAATCCCTAGAAAATAATGATGTAAATATCACTAATAGTGCAGGACTGAACATCCTTCATTATGCAATGTAAAAAAATACTGATATTGAAACTATAAGAGTTTTGATTCTATTAGGAGTTGATATTAATGGATTGACACCTTACAATGAACTTCCACTTACTCTTGCTGCACAGTATAAAAGAGATTATGAATTGATAAAATTGCTCATTGATTGTGGTGCTAGTATTTTACTCAGAGATAGCTATGGAAAGAATTTCATTGATTATTTTATTTATAACAATTTAGATAGAAGAATTATTCTTCATATAATTGATTTAGATTTAGAGTTTAACTACTCAAAAGTTAAACGTTGGGCAATTGATAATGAATACTCAGATGTTATTGCCGCGTTAGAAGAATAGGATTTCTAGCTAACTTATCCATATAACTTTTCACAAAAATACTTATTAAAATATATCAAATTTTTCTGCTTTTTGAAATTTACTCGATATTTTTGAGTCGCATCACACTCATGACAAAATGAATGGATAAATGAAATTTTCTAGTATAAAATTGCATTTATACAGACTTCACACCTGTCAAATAAAAATGTACAGATTAAAATGCAGATAAGAATTATATTTATTACAACGAATGGAATTTATTATAAGACGTGAAATTTAATATAAGACGTGAATTTTGAAAATTGAATTGCAGTCCTTTCAATTTTCATAATTTGATTTTCCATGTTTAATCAACCATCATCCATATTGTCACTTGATAATTTGGATGTTAAATCTATATTTGGATGTAAAATTCCAGACTATTTAACGGAGCTTTATAATAAAAGTGAAGATTTATGGAAAACATATTGGAATGATCATCCATTTGATGATTTAATACAAATAAACCATAATAAGAAGCCGAATATATTAGATATTTATCCAGGAGCAAAAACAAATTTTAGAGATTTTGAAATTTCAAATTTTGAATTCAATTTCGATAAGGTTTACCTTAGATTGTCATCAAATTTAAGATTTGCAAGTTTAAGGGAGAACAAAGATGAAGAAAATAATTTATCCAAAGCCTTTATAATGATACAAAACAACGAAATTGACGAATTTAAAGGTTTAATTAATGATAACACGCCATTTGATAGAGATAAAAGATATAATTCACTGATTGATTGCGCAGTTCTCAAAGAAAATCAAGAAATAATCAGGGTCATTATTGATTTTGTAATTTAATCGTCGTCGTTATCGATTTTGTAATTTAATCGTTATCGTCTTTTTCTAAACGTGCATTTTTTGCTTTCGGAGCTATTGAACATACATTGGCCCTTACCAGCAATTGAAAACTATTTTTCATTATCAACAATTACATTACTCCGAGTTATTCATCAATCAATGAAAATCGATATATAGTCCATACTTCAATTTACAATATTGGCAAGTCCAATTTCACTTGGCATATTTAACTCATATAGAAAAACCAGTTGGAATCGGCAAAATTATCTTTAATTCCATACATAAGAAAAAAAAATTATAAAGTTCTTCAATAATAGCAAACTAATAGTTTAAATAGATTTACAAGTATCGCCCATCTACTTTTGATATAATTCACATATTAAATGTAGAAAACTGGTTTAAAATAAATATTTCAAAAGTTCGAAAACGATTTATGAAAAAATAACGTGATGACATTTACTAAATTTGCTCTGTATTAAAGTATCGATGATAGAAAGAGCATATTTTGTAAATATTTCAAAAATATTTAAAAATCGGAGAAATTGTATTGTAATGTACTATAATTATGTTACAAATCCGATTCAATACTAATCCTTCGCTATTGAAGTTGTTTTGAGAAGGATATTCTCTAAATTCTTGATAAATCTTTAAAATTTAGAGTAATCGTTTTGTAAACTTAACAAAACTAAAATGTATACCAATAGATTGGCATTTTCTACGTTTTCAAAGTGAGAGAGTGTAAATTCTTTTTTTTTATCCTATTAAGGGTATAGTCCACTAAAAATTTTTAAGTTTTGACAATGAAAATAAGCTCTGTGACCATGTAAATATATATCTATGCAAAACGAGAGGTTATGCCATAATTTTTTTAGTTATCAAATTTTCCTTTTTTTGAGAGAAGTCTCTCAATAATTTGAGAAGAATCTTTGATATAAAGAGATACACATTTGTAGAACGAAGTAAGTGTTTTCCAAACATGTTCTTAAAAATAAATAAAATAATACAAATCTTTATTCAATCTTTTGATATTGTTGGTCCTCTCTTTGTGAAAATACTTAACTTCAAAGAGTATTATGTTTTACCTAGTGAGGACCTTAAGTTTGCAAAAACATAATAAAAGTAAAATAAAAAAGATCGGATTTATCACAAAACTTTGAGTATTATAGGATTTAATATATTTTCTTAGTAGATTATATGATTTAGTTTCTTAAAATCTAAAGTATTTCTTGAGGAAAATATAAATTGAAATTCAAAAAGTAAAAAAAATGTAAACAAATCAAATTTTAAATGGACCAAATGTTGATTTTTCATTCGTTTTCTCATTATCGAAAAAAATTTGGAAAGCTAAGAAGTCAATAACAAGTTATATAATACAACAAAACCCACATCGGATATGTTTTCATCAAATAGTCTCCTAGATTTGTTATGAAATTAAAATATCATGATATTTTAAGGGCTTTTGATTTCAATATTAGAATTATTCAGTTATGTCGTGCTAATATCAATTGCTTTATACAATTAATCGTTTACAAGCTGCAAAAATCGAACAATAATTTGACTTTGTAAAAAAAGTGCGTCATTTTTATTCGTTATACTTACAAAATGTAAACATTACGAGAAACATTTACATTTGTAAATGTAACAAGTAAAGTTGTCTCGCATAATTTGACTTTGTAAAAAAAGTGCGTCATTTTTATTCGTTATACTTACAAAATGTAAACATTACGAGAAACATTTACATTTGTAAATGTAACAAGTAAATACATCAGATTTAAATTGTAAATGTAGTTTATCTCTCTCATCTCCTTTTTAAAAGGTATTACATACATACGAACGCATGGGTCACTCAATAATTAGCGTGATAATAATTGAGGATAGACTGTAATCGTAATTTTATTTTTGGACTTATATTTCGACATTTTGAAGTCGCTTGAAAGTCTTGCAAATGATTAAATTTGGAAAATTTGACCTAAGTCTGCATTATTTTGATGACTTAAACAATTCTATAAATCTGTTTTCCTAAAAATTTAAAAAGATATAATTTCAATTTCCCTAAATTTATGTAATTCATATATCACCAAAATATTTGGACTGCATTTCGTTTGTCTGCACCTAATTAAAGTCTAAATACCAATTAATTTTGGAGTTGCATTGCTTTTAATGTAAAAATGCACGTTTAGAAAAAGACGATAACGATTAAATTACAAAATCGATAACGACGACGATTAAATTACAAAATCGATAACCTCTCAAATAATCAGGTATCTTAAGATTATTGGTGCAAAAGAAACAGAAAACACATATAAATATGCAATAATATCAGGAAACATAGAAATAATTACACTATTAGCAGAAAATGGACATGATTTTGGCGGTGATTTACTCGTAGCTATTGAATATCACAGAAATGAAATTGCAGACTGGATTATTAATAATTTTGAATGTCCAACTATTGATCCATTATTCTGTTTACATTTTTTGAACATTGAAGCTTTTTGTTTTTGCATTCAAAACAAAATTGGAAATCCAATCATTTCATATCTTGATGCCGGTCTTTTAGATTTTGCAACAAATGAAATGAGTAATGGACAAACAATAGAAACAAAAGATATTGTGAAATACATATATCAAAATAAAATCAAATATGTTGAATATCTGTTGCAAAACAAACAAAAAATCTTCAATTCATGGGATACAAAACAATTGAATGGGAGTGAAATCATTTCAAAATTATTAACAACAGAAAGCATTAATATGCTGAATCTAATTCTGAATCATATCAATGATATTGAGATTACTTCTGCAAACTTGAAATTATGCATTGAAAGGAAACAAATCGCAATCTTTAAGACTTTGTATGAAAGAATTCCAAAGAATCAGATTGATTTTGAGCAAATCATACAACCAGCAGTTTATTCAAAACAAAATGATATCATTCAATACTTATTAAATAACGGATGTCCAGCTGATGTGAAAATACATCAAAGACGTCAAGTTCTATTAATTTTCATAGAAGAAACAGAATCAGATCTTTTAACTTACTCAATAATTAATGAAGAAAAAGAATTGACTGATTTGTTATTGAGTAAAGGTGCCAAAATCAACTTTGAAAATGATCTAACTCTCAATGCAATTAAAAAATTATCATTCAATGATTTCGAAAAAGCTATATCAAAAATGGGAAGGCTTAGTAATGTCAAGATTATAGATGTTATGGATTATTTGGACAATGCTCATATAAAATTAATGATAAAATCAGGAGCTAATTTCAGTGCAACAAAAGAATACAAAAAGAATGGGAAAAATTATGAAAAATCAGCTTTGCTCAATGCAATTATCAAAGAAAATGAGGAACTTATTGAATATTTACTTCAAGTTGGAGCTACTGTTTTCATCAATTGTGAAAGGCCGATGATTGCCTATGCACTGGAAACACATAATTTTAAAATTGTAAAAATGATAGGAAATCAGTATTCTCGTCTTAACTTTCAAGTTAGGAATCCTTTAATTCATCAAGCAATCAGCTCAGGAAATATTGACATTGTCAAGTATGTTGTTTCACGAAGAGCTCCAGTCAATGGACGACATAAAAATAATAAGAAGTATTCTATTGACTATGTTTTTGAAGAAGGAACACATGAAATTATGAAATATTTGATTGAAAATGGACTGGACATTTCGAAATCAAAATTATTTTCTAATGCCTATCACGCTATATTTTGCCGTTGTAAAATTAACGTAATAGAAGCGTTGATTAACAATCATTTGTATGAATTTGGTCAATATCGTTCTGATATACCAAAAGTTATGTACTTGTTGTCAAAAAGTACGATCAAAAAAATTGTTAATAGATACAATTGTATCAATGATGTTGATGAAGATGGATATACAGCTCTATACTATTCTATCAATTGTCAAAATCCAAATTTGGACATTATAAAATACTTACTCGAATTAGGAGCTGATCCAAACCAATACGCGAAAACTCTTTTTGTTGCAATTAAACAAATGAATCCAGATTTAATACAATTATTGCTTAAATATAATGCGAATCCATTGATCGATTTTCATGGTATGACCCCAATTGAATATTGTATTTCAAAAGAATCTATGAAGATATTGAACTTATTCATTGATAAAGTTGGCATTCATAATATTCGATATGATAATTTTATCAAAGCTCTCTTGAAAAATTCAGATGACTTTATCAGAGAAGTCTTTAATTTCTTGATTAATAATAAGGTTGATTTGAATTTTAACACATATTCAGCATTATACTATGCAGCAGATGTGAACAAATACGATATCTTGGTGTTCTTATTGGAGTCATTTCAATTTAATACAAAATCATATCAGCAAACAATTACAAAAATAATTTGTGAACAAAATGATAAATATATAGATTATAATGTTTTGAATCAGCTTATTAGACATATTGACAGTTTAGACTTTTCAGATGAAAAAGGACAACCATTAATTACGATTGCATTACTAAATAAGAATATTAAATTAGCAGAATTCCTTCTTAGTAAAGGCGCATCACTCACTAAAGATCAGTCAAAGTTATCAACATTTCAGGAATGCTTTTATCTTGTCATTCAAAGAAAATCAATTGCTTTATTAAAAGCGTTTTTAGAATATATTGACATCGTTGATTATAAAGCATTAGTTTATTCAATTCAAACTCAATCATTAGAAATAATTAAGTTAATCTCGACAAAACAGTTAATTCCAACTCCTGAAAATGATCATTATATGCAGTTAGAATATTATTTAGATGAGTATTTTAACAAAGAGATCCTTGACGAACTAAAAGATAAAATTAAAGATTATATTTGTTCTGATGGAGAATCACTGGACTATTCTACTCATAATAATGAATTATTTGATTATTTTATCGATAACTTCGAATTTGATCAGAAAATTATCGAAGAAATAATTGAAGAATTTGTTAGAAGAATCAAAATCCCGCATATATATGAAAAATTGTTTAACAAATTAAATAATGTGAACTTCAAAACATCAGATGGATCTCCCATTATTATGTTTATTGTAAGATGTCAAAACATAGAGGCACTTGAATCACTTTTAAGAAGGAAAGATGAAATCCAATTTGAAAACAAAGATATTCCTTTTATTTTATTTGAATTCATGAATTTTAGAAAAGAATACTATGATAGGTTTTATGATGCTGATATGGAATTACCATTGAATACAACTGATCAGAAGTTTGATATCAAACTTGATGCATTTGAATATTCAATTAAAATTAAATCACTCAAATTATATTCATTCCTCAATTCATATTCCAAAGAAAAATTCTTAGGCTTAAAAGCAGCAATTCAAGGTGATTTCCTTGAATTATATCAAAAACTAGCGCCAAATCCTAGCGAAAAGATTCAATTACACCTTCAAATTGCAATAGATTCAAAATCACTTCAAATTATTGATTATATTCTTCAAAAAATCAACAAAATTGAATATGATACCTATATCTTAGCAATATGCACTAAATCGGCCGAAATTGTTCAAAAACTTCTAAACAAGCAAATGATTCCTGAAAAACCGGAAAATTCAAAACCTTTATTATTCGATCTTGTCAGATTTTACAACAAAGATGTTTTTAATATAATGATTAAATATGTTAACAATTTTCATGAGCAAATTAATTTAGGAGGAAAGAATTATAATATCGTTCAAATTGCTTTGCTTGCTAAATCAGACAAAGAATGCATTAAATTTTTACTTGATAAAGGAATCTATTATGATCCTAAATTTGATAAACAAGATGAACCTTTGAAAATTGCTGCTCAAAAAGCAATTGGTGTGGACGAAGCATATTACAATGAAATATTTGATCTTCTTCTAAAATATAAATCAATTGATCGAAAACTTGGATTAGATTTGTTTAATACTGCAAATATTAATCATAATGATGAGCTTATTTCAATAATGCTCAAAGCGGACAAAAATAATGTTATAAAAAGCATTAAGAAAGAGCATGATGATTTGCTACTCAGACAATTAATGGCACTAAGAGCTGTTCAATACAATCATTATTACCATGATTATTCTGATGATCCAGATCTTGAAGATGATGATATGATTTATTATGATCATTACCATGATAGGTGTTACCAAAGAAATAGATACTATGATAGCTCAGATGATGATAGCTCAGATGATGATAGCTCAGATGATGATAATTATCATGATGAATTTGATGATAATTATGGACGCTATTACATGTAAAAACTATTCTATAATTTTTATATAAATATCCTTTTTTTTAGAGTGCATTTCCCACTTTCTGACGTAAACGTTAATATATTGCACATTAAATTGTTCGGTCAAACAGCTTTTTTTACATAAAATATCTCAAATTATTCTTGAAGATAGATTTATCCATTCCATTATATCATGCTCATAAATATATCGCAGATTTAGTGTTGGAATAGCTGAAATCTTTGATTTAACGCATCATATATTCAAATCTTTAAAAATTTTATTTCAGAGAGACATTAATTGTATAAAAATATAATAATCTTGTATTCAGTATAATGTATAACTGTTTATTTCATTTCGCCGCAATCTGTAACCATGCACATTGCACGAGGGCGACCACTTTCTGTACCGCAGCTTTCGATCTGCTTGACGATGTCCATGCCTTCGATGACTTGGCCGAAAACGCAATGGTGTCCATCGAGCCATGGAGTTTCAACGGTTGTAATGAAGAATTGGCTTCCATTTGTGTTTGGTCCGGCATTGGCCATTGAAAGAAGTCCTGGTTTGTCATGTTTGACCTTGAAGTTTTCATCATCAAACTTCATTCCGTAGATTGATTCGCCGCCTGTGCCATTAAAGCGAGTGAAATCGCCTCCTTGGATCATGAACTGAGGAATAATGCGGTGGAACATTGTTCCCTTGTAGCTTAAAGGCATTCCAGACTTTCCAATTCCTTTTTCTCCTGTGCAAAGAGCGCGGAAATTCTCTGCAGTCTTTGGAACGATATCGTTGAAGAGCTCGAATACAATCTTTCCAACTTTATCACCACGGATGGAGATATCAAAGAATGTTTTTGGACGCTTCAGCATTTGTCACTTTTTTGATTGGTGGCATCATCTTCCGCCAATAGTTGAATTAGGTATTAACTACACTATCAATAAGTATCATGTGAAAATGATCGATTTGCTCTTCGTCGAAAATATCAACTCGAGAATTTGCAATAGCTGATAAATAATGAACAAGAAGCCTATAAATCATTTGTTCATTGACTATAAATGGCATTCAAAATCATTGCAACTGTTTTTCTTCTGTTATAAGAAATTTTTCAAATTTTCTTCAAATTTCTATTAATTAGAGGCACATCATGTAAATATTGTGGAAGATAGTAAAGCTGTTCCAAAATATGCCTTAAATAAAGCATTTTTCATAGAAAATGATTGCAATAATCAATTTGTGCAAAGCTGTAAATGTATAGATGTCATGCTGTAAATAATGTGTAATAAGCAAGTTATGGCTTTTGTGAATGAAACATTTGAATTAAGATCAAAATTTGGGAAACCGAGAAGCCATTCTAACAATCCCTGGTCAAATGTTTCTTAATGCATACACATATACTTGAAAAGTTCTGATAAATTCCGATATAATTTTGAGATGTCTTCTAAATTTACTTTTTAGGTGATTTTTATATGAAAACAAAGATAGCAAATAGTATGTCTATGTAAATGTAAACTTTATGAGAAAAAATTTTTATTTGACTTTTAGTAGTAGGATATGAAGGGTTGTGTGACTTTTTTTGTTACATCTATATATAGACGATGCATTAAAATATATTTATTTATAAATCATTAAAAAATTAACATTAATTTTAAAATAATTTATTTTTTTATCTTTTATAAAAGAAGCTATATATAGATGATGTCAGATATTCCGCGATTAATTAAACATTGTTTAAATCCTGAATGGAATCAATGGAGTCATAATCAAAGACCTCATAAACGAGTAAAAGAAATTAGAAATAATTATTTTCATGAATGAAAGATTCACTACCATAATGAAATAAAAAATAAAAATTTTTAAAGTTTATTTTTTAAAAATTCATGTCTTACGAAAAATTAAAACTTAGTTATGTTTATTATTTTATTTTTTTTATTTTGTATGAAATGAGCGTCAAAACTAACAACGTTAAAAAATTAGGATTCACAAACGAGGAAATAAAGGATATATTAGAGGAGGTGGGTTATGAAGTTGATAAATATTATTTAAGAAATTGTAAAAAATTCGCGGAGTTATTAAATGATTTAGATTATGATGGAAAAATGAATAAAGATGATGTTATAAATTTCTTATATCCCACATCTGAAGAAGAAAAACCTAAAGAACCTGATGTTTTCCCTGAATATTATGAAGAACGGATTAAAGATGATGATGAATACAATGAAATTGAAAGACTGAAAAAAATAAGAGATGAAATAGATGAAAAAATTAAGGAATTAAGAGAAGTTGAAAAATATAATGAAAATGAAGTAGAGGGTTTAATGAATATCCCAGCTTCAGAATCAGAAGTTCAGAAATCTCATGAAGAAAGATATAAAAATTATGTCTCAGAATCAACACAAAATTTATTAGATGGTGAAATAGATGAAACACTTTCAGAAGAAGGTACTAAATTTATACGTAAACATAAGTTACAATTTATTGATAATGAAGAATACCCCTGTATCCTACTTTCACCCCCTCTCGATTCTGAGAAATTCAAAAAAGCTCTTAAAAATGTGACATATGCAACTAATACGATTAAGAAAGAAGATCATGATATTTACACAAATTATTATTTAAATAAATGCACAGGTGTTGATAAAGTTTTTGATTTATTAGATAAAATATCAAAAGAAACCATTGGAACATATAAAATTTTGTGTGATTGTGGTTTCATTATTGAAGATACCAATAATGTTTCATATGAAAGAACAGCACCGAAGGAAGACGAAGTGGAAAGGTCTATACCATTCGTTATTAAGAATATAAAAGATATGAAAACGTATAAGCATTATATTTATTCATTTATTTCAGAAAAAATGGAAGCAACCCATAAAACATCTTCTCATCATTTTATAGCTATTCATACATTCCTTTTCAAAGTTGTGAAATTAAATAAGACAGAAATTAGATTTAATGTATCAGGGTACGCATTCTTGAGTAAATTAAAATGTATTCGTCACGTCGCAGATGATAAAAATTTATGTGTTCTTAATTCATTTTATGGGCTTTAAAAAATAAACTTTATTTTTATTTATTTTTTAATTTTTTATTCTTACATAAATGAACAAAAACGGAACAGCTAAAATGAATGATAATCAAATTAGAGCAGAAGGTAGAAGGTTATTTAAACGCTTCTATAACATTCCTGATGGTGCTAATCCTAAAACTCGTAGAAGCTATTTAAATGAAGCAATAGATGCATATGAAGGGTTTGACATTTCATCAGAAAGTGAGAGATTAGCGAGAATGTTAAATGTTAATATTGATTTCTATTATTGTGATCCTCAACCAGAAGACGTGGACATAAATAAGGTAGACTTTCCATTAGTGGAATCAATAATGATAGATCCAGAATTTGAAACAGTAAATATTTTATTAACACAGAGTCCATGTGGAAAACTTCACGCTGACAGAATAACAGACGTTGAAGCACTCACCGGCTATAAAGTTTGTCCATATTGTAAAGAAGAAGTTTATTCTATCCGTGATGATCCAGAAAGGAAAAACCAAAGAAGATTTTTAAAGCATTGTGAGAAATGTAAAGAAAATAATGGAAGATTAATTCAAGACGTTCAGTTGCAAAAGACACAGCAACCATATGCACCACATATTACGAAACAGAAGATATATCAGTGGTTATTAGCTCACAATTTGCAGAAATATTATAAACCGACAAGATATTATATTACTTTTGACTTCGAAACATTAGAGACTAAAGAAGAATTACAACTTTCTGAGTGTGCAACTTTGAATGCTTACTTAAAACCATTCATGGTATCATCAACGGTTAAATTAAACGATAAAACATATACGAGGAATTTTTTCTTAACTTCGAGTGATTCTTTTATTTCTGATTGGATTGAGTTTTTATTTTCAACCTGTTCATTAGTTGTTGAATTAAATATGAGTCAATACAATGAATTATTGAAGTCGCAAACGGCGGGGACTTTGTCTCATACATTAAATGAAAAACAGAAGGAAGCATTTAAAGAACTTCTAGATGAGGAATTCAATAAAGTGAATATCATAGGTTTTAATTCGGGAAAGTTTGATTTAAATTTAATTCTTCGTGATTTAAACACTGCAAAATAGAAAATAAAATCAATGCTGGGTTCATTTTCACAATTTAAGCAAATCATTGTAAAGAAAACAAACGTTCCATATGAATTGAGATTTATTGACATCAGAAATTATATAGCGGGTGGGACATTAGACCAATTCACTCAAGATTTCGGAAACAATAAATCACGTGTTAAATCCTTTTTCCCTTATCAATTCATCACATGGGAAAATTACGAAGAAGAATTATATAAAGAGGAACCATTCACGAAAGATTCATTTTATTCAGCATTAACCCAAGAAACTATATCAGATAGTGATTATCAAATATATCTCAATGATGCTAAAAACTTTAAGAATAGATTAGAATATTTTATTCATTATTGCAATAAAGATGTTGAAATTATGATTGACCCAATCGATAAAATTATTGAAGAAACATTTGTTTATAAAATTGACATGCTTCATAATCTTTCTTTATCATCGAATGCTTCAATGATTCGTTACGCTTTAGCATATAAAGACTTTAATCCTAATGAAAAATATCCTGAGGAAGAGATAGAATCAAGTTTTGAATTAACGAAAAAGTATTGGAAATATAAAATTGAATCATATAAGAAACAAGATGAAAAAGCAGAAAGGGATACTAAAAATAATGTTTCAATGGATGATTTTCAATACTATCACGATTTAATCCTTTCATCTAAATGCAAAATGTGTGGTAAAGCGTTTACATATGCAAATAAACCAACATTGGATAGAATCGATAATGAAAAACCACATACCAAAGAAAATTGTCAGTTAATGTGTTGTTATTGCAATGTCGTAAAATCAAATAAAGATGAAGATGTTCAACGTTTAAGAATCAATTTAAGAAATTATGCATTAAAAAATAATTTACCAATGACTTTAGATTCAGTTGAAGCTTATCACATTCTCCGTAATGGAATTACTGGTGGTTTATCAAACGTTCAACATAGAGTAAATCTTAAAGGAATCACACACATTAATAAACTTGCATATAATCCAGAAACTAAAACTGTATCAAATGAGGACACCACCAACATTATGACTCATTTCGTTGGTGTTGATTTTAATTCATTATATCCTTCATCATTTTCATCTAATCCTCATGATTTCATTCAATATACTGACCATAAAATGTATATGCCGGGAAGATTGAATGGTGTTATCATTTGTGATACAGCAACAAAGAAAGCAAAAGCACTGGGAATAATTAAGAAGAAAAATACTTTATTCGTGGCTGAAGTAAAGGGTCACATTGATGAAAAATACATTAATGATTACATAAACTTTTTACCGATAATAAGAAACTTAGATATTATCACAGATGAAAAAACAATTGGCAGTTTTATGTATAATTACATGAAATCAAACAATCTACCAGTTGACCAGAAACAGAGGAAATTAACTCAGTTAGCATCAACACAACCAATATCAACCATTTTCTTCTTATTATCTTTGGTATCTAATAGACAGATTTCATTTTATCATTGATGACATTCAATCAATTTTAACATTTACTAAAAACACTTGTTTTAATGAATTTGCGAACAAATTTATGAACGAAAGACAAAAGGCTGAATTAGAAGGAAATAAAGGAAAAAGTTTATTTTGCAAGATTTCACTTAATGGATCATATGGTTACGATGCAATGAATACACAAAATTACGCAAAGACTAAAATAATGAATGCACAGAAGGCACGCGTTGCATGTATGTCAAATAAGTTTAAAAACATAAGAGAAATAGGTGAAGATACATATCAAGTGATGCTTAAAGATAGATTTTATAGATGTGATACATGTTTACAAGAGGCATTCTTCACTTTAGATAATGCTAAATACTGGTATTTGGTTTTCATTTATGATTTTATGTATAAATGCATGAATGTTAATCGTTTTCATTTCATTGAAGGTGATACTGATTCATCTTATTGGGCAATCGCTGGCGACCCAAATCTTCCTAACACTCAAGCATTTCAAGCAATTGTTACCGATAAACAATTTTATGATAAAAACATTTTCAAATTCGCACCATTTGATTTCTTCTGTTTTGATGAGAAATTTAAACCTAAATTAAAGAATAAAGCTGAAGAAAAAGCACATGAGAAGAAGTTATTGGGTTTAGCAATTGAGAAACAAGGTGATAACATGGTTGCTTTATGCCCTAAGTGTTATACATCATTCAATGGTTCAATTGATGGAAGTGATTTTAAAAAGATTGCACAAAAAATGAAAGGTGTTAGTTTACGACAAAATAAACAATTAACACCTAAAAATTATTTGGATATAATAAATGATAAAGTGATATTTGATGGTCAGAATATTAATTTACAACTTAAAAACGGGTCAATGACTCGCTTAACAATCGGTAAGACTGCATTAACAGGAGCACACACTAAGGCTGTATGTTGTGAAAATGGATGTTGTATGCCATTTATTTAATACAATTTAAAATTTTATTTTTAATAAAATGCCACAGAAGAGACAAAAGGAACCGTAAATAATGGTTTTGATACTATGATTCAAAGAGGTGGGCACCCTTAAACATTTATTTTATTTTTATATAAATGGATAACACAGATTTAAAAAATTTAATTGATGATTTAGTACTTAATCAAAATTTTCTTAATTATTATGAATTAAAATCATATCTCCAAAAACATAATAACAATATAACGGGTGATGATATGGATTATTATTATCCGTATTATAAAAATGAAATTTTGAAATATCATGATAAAATAATTTCTAAAATTAAAGACAAAATTAAAAATAATGAATATACAAAGGAAAAAACTAAATCACAACTTAAACAATTGAAAGATTTCAAAAATAAAGTATTAACAGAAGAAGATATTGATGAATTATATAAATTATATAATCATGAGCCGCAAAAACAAAAGGTGCAAAACGCCCAGGTCCTTCAGACCATAAATGAAGCACAAGCTTTAATTTATGATTCATTAGTTAAACCATATTCAACCCGACTTTTAAATGAAGATCAACTTTTGGAATTCATCCTTCAACATAAACTCGAAGCGGGAAAGTATATCAAACCTTTATATACAGCATATTTAAAACAAATGAATAGAATACATCCAGAATTAATGAAGGGGGGAATGAAATCCAAAATCAAAGCAGATAAAATTAAACCACTTGCAACGACAGTACCTCCTCCTCCTTCAGTTAATCCTTCATCATTCACTTTATTATATCCATTTCAAACATTAAAGAAGCAAAAAGATTTTAAAAAGGATTTCAAGATATTAAATAAACCAATTGACCCGAAAATTCAACCGTTAAAGGAAAAATTTAGTCGCCCTTCATTTGCTCCATATCCATATTCATACGAAATAGATCATCTGGAATATTCAAAAGGAAACGTTACTTATTTATTTGCCATTAACATTAACACTAGATATTTATATTGCATTCCAGTGAAAGGGAAAACAGAACAGGAAACAAGAAGAGCTATACAATACTTACTAGATCATGAAAGAGTAGATAATATCAGGGGTGATGGTGATAAAGGATTTCAGGCAGCTATGGCTCATTATTTCCCACAAATTAATTTTTTCTTTTCATCCTCTCCATATACGTTTCATAATAAAATAGTTGATGCGGTAATGAGAACTCTTAGAGATGCGTTAGGGGTTAACGGTCAGATATACTGGGATGGAAATCATGACTCCATCATACAACAGTTAGTATATTATTACAATAATACATGGCATAGAACTATAAACATGAAACCAGTGGAAATGAAAAATGATATTTCAAAAGAATGGGAATATATTAGAAAGCAAATGGAAAGGTTGAATGATGTTAAACGTGAACAAATTAATTCAGGGCTCATGAATTTTAAACAAGGGGATAAAGTTTTGATTCATCTCGATTATGGAAAAACTGATAAATCAATGACAAAAAGAAGACGAAGATTTGACACAATAGCTGAATTTGTTAGATATATTAATGGCAATGCATTAGTTGAAGTTGACAAGAAATTAATAGAAATTCCGATTTATTTTATTACTCCATTATATTTAAATAATATTTAATTTTTTTTATTTCGTAAGAAATGAGTGACAACAAAGCAGCCAAGAGTCCAGACAATGAATATAAAAAGAAACTAAACAGAATTAAATCAAAAATATGCTATTACAAAAAGAAGCCGCAATGCGGTGGGGTTGAAAACGATAAAGAGAGGAAAGAAATAATCGAAAAATTAGAAACTTACCGTTCAATCCTTAAACTGAGTGAAGCAAAAATAAAAGAATTTAATAGAATAAATAAATTGATTGGAAGAGATGAATTTAATAAAGATGAATTTTTAAACTCAATCCAAATTTAATTTTTATTCCTCTTCCCGAGCCCTTCTAGGTTCTTCTTTCCATCATTACTGCATAACCGCATCTTCTCGGTTTTCGTGGTTTGTTGTTTTTAATTCGTTCTTGCATCATTTTTATCATTTCCTCCCTTGTTATGATTCGTGGGGTATCCATTACTTCATTACCTAATTAATTACAGACATAAAATATATTTAGTTCATTCATTGAACGCGGTACCATGCGAATATAGTCACAAATGGTGGCATATAATCTTTACCCAAGCCTGTTGGATTTGTTGTGAAAGTGTGTGAATGATTACCTCCTGGTTCAGTTGGTCGAAAAATCTTTTTTGCTGAATTGTTATAAGATGGAGATAAAACGTCATTGCCAGCTTCATACTCTGAGTTGTATAATGGGTGGTCTCTTAATGAGTGGCTATGGTCGCCAGAAAAGTTTGTAGTTCCTGTATGAGTGTGTGGGGGTAAGTTTGCTTCTTTAATTTTCTTCGAACCTCCTGTTTGCTTTGAATATCTAGCACAGTATAAGAATTTATCTACAATCTGCTTCCACGTACCAAAACCTAAAACTGTTGCTGGATTTGTTGAATTCATTGACGTATAAATAGAACCAACAGGATATATGGTTTGAAGTATTTCATTTTTCATGCTTGTAATCACATC